AAAAAAAAAACAAAATACAATCGATAAACACGTACACGAAGTGTAATAAATTGAAAGTTTGATATATTTGACGTAACGAATTGCGACGCTCATTAAATTGAATGCCAAATCGATCCACTTCCAACGCTGTTTGTTAGAGTAGAATTTTTATTCTAATGCGTTCTTCGATTTTTTCTTCTTCTATTATTATTCACGATCAGAATTTCAAATCGACCTGCAAGCGATTCATTTAAAATGCATCGAATTCTCGGTTTAGTAATAACATGCAATGGAATGTAGAAAACACTTTGAACATTTTCCTCGGGGAATATTTGTAATTTCATTTTCAACTGGTTTTTCCCTGTTATCAACGGAACAAAAGTTGTTTTTTTTTCGCTTTTCTGAAGTGCCTTGGATGAAGTAGCCAATGTAAAACGACCAAGATGACAACAATAATGCTGCAACGTTTTCATATTTCTCAAGAGCGAATCGTACGCTGTGTATATTTGTAGTTCAAAATGTTAATTAGACCCATCTTATGCAGCATTCAATCGACTAATGCCGCAATGCATCTCTTTCCAGCAGTAATAATTGTTGGTAGTTTTTGCGTCACACATCTCTCGCCGAATGTACGATGGGAATAGTGCGCTTTGTTTATTCTATCACGCAAACGCACACATTTTTCGTCCTCTTCTTTCAATACGATTGCTATGTAGCTATATTTAATTGCTCGTGCTCGTATTCTTCGTAATAGATTATTCACTGTTTGATGTTATTTTCTTCGTCAAGTGTGTGCCATTAGTCACAAAAATTGTATGGGGCCACCACCAATTGCGGAGCCAAGACGCCGCACTGAATGGAGTTATAAAATTGATATGATCATATTTAGTAAAGTTGAATTGTAATCGCTACAATTGGACATCATGGTATGTGTGTTTTTTAAGCGCCCGGCTCATATGTAACTCCGGCCCGATACGCTATTTTAGTATCAGTGTCAAGCGAAGTTCAACCAATTTAAACGGCACACACACACACACACGCACCAATTCCTTCAATTTATGACAAATCGTTATAAATGAATGGCTTTATCGGCCACCAAATCGATACTCAATCTGAAATCTAATCATAATTTTTACCAAGAAGTCTGGATTTGAACAATAAACACAAACGCACACTTTGGACACATGGCGAAAAACAAGTGAGGAAAAAAAATAGTGTTGGAGTGGGTGATCCACTTACATCAATCTTCTCTTTGTTTTTATCCATTTGAGTATTTTTGCTTGGACGACCCATTTGACTTGACTTTTCGATACGATACGAGTTCACCAGTTAGTTAGTTTAATCGATTTAATCAATCACTTCACTTCGAGTTGCTTTTATTTTTAGCCAATAATTTTTCGTCGCATCAAAGACCTCAATAAACACTCGCGATTGAATGGAACAATAAGCACTTGTGTTCACTTTGACAACGAAATTTAATCTACTTTTTGAACACACTGCTCTCAGAGTTAACACCGTCGAAAATGAAAATCTCCTAAAATCAATTCACCTCGAAACCATTACGACAAAATACACATTGAAACCCGTACAATGCGACAGAAAAGAAAAAAAAATTAAGCTCAATGAAATTATTGAACCGATCGAATCCAATCTAAACATTCGAACATTCACTGTAAACAATACGAAAAAAACAACACAGCTTGATTACACAAACTGTGTATAAATGGTGCGAAATAAAAATAAATGGATATTTCATTCACTTTTTTTCCCGTTTGACGGATTGTCTCCGATTGTCTCGAAGCGATGGCCGCTTTACAACTGTAGAATGAAAGTATAATTTCGGTTCTTTCGAGAGTGTGATTCGGTGTTGTATACACTGTCTTATCAAATAATCAAATACACAGAGTGACGAATTGAGTCAGTCCGCTTACACACTTGTGCCTCAATATGATAAACAATAATAAAGAAGGGCTTCAATCCACTGTATTTGTTTACCTTGTCGATCGCATATCTGAACGAAAATACACACACACCGTACTGCGAGCGCGTTTAAAATGATTTTACCGATTGAGCAAGGGAAGAAAAAAACAAATCTAATTCAAGCAGACAGAGTTGAATCTCGATCTAATGGAATGCATTGCAGTCGAGCTCGACTCAAGCTACAGTTTTTGATTTAGCGTGTGCGAAGAGATGCTGCTGCTGGTGGTGTTCACCTAATGAATCGATGCATGTAAAATATATCGCTTATTATTCATTTTAACTGTACTTTCCATCAACAATACGCTTTTACGCTTGCGTTATTATTACTTATCATCATAGCTGATTACAGCAACAACGAAAATAACAACATCGACGAAAAAAAATCGCGTATTATTCCGTTTTGCGGAGCTTCGATTCAAACGGAAAATGTGTGTGTGTGTGTGTGCACCGTGTGCATCGTGCATAATAGCGATAGGCCGCGTTTAGTGATTAGAAAGAAGATTCAAGCATTCAAAACACTCAACCGATCGATATATGTTTGTACCAAACAGTGAATTGTACATTGTCTTATAATTTGTGTGTTTTTTTCTTCTCGCTTTTCGCTTCTCGCTTTGAATCTGTTACAACTTATGCAATAACATAAAATCTATAACGTAAGAGATTTTGAATGGTTTTTTAACAGTACCTTGCGATGTAAAATCAACAATTAAATCATGTCGCTCTATGCTTCAATGCTTGTTTGCCGCGGTGTGTTGTGTATCGCCACTGAACAATCACAAGACGTTAGCCCGTTAATACTGTGTTTGCATATGATTTTTTATTATTATTCAATGTTGAAGCTTCATTTCGTATTCACCTTTTGTCGTATTATTCCTTCCACTAAACACGCATGTACGAGTCATTCGAATGCATCGGCAAGGTCTCTTAATTGTACCTTTAATTAACCGTAACACCAAATCGTTCACATTTGCGAAACATTCCGAAAACAATTTGTCGATTCTGAACAAATTCAGAGCAGATCAATCATATTTCGAGTGAGTTCTGTCCATTAAGAGCGATGATAATCCATCAAAAAGTGGCCTACGTAGGCGGAGATACTTCGCAATTGTTTCGGTGTGCAAAAACGTTTATGATTCCAATTTGAAATTCGCTCAATTGAGATTCGCTCTTATGCGTTACACAGTACAGTAGAATCAGTGTTGCCAGAAGTGGCCGTAAGCACTTGATATATCATATATCAGCCGGTTTGTGTAATTTCGTGTGATTTTTTCAATAAAATTTCGAAAAATATTTCCTTTTTAACTTCAATCAATCAAATTTTAGCGACCTTTAATTTTATTTGCTAAAATAACAAGAGTTTTTGCTTGCCATTTACCTGTTCTACAAGTATTCAAACTCCAATTGGATTGAATGACATTGATGCGAATTCGCCGTAAACAGAATTCGCTGCGTTCGGGCGCCGTGTGTCAGTATGTGTTTTCGGTTTTTTATTTTTATTTTCTCCCAAATATACATTTTCTAGACAATTGTCAAAATCAATACAAATTGCTTTAAAACCCATAGAGATCGTCATAAAGGTGTACAGCTCACACAACATATCTCGCTCGAATGAAAGCGACACACAAAAATGTTTGTGTTTAAATAGTATAAACATTAATTTAATAAAACAAAATTCTATTTATTTTCGGTGTCGAGTGCAAGGTTTTCGATAAAACAAAAATTGTATCCATTTCCATGGATAAGTGATTCAAAAAAAATAACACGAAATTGTGGGTGATGTTAAGTTTGCCGAGTCATTAAACAAAGGAACCAAAACAAAGTGTGTGCAAAATCAACAAGCATCCATACATTTCAACTTCTCTCTATCTCTGTGGGTTTCGTTGGTTTTATGTATTTATTTATTTTTTCGTGGTAAAATGTTACGATTGGTAAGTATGAAGTGAGGAAAATTTTTCGATAGAAAATTTGAAAGTAGTAAAATATGAATTGATTTGAGCTTAAGTTCAGACAGACTCCGCGTCGAAAAATCGTTTCTTCATATCAATTGTGGAAAAAAGTGGTTGCGTCTTAATATGTATTTGTACATTGTACATATGTTTGTAGCTCTATGGCGCTGTAAGTGAGTCAGTGTTTGGGTGTGTGTATGTATTTGTGTGCATGTGTGTGCATGGGAAAAGGCTTTTTCCCTCTGGTTAGAGTTTTCCTCGATTTCGACATCATCATATCAAATGTTTGTATGTCGTCGCGACGTATTTGACAACACACAATATTGCACGGCCAAACACAGAGAGTACACACAGACCGAAATGAAATTCTCCCTTCTTCTATCACATAGAATTTGCCCATTCGGTGTCGTATATGCTGTCTCTCCCTCGGTGTAACTATCCAACAAACTCCTCCATTGGCACATTGTATGTTGGTTTGGATATTATATCCATCCATATCGAACTGGCAATACGTGTGAATTCACCCGTATCCGTGCGTCATCCGTGTGGTGGTTTTGTGCATGTGTACTGTATACTGTTGGCCACCGCAATTCGTTGTTATCGATTTTTCTTTTCGTTTTCGCCACTTTTCAACTTCAACTCTCTGGCTCTCGCTCACAGTGCTACTCAGTGCAGAGAACATCGTAGAACATATAGTTCTGTTCCCATTTCATTTTGTGTGTGTGCTCTGGTTTTTACACAGATTTAAGAAGAAGAAAAAAAAATCGAAAAGAAATTTGGTGAGGCAAATATGTGAAATTAATTTTGTTCTGTTCGATTTCAAATCAGTAATTTATTGACTTGAATTGTACGTATCTTATCGCGAGTGCAAAAGAACAACTAAATCCACTATAATCCTGATGCGCTAATTTATTGCGTCTGGTTACAAAGTCGATACAGAAAATTGTTGGTTAACACACAACGTTCTACTTCAAGTAAAAGAAAAAGAAAAGCAATTCCATTTTTGTGTGAAAATTTCAGTAAAATCCGAATGTTTCGGAGGTGTTGTGAATGAGTTGCATGAATAAAAACGAAAAATCATGAAAATGATATGAAAAACCAGTGGAAAATAATGACCAATACCAAATTCCAATTCTGAGTGTGAATATCAGTGAATATATTTACAAGTGTATTCGTTTAACAACCCCAAATGACAATCGATGATTCATTCCATATTCTCCCTTGAACATACATATAATACGCTGTGTGTCTTTCTGTTTCGTGGTTTTCCTTTTTCTTCTTTGTGTAAACCATTTTATTTCTCTGATTCATATTCTTTTCCGAACTTTCTTTCGGTTGGAATGAGAGAGAGAGAGAATGAGAGTGAGAAAAAAATTGCGTGAATTTAAATAAGCACACACACGAGCCGTGAGTGCAACTATAAATATGAATGTGAATTTTATCCTATTAAATGTATGACTTTTGAACATATGTTAAGGTTCAATATCCTGCGCCTACTTCCTCTTTTGGCAACAACCCTCATTCTGAATTTTGTTCTTCGGTTTTTTTCCTTTGCTTTCGCATATGAATGAAAGCAAAATATTATTCGTATAAGAATCGTTTCATTTATCCCATGTTATTTTCCCCATTTATTCTTCCAACGTCGACAGAAACCATTTTTAAAGGAGCGATGATAAGCGCAAATGTGCAACAACAGCAGCAGCAAGTGGATAATAAAAAGGCCACGAACGCAAATTACAGTCGGAAATCGCAAATCAATTTAGCACAGTATACGCAAAGTAGTAATAATCGAAATCTATTCAGCGACAGCAATTATTACATTGCTGCAAAGGATTACACAAACGTAGCAACGATTGATTTGTCTGAAAATCAATTATTGTTGCCGCAAACGACAAACGCTATTGCATCAAATCACCCAACATCGGTGCCATTGTCGATTACAGCATCGAATATACTCACCGTCGATTCAGTGTCGTCGACAAACATTCATGAACAGATATCGGCATTGTTCCCGAAGTGTCGACCCAAAAACGATGCGAACTTAAATAAGACGTCTCTCTACATTGAGACCAATAACACAACAACGGCAACGGCATTAGCTTCAGCTTCTTTATTGCTTGCATCATCACCGTCAAACGGCGACTACAAAAATCAAAATAAACTATTTGGTGAGAGTGAGAGTAGCCCTGACAATACGCTTAACGATAACAGTAGAGCTTATACGCGCAATATGAATAACCAAAACGCAGATGCAATGCTTAATGATGGCGCAACAACAGAACACATCCAACAGAATAATATTAGCGGAATTGGTGAAACGGCTTCAAGAATAAATCACGCTGGCTATGCAACACGATGTAATTACTTTGTTTCTCTGTTGTTTTTTCATTCAATTTTATTTTACGTTAGAATTGGTTGCAAGAGAATGGAGACAAATAATTGATTCTTTCTTCTTCTTTTGTGTTGTGCGCATTAAACACGCAGCGTATCAACATAATAGCAATAGTAACTATCAACGCAATGCGAATAGTCAACACCAAAGCAACGATTACCTTGGTGGTTTCGAAAGTTCCAATCAAATGTCGAAAATGCATCAGAAATGGGAAAATTCTTCGAATGACCCGCGAAAATGGGCAGCAGACAATGAAGATTTTATGCGTGACGGAAATATTTGGGAGAAACGTAGACGTACTCCAAACACAACTCCCGCCAGCACCGTATTAAATTCGCCCGATTTCAATGAAATGCATCATTACTCGCACAATGCGGTGCAGCATCAGATAAAAGTTGGTCGTAGCCCAGTGAATCAGCATGATCACAACAAAGATATGAATAATACTAGTCCCGTGTCGCCAATCCAACCACCGCATCAACGGTCCACCAAACGACCAGCGACACTCGTTTCGGATGGTGAAATTGTTGTCTTTGATGACATTGACAATTGGCGAAATCAAAACGAGAAACACTTTATCACAAAAAGCAAAGCGTCACATCAACAGAACCATGCGAATAGCAAATCTCAATCCAGCCATCGATTCAACCATATGCTATTCGATGATGATGACGACGATGAACGCGAAAGTAACACAAACTCCTTTAGCACCGAGAATGTGACAAAAATGATTGGTAAGTTTTTCAATTCATACAGACAGTTGGTCTATGAGACAAGAAACAAATACACCTCAATCAAATCCCTACGTATCCCAAGTTTTCTGCTTCCATTGCTTTCTGTGCTATTTTCTAGAACAAACGCACATCATTCTTTCCTATAAAGCTTTGTTTTATCGTACCCTTTCTGTGTACGTCTTAAATGGAAAATTTTTAAAGGAAAAAACAATCAAATTTCATACGAGAAAAAAAACGAACGGCTTAATTTTCATCTAACATTGGCTACAATTGGTTATTTTGTTTTCCTGTGTTTCTCTTTTATTTTTTCTATCACTTCCGTTTGCTCTCTCAATCTCTGTGTCTAAACGAAAAAAAGGCATTCTGCCGATTGCAGAGTACGAAGGTTCGCCGCGACGCTTCGGGCTCTATCAGCAAGATCTACCTCTTCATCAATATCAATACACGTCGTCGACCACGAATCAACAGCACTTTGACCGCCCACCAAGCTCACGAAAAATGCTCACATCACCAACATTATTTCCACCTCGACCCGGTTTTCCGAAGGTAAAAAAAAAATTGTGCTCTGCATGTTGCTCAAGTGGTGGATAATGATCCGGATTAAAAAAGCTAACAGCCTTTGCTTTCGTTGAACCATTTTTTTATCCGCTCTATTTTCCGTAGCGCATTACAACGTCACCATCGAATGGGAGCATCAACGGAACTGTAGCTGATGAAGTCAATAAGAGCAACAACGCGGCAACGGGTTTTGAATACCAGAATAATGCATTGAATAAACGATCACCATCGGTATCACCAACCATCCAAGAAATCACATCATCGCCAATCATTCCAAATAAACCGGTCACATCAACACAGTGTGATAGTAGTTCACCCTCGAACTCACAAGCAGTGCCTATTTCATCGTCGCCGAATTCGCAATCATCGCCCTTGAAAAACGAGAGTAGCGTCAGCGAACATAACGCAAAAACTTCACCGAAATATACGGGTAAGTGATTCCGTGCGACACAACGCCCGATTCTTCCATTAATCAGTCTGGAATCGTGGAACAACACAAAAAGGACGAAATATTAATTAGTCATTTTCTTTCGCATTCAGATCGAATCAATTTGTTGGGTAACCATAATAGTAACAGTAGCAACTATTTGCCATCTACAACGCTTTCAAACAATGCTAATCGTTCGTCATTCACTACTACAGCTCCGAACACCACCACATTTGATTATTTGTATGAATTTTCGGAAACACGTAAAGTGCTCGAGGATTTCTTCAAGTGTCCAACAAATGAGGAGGAGAAGAAAATTGCCGACTGCTTCAATGAAAGTGACACCGGAAGTCTGGTAAGTTTTTGACAGAGTGAGATTTTCCTCAACAGTTTTTACGCCTGCGGAGGATTTAACGTGTTCTGATGTCTATTTTTTTTTCTTCTTTCGATATTTCCAACAACTCTAATCCAATTTGCGCACATTGTAGGAAAATTTGAACGAAATCGATGAGAAAAATACGGATTCCAATTATATTGGGCAGCGTTTAGCCAAAGTACCAACGGCAAACAATAAAGATTATAACAATACGTCCGTGTATCATTCGCCGAAATCGCGATACGCAAACAATTACTCGAATCAACAATCCGACGAATATGAGCATAATGATGTTGAATTGTATTTGGATTCGAATAGCCGGAGCAGTGGCGAATTGGCCGACACGGAATTGGAAATGAATCAGCAACGGCGTTATTCGCGGCATTTCACGTTGTCGCCCGAAACAACGGACTACGATTCAAATTGTGGTGATTTAGATAGTTTATCGAATGATTTGAATGGATGCATTGGCATGAACAGTTATTGCCTATCCGGTACGGGTTTGAATAGTTCCAATGCGATTATACCCGACTATTCGCGGCTATACACAAGTATGCCAGTTCTAGAGGACGGTTTATCGAGTGGCCATGCATCCGATACGGAGAATAACAATCCAGTTCCATATTCGTTGAATAGTGTGTCGGCAGCGGTAGCTATAGCAGCCGCAGCATCTGTGACGACGACGACGACGACCACTAACAATACAAACAATACGTCGGCACAAATCAACAATATCTTTGATAACAAGTACATTGCCAGCAATATGAATAGCATGGGAAAAATGCTCAATCCAACTCCAGTTAACTCGGTTGCAAATAACATAAGCAATGCTAACCAGTCAAATAGCATCAATTTGGTGGATGTGTTAAGTCCAACGGCAGCAATTGAAATGCCACTTGACAAAGGATCGGACGTTCCAATGCCCATTGGTGAGATTTTGCAATTGAATTTTCCGGATGAAACAATTTTAAATTCTTCTTTTTTTTCTGACGAATCAAGAAATAAAACTTTTATTGTTACTCCTTTTATAGACGGTTTTGCAATGGGTACAATTGGATTACATAGCAACCAAAAACAATCACAACAACAGCAGCAGCAGCAGCAGCAGCAACAACAACAAACGCAGCAACAGCAACCCAAAGAGGAAAAACATGTGGATAGTAAAAGCTATTTGGACTCGGATATTACGTCCATTTTTTCCAATCGTAAGAAAACACTTTTTGTGCGCATCTGGTCGTTGCGTTGTCACTAATTAGCTGTCATGTCATTCTGTATTTATAGCACCATTGGCACAGATGAGCACCGCACATAACAATGCGAATCTGGCATCGTATCACGAAGATCATATTGAAATCGTTCACTCAACATTAAAGGATATTCGCAGTTCAACGCAACATTCAAAAACTCTTCAGCCGCCTGTGAGCCAGCAGCAACAACAACAACAACAACAACAACAGCAGCCACATGAAGAGGATAAGAAGTCATTGAAAAATGACAAGAGCTCACCAATTTGGCTGCCTCGCCATCATCATAATCAACACAATCAGTCACGTGAAAGTCTTAACTCCGATCACAACCCATCAAAACCGTTGAGTGTTGATGACGAAGAAGCCGACACCGATTTGGAAACGGATCGTTTGCTCGGTCAACAACGTTTAGATGATCATGGTTTTTATGATGAAAAGGTAAAGAATTGCTCTTAGCAAGTTTTACTCAATTAGTCAATACCAATGTCGATTTATTAAAATAAATTTGCCATTTAGTCATCGTCCAATTGGTGCGATCGTCCATCGCGATTGATTAAGTCTCCGTCGGCATCACTCTCATCGAAAACAATACAACAGCAACAACATCACGCACAAACATTTTCATCTGCTTCAATTCGACAAGGTAAAAACATCTATCAACACGTCTTTTATTTGCATAAAATAAGTTTGCATTTTCACTCATTCATACTCACAATTACGATACATTAGGCATTGGAACATCAACGGCAAGCGGTGTGTCTGCAGCATGTGCAAATAATTCATCAAATTCATCGTCATCGCCACCGAATCAACAGTCATCAAATCAGCATTTACCAAAGAATCCGAGCGCTAGCAATCAAAATGAAAATAAGGATAGCTTAACGTCACCAACCAAATCATCACATCTGTCGAAAATACAAAAAAGCCCATCCGATTCACAGAGTTCAAAAAATGAAACGGAAAAAATTCGCTCCGGAAAATCACGCAATAAAGAAGGTATACAATAGCTGTACTCTCCTTTTCAGCTCCCATTGAATTAATAGATCAATTTAACATTTCGAATTGTTTCCAATAAATTTATTGAAATTCTCCATTTGTATTTTTTACATTTTCCATTCAAATGTCACGATAACAACTAACTTCTAACCCATAACGTATGACACCATCAAATACGGATCATACACACATCTCAATTAAATACACTAACAAAATTGAAACTATAACATCAAATACGCTTCAAACTAACAACACTCACTCATTCGATGCAAATGGAAATGTGTAAGTGAAAAATAAAGTATTGATTAACCATTTAGCTCGTTTTTGTTTCTAAAACTGCTTTTTTGAACCAATTCTACTTTTTGACATGGAGATACTAACGTTTAACTTTTTTTTTCTTCATTCAAAAGGCCGTTATTGGGAACCAGCAGTTTTGATTGAAGGCGTTTTATTCCGAGCCCGATACTTGGGATCCACGCAACTAGTTTGCGAAGGTCAACCAACCAAATCCACTCGCATGATGCAAGCTGAAGAGGCGGTTTCACGTATTAAGGTAAAGTGTCCAGAGTAAACATAGATTCAATTAAACAGTACCCTCTATGTAGAAGCTAGTACATAACATATAAATTGTTTAGCATCAAAGTATCAGACAAACTGAAACTGGTCATTAAAAATTGATACGAAAAAAAAACAATACATACAACCAAAACTTTTTATAACGATATTTACATTTGTTTATGTCGCAAACTAACTGAATGTAAAATTTTCTGTCTTTTTTCTCTTTTTCTCTTCGAAATAATCATTAATCGCAATTCGATCTGTCATTCATGTTTTAAAAAAAACTAACACAAAATGACCCGCTGCATGTGTGGAATAACAAACACAATTCAAATAAACAAAATTGAATTTCAATAGGCATTGGTACGTAAAATATTTGAAAACAAAAATGAACAACAACAGCAAAAAAAACGTGCATTTTGTTGTTGTCATGCAAATGTCATATTTTTTTGTGTACTATTTGTGTTTCGATTGTGCACAATTTTTTCTATTTTTGCACAGTATAATCTCATGCATAGACGAAAAAAAATGGTTAAAAATTTCTTTCTAATTGTTTTGATTGTCGGTGTTCTATTCATTTTTGGCACTAAAATCATTTCAGTGTTAAAGTTCATCATTTTACCACCATTCAATTCATTTTGTATATTTTTCCTGTGTTTTGTTTGGCTTATCATCATATTTTGTATTTTATTTCAAGTGCACAGTCAATCAGTCTCTGTTGTGAAAGAATATCTTGAGTAATTTATACTATTTTTCATGTTCATCAAATCGAAATAGGCACCGGAAGGTGAATCACAGCCGAGCACCGAAGTGGATCTATTCATTTCGACCGAGAAAATAATGGTATTGAATACGGATTTGAAAGAGATCATGATGGATCATGCGCTGCGTACCATTTCGTATATCGCTGATATTGGTGATTTGGTGGTGTTGATGGCACGGCGTCGTTTCGTTCCATCCGATTCGGATGATGGGCCGAAATTGAATCGCACCCCGAAAATGATATGTCATGTGTTCGAAAGTGACGAGGCTCAATTTATTGCTCAATCAATCGGACAGGCATTCCAAGTAGCCTATATGGAATTTTTGAAAGCAAACGGAATTGAAGACCATAGCTTTGTTAAGGAGATGGACTATCAGGAGGTGCTCAATAGTCAAGAGATTTTCGGCGATGAATTAGAAATATTCGCCAAGAAGGAACTTCAAAAGGAAGTCGTTGTACCAAAGACAAAAGGCGAAATCCTTGGCATGGTCATTGTAAGTGGAAAAATGGGCATTGCGTAACACTCTAGTAGTTCTTGTTTGTAAATATTGCCGGAAACAGGATTTTTCTATCAATTCATTGAATATTGCACAATTTATCAATTTAGGTTGAGTCTGGATGGGGTTCGATGCTACCAACCGTTGTCATTGCAAATCTATTGTCCACTGGCGCCGCTGCTCGGTGCGGCCAATTGAATATTGGCGACCAAATTATTGCAATAAACGGCCTCAGCTTGGTTGGTTTGCCCCTATCAACATGCCAAACATATATTCGGAATACGAAAAATCAAACCGCCGTGAAATTTACTGTTGTGCCTTGTCCACCCGTAGTTGAGGTCAAAATCAAACGGCCGAACACAAAGTACCAACTCGGATTTAGTGTTCAGAATGGTGTAGTAAGTAGTTTTTTTTTCGATTTAGCTTAACTCTTTGACGACCTTTGGGACACATATGTTCCATTTTGTTTTTCGTCAATAATTTCCACATTTTTAAACCGATTTCGATAAAATTGGTTTCTTTTGAAAGAGAATGAATGTATTGCTGACCAGATAGTACCATAATATTGGATATTTATCATCACTGTGCTCAAATAGAACACATCAAAGACAAAAAATCTTTTTTTTTTTTTCAAGTTGCGCCAAACCCTATTTAATTTGAACGGTGCAACTTTTAAAGCTGAAAATTTGAAATTTTGTGCGGAATGTCCGTTATTTTCTAAAAATAATCAACTTTTCTCCTAAAAAATATTATTTGAAATTTTTATTGCTTTTGGCGCGATGGGACATATGTGTCCCATTGGTCGGTAAAGGTAACTAATTACCACTGATTCCCCTGTATTTGAACCATTTTTCGCGAATTTTCGAACACACAAATTTACAAAAAGATCATTAAATTCGTGATTAAATGGGCACAACAAAGCATAATTCAAACCATTTTCGGTTCCAAACGATTCTAAAAAATTTTAAAATGAAAAAGGTTTTACACGTAGTTCCTATGGGAGATATGTTTTTTTTTTCATAGAAAAATAGTTACCGTTACAGACCAATGGGACATATATGTCACATCATTTTTTTCATATTTGCAATTAAAAAAAATAATTTCACTATCTGCATACAGTGCCGGTATTCTCAGTCATTCCACAAAAATCGTTCGATTTCGGTGGAATTCTTAGAATTCTAGCCCAGTTTTGGTCGTCAAAGGGTTAATTTATGCACAGATACTTTTAGCAAATGGAAATACATCACATGAAACGAATATCATTCGAAGAATTAATAAATTAATGCCTAACTTCTTTGTATCAACTGTAGATTTGCAGCTTGCTACGCGGTGGGATTGCAGAGCGTGGTGGAGTTCGTGTTGGTCATCGCATCATAGAAATAAATAATCAAAGTGTTGTAGCTGTTCCACATGAGAAAATCGTTAATCTACTGGCCACATCTGTTGGGGAGGTACGTTCAAAACACGAATCCCTATCCATTCCACAGTGAAATATTTTTGGAAATTTAAACATAAATCTAAAATTAAGTTTGAGTCTAATGAAAATCCATTTCTATTTCTACAGATTCTGATGAAGACGATGCCGACATCAATGTTCCGACTGTTGACTGGCCAGGAGAATCCCGTTTATATCTAAATTTCACCTTTAAACTCTGCATCCATGAAAAAATGCGCAACTTACTTATAAATGCTCTGAAAAAGAAGAAGAACGCAATCCGATTGCATCGAAAACAATGTTCATATTATAATTTATAATCTTTTTTATCTTTTTTTAATGCGATTTGTTCACTTGTTGCAACTTATTATTTGTTTTTTATATTTTGAAAGATGTTTTTTCTTCTTGTTTCATTTGATTTATTAGTCACTATTAAAATCAATTATTTACCAAATGTTCTAACCGTATTGTTTTCTCCATTCTTATTTTATTTGTATGTAACAAACAAAATGTAGTTTCTTACTTTTTTTAATTGTAATTTTGATTTTTGTTTTGGTCCGTGTTATTTGAGAATATTGAAAATTGGATTGGTTTGGCATGGTCGATGTGCGTCCTCATAACTAATATATCAAAATTAAGACTTTTCTCCTCTAACAAAAGCAAACAAAAAAATTAATCCCATAAGAGAATCTTGCGAATGGCTTGTGACAAAATTTAACACTTGATATGTAAAAACAAACAAACAATTTCATGCTATGAGCTGCTATTTAATCTTTACTACTGAATTTTCATTATAATTAACACCAACAAAAATGCATACCAATTACAAAAGTATTTAATCATTTTAGATTAATGACAGCTAAAAATGAAATCAGAAGCTCCATTTGAGAATGCAAGCAGAAAAAGTTTCTATAAATACGATTTGATAAGGCAAATTATATATCCTGCATTTATTTATCACATTCAATGCACTATTTGGAATCTTCTTTAACCCAAGAATCGAAGTCTATTCAGAGTCAGAGAAGGACAGAACGAATTAGTTAACACAATTTCAAAAGAAACGTATTTACCCAAAGTCATTTCGATTGCAACCGATTTAAATAGTTTTCACACAAAATACAAATACAACACACATAATCAAAACAAAAGGAAAAGGAAGAAGACAAAAGGAACACTCAATATTTTAAACTGAAACGAACATAGAGAAATTGCGTAATACATTCTAAATTTCCCTACATTCCACGAAACAAATTGTTCGTTTTCTTTTCAAATTTAGTGAAAAAAAAAACACGAAAATTCTATGATTCGCACCAACACCTGGTCAGACACGCATACAAATTGAAGTTCGTATTCGATCGTAAGATTCTTCTTTGATAATTGTATTCTAAGCTGCATGGTTTAAAATGAAAATTTGGTATTGACACTCTTGCATCAATTTGAAGAAGAAAAAAATCAGAAAATTTCAGCTAATAGCTAGTACAATGGTACTCCCTTGCTTATCGAAAAAAAAAGATATATTCGAATCTCAAGGCACACTCTTTGCATAATCAAAACAATAGTCCCCTTGAGTTATTGCGGTTTTTGTTTGATTTTATCTTCAGCATCATCCTCCTCATTGTAGCCACTTGATTGAAATAAAGTAAACACCATCCACCACCACCATCAGTCGACACACAATAGATTGAAGCTTCGAAAATGTGTTGAAACAGAGTATATTTTCTTTCTGAGGAATTGGATTTGGCAAACAAATCCCGAGCTTAAACGAAATAGTTAACTGAGACCTGCTTTTCGCAATAGAACAATAAACAAACACAACATTTGACATTTACGTAGCATTTAAAATAACCCCAAAACATAATCAGATGTCCAAATATTCACAGGAATAGAATGAGCAGATGCAAGTTAAAACAAAAAAAAAACAAAAAAGACACTTCATTCCCGTCGAACTGCAAAACAATAATATTAAATTCATTGGAATAAACCGAGTAACAACAACCACAAATAGCTTAATGTTTAGAAGTATTCGCGTATTGCAAAGAAAGATGAATGATTGACAAAACAAAAACATGAATTACCTTACCTCAGAATGGTAAGGAAAACTATGCTTTAAATTAGGGAAACAATTGCTTTTTAATTGCTTGTCGACAGCCGCAACAGATAAGCGAGAGGCGAATTTGTGTACTGAATATCAATGATACAGTCGTATTCGAATTTCGAAACGGAATAACAAATAATGAACGACACACCGATCAATTATTCTGATAGTGTTCATCGTCCACTTATCGTTGCTGACAAGAAAGACAAGAAAAAAAATTCGAATTTGGTATTGGCATGAAGAGTTGAAAGTGGACAAAATAAAAGTGCATCACGTCCTAGATTATTACAACAGACAATTGTCTTTTCTTCTTTCCTCTATTGATGGAAAAAATGCCGCAAAATTTTTCAAAATTTAAATTGACAAAGCAAAAAACCAAAAAAAAACAAACAAATTATTCATTGATATATCATAAAAAATTATTATAATGAATGTTGTCGGTAGCTAACAAAAAGCATTAAATTGAAACAAATAAATAAAAAAAATCATTCACATACATATGAAAAATTACAAGTAAATTTAATCCAAACAAATGAAACAAGTTTGATTGATGGCTGAAAAATAGAAAAAAAATTTGCAATACGCAAAATATTTTCGTAAAAAATTGAACAGAAACACACTGAAACTGTAGAAAAAGTGCGAGTATTTGAAACGAACTAATACGAAAATGAAATGAATTTGAAAATAAAAAAAAACACACTTTTTTGTAATGAATTGGATTTAAATTTCGCATTAAGATTCCTAAATTTATCAAAATTACAATTGAAAAAGGGGAAAAAAGTAAACAAAAACAACTCAAAAAAAGTCATAAATTTAAGTCGTGTTTGTGATAAGAGATAAGCTATGGAAATAAATATGGTGGGAACATCGTGCGAATAGGAGAAATTTATTCTGATTTCCTCGAGAATGTACGATTCATATTTGAATTTACTTATAAATGTTGAGTGTTCTAACAATTAAAAAGAAAAAAAAACACAAAGAAAATGATCAACCAAAAAAAAACAAATTGTGGGGAAGGAGAGGACTGACCATAGGTGACAAAATTAGACTAGAGCAAATTGTATCTGAATGAAAAGAAATCTACTAATTCAGTGAATAAAGGAAAAGCAAAAATAATTTTCTTCATTGGCTTTATGAATGCATTGGAGTTTTATTCAATAATTGATTTTTTTTGGCGGTTTTAATTTTTGTGACGACGTAATTGATTATTGATACGACAAAACCGAATACAGATTGTATTTGGAGCTTATATTTTGTACCAAATTATAGGTTTGTCGTCGTATCTTTCTTTAACGTATTCATCGTGTCCAAGCTACATGGGAGGTGAAAATATATAAGTGGTGAAAAAAAGAACTGGTAGGCTCAACTTAAAATTAATGATAAAAACCACTAATGAAATTTAGATCGTAGATAGGTATATCTTCTATAGGACATCATTAAAACTTTAGAGACATTCCAATTGTTTACAAAAAGGATTGATGCATTGATGAGGCCTGAATAACTTAATAGGAAATTCTAAATTTATTACATTTAATCTGCCCAAATAATCTAAAAATAAAAGTAATTTTTTTGGAATTAATCCCTTCCTGAATCTCCATTAGCAGACCAGTCTGGTTTCTCTGCAGAAAAATACCTACAAATCCTAATTTCCCGGATAATCTACCAAAATACTGCAATAGTGGTTTCTTATCTTGATGAGATATGGCGAAAAAAAAGCAATCAAAGTCTTGATAAACAACAAACCGAATCAATTCAAACCAGAGATGGAGTATATGTATATCAATTCGTTCTATTTACTGTACTCCGTACAGAACGGTATATATACATTGATATACCTTTGCGTTCGCTGTCACAAAAGTAGTAGTTGACGCATGCGCTCAACGCGTTAAACGCAAAGGTATACGTTTTAGTATATACCGATACACATTTCCATACACTTGTGGTAAACGATGAACCATCTCTGATTCAAACCTGTGCAAATATTCCTCCATAGCTAGAACAACGTCCATATGTGAACTCAGCAAAATTGAAGGCAGCTCTGGCTGATTGCCTTTCATGCATATAGAAAACAAAAATACTCATGAATAAACGTGAATTCCAAACCATACATGGCAAATCTTTTATTTATCTTTTTTTATCGTTTGGTATCTTACACAGAAATATTTGCTTTGTAAAGCAACAGATTATTCTGAAGAATAAAGAAACAATTAACCGATTATGAGATGTGGCAACCAAAGTTCTATTTTCTATTCTTTAATTCCAGCCAAAAAGCCAAAAAAATTTTGTACTAAAAAGCATATATCGAGTACCGCCCATTTCACACGTTGCCTAAGTTCAATATAATCTTTTTGTACACATTCACACCAGCTAAATAAGTATCGACCGAAATGTATTCGTTGTGGTCATGCAACTTTGCTACGGTGTTCATCAACGGTGAAAAGCCCAATGCTGCTAAACCAATTCGTCGAATGTATTTCATGTCAGAAGACGGACCTGTAATGAATACGTGTAATGAATAGGAGAAACAGTGGAAAGTTTAAATGCTTTGAATCCTACCCAATACCATTGCTTGAACTTTGAGACCACTGAAATGAAGATCATTTGATGTGAAAGATGTTTTTTTTTTTTGTACAAAAAGATAAAATACAAAATCTTACGACTCGTGCACGGCATTTCTGAATGCAATCCAATATGGATTGGAATCATCAACCGGAGTAACTTTTTCTTTTTCTCCCTTTTCCAACGTGGTCACGGTAATATTGCCACCAGCCTCCTTGCACCAGCGGTGAATCTTCGAAAAAGTAACGGAGTTTTTTTAAATTGTCAATCCGGATTTTGCTAGTGCAACACAAGCAAACACAATTTTCTCTTGATTTTGATGCTATAGTCTATTTTTCTCTTCCTATGTTTGTTTCTACTTTCAACAAACACTTTTTGTTTCAGAAATTTCAAAGGAATTTACTAACCATTTTTTCAAATTCATCCAAATCAGTATTGATTGAAATGCGAATATCGAAAGTGGCACTCATTTCCGCTGGAATCACATTATTTTCAACACCTCCTTTAATTTTTGTAAGATTGATTGTCGTCACTGTTTATTGTTTATTTGAAGCAAAAAAAAAAACATTTTTGTAACAAATGTTCCTGTCTTTTTAAATCTTTTACTATTTACCATTTCCGTATGGGTATTTCAGTTGGTTCAATTTGTATACTTCACCTCTACGAAATTCCATGAATTTGCTTACGACATAGCTCAATTTCTCTCCGGGAGTGTCATCGAAAAGTTTGGATCCGTGGCCAGAATGACCGTGAAAAATGAACTCGATCTGCCAAATGGTTCTTTCGGCATAATAAACAGGCAAGACTCCTTCATTATTTATGGCAACACCACCTTCATCCAACGCAAAGGCCAAATTAATTGATTTGAATGGGGAAGATTTAACGAATCCAGCCATCCCTTGTACGCCACCTCTTTCCTCGTCGGGCACATAGATAACGTGTATAGTTCTTTTAAGTTGTTGTACACCATCTCTTTTCAATGCGCGAAGCGCAGCCAAGTATTGCATGCCAACTGATTTCATATCTTGAGCTCCACGCGCAAAAATATTACCCGATTCATCAATGTGGGCCGAAAAAGGTGGATATTTCCAATACTCTTCATAAACTGGAACTACATCCATGTGTGAATTTAACACGATCGTTGGCAGCTCCGGTTTAGATCCTTCCCATGTTAATACAACGATTGGATTTTTATCATTCACCGGATAATAAATTTTCACAGGAAGATTCAACCCTTCTGCTTGTTTCTTCAAGAAGGCCACACATGGCTCTGCAAATGAAATTTCGGTTAAATAATAACTTATTCATTTTATTAGACAGTTTTTCGTTGATTCACCATAGTCGATGTCTGGATGAACACTTGGGATTTGTAAATATTCTCGAAATATTTGGATTTCTTCATTATTTTCCCATTTGGATGGTCCTGGTAGTGTATCATTATTTTCCTTTTCAATGTCGGGTTTTCCATTTGTAGGCTTTTCGAATGGCAATTCTTTGTTAATACTTTCGTTTTCTGTATGGGAAAAGTATACTGTCCCGGCTATTATAAGAACACTGAAGGTAAAAATAAATTAGAATGCATATTTGAAATTACGAAGAGTTGTTCGTAATGGGGGTTCAACCAAACTAAATCGATTGTACCAAATGTGTACTACAAATTACAAATAGAATTGATAGCAATATCGGTCTTATTTGCCGAGTTATCGCTCAAACCAAGATTTGGCTCAAAGTACAAATCCGTTTTACGATTTTTCTTAACGAAATGCGTACGAGACCGTGGCAACAGCAATCAGTACAGAAGGTGTACCTCACTGGATTGGCAGTTTTTTCAACCAACCAAGAATTAGCTCGAGTTACGCATATCTCTCACGGTTTTTCGTAACAATAATTGTACCAACATTTTTGACTGCGTTGAAATTGAGTGTGATGTATTGAAATTAAATGCACTCCACTTAAAATGAAAAGTACTAATTGTTCCGCGAACCGTACTTATCTCAAACACATTTTTGTTAAGGTACAGATCCAATTACGATTTTTCTGTGGAAAAAATGTGTACCTCTTACAATAAATCGAAATTTGAAGTGTACTTGCACTGAAATCAATTGTGACCTCAAGAAACTTCCTTTGTTCTCTCATACCTGGTCTCCGAGAGTTTCATACAAGGAACTTAGAATATAAAGTAGAAAAAAAATGAAAAAGAAAGTTACCATACGGCAGCAACTACTAGAAATCGTATATTGCATACGTAACGTGAAATTAACGACGGATTTGTAAAAATTGTCTTTCTTCCATCCATATTGCAAATTTCCACAACAGTAATTCCAATAAATGCGGCAAGAAACAATAAAAATTTGTATGTATAAGTTTTTAGTAAAAAAAAAAATATGTCAAAAACTGTTTATTCTCACGATTTCATTTTACTATCGTTTCGCTACCAATTCATAATAATAGTGAGCAAATCGTAGGTCTACTTCCGCAAGACTAACCATTCGAAATTTGAATTCAGTCTGTTTTGCCGTTTTTTTCCATGACCAAATATGTCTAGCAATCGGTTTATATTATACTACGTTCAAAACCACACCCCTGCAGAAAAAGGTTCAGCTTGTCTTGATATTTTGAGATATGAAAATGCGACATTTTAGTATCAAACTCCGAATGTGAACCAGAACAAACATTTAGAATTTGGTACAAAAACCACACAGATTCATATGAAAAATATTCCGTAATACTTTGGATGTCTTCCAAACATTTTTTTTTAGTAGGGATAAGTATATATGACAAAGATCAGCTGTGATAAAGACGAAAGAAAACATTTTATAATACTGTGGTAAATATCGATACTCAAACACAATGTTTACCATGTAAAAAGTATTAATAATGACTCGTTATCTCCTTCGAATTCAGATTCAGCATATACCGATAAGTTATTTATATTGTAACACTTGTTAATGATATACAACACATGCAAATGAAGATGCGTCAATAAATCCGGCCACAAAAATAAACTATATATAAACGAATTCGATAAGCAATTTTTTCATTGCACAGTCGAGAGGTTTAGCTACAAAGAATGTTTGAAGAAGAGTTCGTTTCTTTTCACAATTGAAATAATCGATTTAACCCTTGTACACGCACATGGTCCTGGCCAGGCATATTTCGATTTTGAGCGTTAATTTAACATAGTTATAATTTACATATCGAAAAATGCTTCCGGGTACCCTCCTAAAATTTTATTGGCTTTAGATCTATGCATTCGAATATTGAAAAAAGTCCTTAAAACTGGACGAAAAAAAGGATGTAAAATTTACACCTTCCTACACGCACATGGTGCCTGGCCAGACCTCTATATATTTTGTATGGAAACATATGGAATATAGTTTGTTTTGATGATTCTATGTGGTTTTTTACCTCTCTTACATTACCTCGTTTATTTTCCCCAAGACAGATATCATTTATCACTGGGCAAGGGTCAGTAAGACGAAACCACGCAAAAAATGTTTCTAAGGAGCAAAAAAGTATATTAACGTCGTTCGATCGCAATGAATTTTTGCATAGCTTAATTATTTCATAAAACTTATATTCTCTGAAAATTTTATCCAATTCGGATAATTTTTTCATATGAAAATCTACAAATTTTCGATTTTTTTCCGATTTTTGTAACGCTACCGACCGTTTTTTGAAAGCACAAGATTTCTACTATGCTTTTACAAAACTACAAGAACCTTTACATATTTTTGTAGAAATGGGCCAAAACTTTAATAATAAATTCGAGAAAATATGATTTTTATTTTCTTTTCTGGTTTTTTTTTCTGGTTGGAGCACTCAAATCGCACGTGTAACGTTACCGATTTTTTTTGTAACGTTACCGATTCTACGCCTACTGGGTCCAGAGACCACCAAAACAGTTTTTCATGCACACCCTGTATTTCTATCTTTTCTTTGATCCTTCATCTACGATATAATGAGTGACAACAGATTTATGCCTGGGTAGATTCGCTAATTTTCATAAAAACGTTGAGCAACCTCGCAAATCACTTCCAAAATTTTGTAACGTTACCGACGCCTTTAATCGCTCATAAGTCCAATACTATAGGTGATAAAAATAAAAACTTTTCTTTGAAATGTGTGGTATGGGCAGCACTATCATATGCACTTTTGAAATTTTGGGTTTTCATTATTATTTTCAGAGATATGGGCGAAATAGGTGTGCGAATTGTAACGTTACCGACCTGACCCTCGCCCACTAATCAATTCCGCGGAATACGCGAAAATCGCGAAAAACGCGAAAAATCGCGAAAATTCCCCTTCTCATTATTTACGGCACTGATAAGAGATAAATGATATCTGTCTGCAGCAAAGTTGTAGACCAGGTCAAGTACTATACTTTTTGTGAAGATACTATCTCCTTATCTCTTATCAGTTTCGCGAAAAATGATGAATGATAAAAAAAATGATAACTCGTGTTTTTCACAATTTTACGCGTAACTGATAAGAGATATTGAAATGTAGCATGAATAAAATTATAGAACTCAACCTGCTTTAGAAATTTGCTGAAAACACATATCCCTTATCTCTTATCGGTTACGTGAAAAACGATATGGAAAAACGCTTTTATCTCGCGGCTTTTTTGAGGTTATCTGCGTATTTTACGTAACTGATAAGAGATAAGCGATATCTGCCCTCCGAAAATTTGTAGGGGATCTGGACAATTACAACTTTACCGAAGATACCAAGCCGTTATCTCTTATCAGTTTCGCGAAAAAACGCGATTCTTTCTTATCGTTTTTCGCGGAACTGATAAGAGATAAGAAGATATTGTCTTTGAAAAAATTGTAGTACTTGACCTGCTCGACAACTTTGCTGAAGACATATATCACTTATCTCTTATCAGTTCCGTTAACAATGAGATGGCATGCATCACTTATTCCCATACAAATGCATGTAAATGTTTAGGGGTCTGGTCAGGCACCATGTGCGTGGAGTAAGGTTTTAAAATATGTGCGTGTACAAGTGTTAATACTTGATGTGACTTATTTCGAAATTCAAAATTTCAAAAAATCAATTTAACATAGATGTTTCAATGGTATTTTGACCTAACTTTTAAATGAACTTGTATCAAACTCCGTTTATTTTCAATGGTGCATTGTGTCAGTTAACTAGACGAGCATTTTTGACCGATGTAACAATGTGTTCGCTACAAACTGTCAACGATTGAACTATTTATGGCAAATCGTTAGAAGATGTGGTTCCAAAAATATATCCGGAAAACAACCTAAATATGAAAATAACGCCTGTAGAATAGGATTTATTTCCATGAGAGACATTCTTTTGGCTGTATTTTTCAAGTAACAAATAAATGCCATTTTTTAATCTGCTTTGATTATTTCGCAGTGACAATATTAGTTGGTCTGTTTCGGCATAAAGATAATGTTCAAACGATTAATGCAACGACTACGCGCCGTATTTAATCGCTAACAACAACAATTTTGCTCTTAAAATTATTCTATTCATTCTATTTTCATTTCGTAGTTTTCTTCAGTCTTACATTGCAATGAATGACAACAGCGCTACTCGGAATGATACAAATAAAATGTTAAACTTTTGAATTGCAAATAATCAATGATGAAGTTCAAACTACGTATTAGATTAAATCGCAATCTTAAATAATCAACAATACCCAATATTAGATTGTGTATAATGAACTCAATGTCGTTTTTAAGCGTCAACACGTTTCAAGATGATACAGCTTCATTGAAATTAAAACGAATTAATTTCGTTTCCCAAATTGGTGATTATTTTCTTTGTAAACGTCAATACCCTTTGAATTGTATACCCTGTGTTAGGCAAGGGGATGGACACCAATGCTAATATTCTATTTTCGTGCTAATTTCGCTAATTTTTTCTACTTTGCTATTTTCCATAAGAAACACACTGTCTAATGCATTTTAAATAGAGATTTGTATCTCCATAAGATATGTATTGAAACAATGTAAATCAAATGGCAATTTTATTTTTGGTGATTTTGGTGAACACACAAAGTGTTTGTAAACAAATTCTACATCTGATGTACATTGTTCCTATGTAATTCTTATGCGAGAGCGTTGCCCATAAGGAATACACAGCACTGTATATTACTTATGAAAGAGCGCCGCTGTAGATTAACGGTACTGTGTGCATAAGAAGTGTATGGTGCTGTGTATCTCTTATGGGAAACGCTCTCGCATAAGAATTACACAGGAACAATGTATTTTAGATGTAGAATTTGTTTACAAATATTCAAAAATCAGCAAAAATAAAATTGCCATTTGATTTACATTGTTTCAATACATTTCTTATGGAGGTAAAAATCTCCATTTGAAATGCATTGAACCAATATATTTCAAATGGGCAGCTGTATTTCCTCTAATATTTCATATTTTTTTGCTAATTTTACTAATATTTCACTAGTTTTCTAATGGTGTCTATCCCTTTGGTGTTAGGCATCGGTGAAAAAGCAATACAAACGAAGCAATACCAATTTTGCGAACAAATCTGCTGTCTGATGCACCTAAGCGAATGGCTGGTGCATATTGAATATCACTGAAACTAATGAAATGATGTGAAATGTTCAAACTTCGTCAATTATGTTCATACTAATAGTTCAACCCAATACAGATTTGTCTCATCAGTGGTAGTTATTCTCTCCTTTTCTCCTTTCACTTGAAATGTATAATTGAACTGATTGTAATATTTTCTGCACCTGGGGCCTCTTTCACCCATTGGCGAATCTTCAAAAAAAAAAAGCTGCAATCATTTTAAATAGATTTTTTATAATTGTATTCTTAGCTTCATTGTTTAAATTGGAAAGCAAATGCAGTTGAGCTTTAAGATTCCTAAATTTATCACAATTACAATTGGAAAAGGGAACAAAAGTAAACAAAAACCACTCATAAAAAGTCATTGATTTAAGTCGTGTTTGTGAAAGAATGTACGAATCATATTGAAATTTATTATATTTTGTACCGAATCACTATGTGGTCGTCATATTGACACTGTTTTGATGTGCGAACTGTTGATTTAAGGACTTCATTCTTGCTCTCGCCTCTTCTAAACATTCGCTATCTTTTCGATTATTTTCTCGTAGATCGGAATTCCTTTTAAATACGCCTCCGCATTGACGTATTCATTGTGTTCATGTAGTTTGGGCGATGTGTTCATAAGTGGCGAAAATCCTAGTACCGGGAGGCCCAACTTAAAATCAATGATAAAAACAGTTAGTAAAATGTAGATCGTAGATAGCTATAACTTCTATAGAACATCATTGAAACTTTAAAAAAATTCAAAATGTTTACCATGCGAATGTATCTACTGTCCGTTACGGCACGGAATACTGTCGGAGTGACATTTAATTTTCTGAAAATTAAGGTGGAATTGAAATGTTTACATGACAGAATTTTTCTTCTTCTGAATGTTATAAAGAAAACTAACAGTTCATCGGTAGCTTTTTTAAAAGCAGTCCAATATGGGTTTGAGTCGTCGACTGGCGTTGCCGGAGCCTTAACACCTTTCACAATATCAACTGTAACATCATTGCCAGCTTCTTTCACCCAACCTCTAATCTAAAAAAAATCGATCTTTCAATTGAATTTTCAATTTAAACTTGAAATTGTAAAGGTATGTAATTACCATTTGTTCCAGCTGATCCCAGTCGGTATCGATAGCTAACCGTAAATCAAAGTAAGCAGTCATTTGAGGTGGAACAATGTTACCTCTTAGACCACCATTTAGGATAGTTAAATTGATAGAAGTAACGTTTCCATACGGATACTTATGTTCCTTCCATTTGGTTTTCTCATTTTTACGTAATTCCATGAATTTGCTGATGACATAATTTAACTTTTCGCCTGCCGTGTCATCAAAAAGGATTGATGCATGCCCTGAATGCCCATTAGAGGTGACAGTTACAGCCCAGTCTGGTTTCTCTGCAAAAAATACCTCCAAATTTTCATTTTCTGATGGATAACCTAGTATAATAAATGACAATGGATATTCCAATGTTAATGTTTGAATGTAAATTCCATTCATAAATTCATTGTTATGTATCTTCATGTTATTTCAAACCAGTCACCTTCATCAAGGGCAACCCCAATGTTTAATTTCTTGAAACGATCACTTTGGACAAATGGTGCCATACCAAACTCTCCTCCGGTTTCCTCGTCGGGAACATAAGTCAAATGGATTGTGCGTTTCAGTTGATTAATTCCTTTGCGTTTCAATGCTCGAATTGCACCCAGATATTGCATACCCACTGGTTTCATATCTTGGGCACCTCGAGCGTAAATGTTTCCAGATTCATCAATTTTGGCTGAAAAAGGTGGATAGGTCCAAAATTCCACGGCAACCGGTACAACGTCTATGTGTGAATTCAATAAAATTGATGGCAACTCTGGCTGTGATCCTTTCCATGTCATTATCACAACGGGATTTTTGTCGTTCACTGGATATAGTACAGATACTTCGAGATCCAAATCATTTGCAAGTTCCTTCAAAAAATTGACACATGGTCCTGCAACCAAAATTATTCTTTTTTTTTTCTCGTCACGAGGTTTCTTCTATTTGAAAATTTCAATTAATTCTTTTACCAAAGTCACTGTCAAGAGACACGGTTGGAAATCTCAAATATTTTCGAAATATTTTAATCTCTTCATTATTAACCCATTTTTCAGTCTCTGGTGATACTTCCTCTTCAATTTCAGCATGCTTTGTGCTGCCATTGAAATCACTCACTATATAATATATTCCAACGCCAAGGGCTATAACTACACTGAATATTCCGCAAATATTTGATTTATTTCTTCAAAGTTTGACCTAAATAAATTGATATAAGAATATTTTTCAAAAATTCAAACTTACATAACAGCTAATACAGATAATAAAAGAGTCCTGTGACTACGTTTGGGAGCAGAGCTTTTCTGTGACTCTGTATCTATTTGTGAATCCATCGCGAAGATTGTACGGAATGAAACTGAAGCGTTTATCGGTTGAAAGAGGTACTTTTAACTTGGTCACAATCGCTTGAATTTTAATCATTTTATCAATGTATTCCACTTTTATTGAGTCTTAATTACCCGTTTGACGTTTTTTTCTTTTCACACGACCATGTGGAGTAAGAAAAGTATTGGGAACGCCTCAGATTTTCAGGCCCCTTAAAAACATGATTTTTATCAGGTTTAAGCCCAAAGAATTTGCATGATTTTCAAAAGTTTTTATTCATTTTTTTTTAATACAATCAAATTAATAAAAAAAGTTTCTGATCATTTTGAATATTCTTCTGATCATTTTTGATATTTTTCTGGTAATTTTCCATATGTTCGGATCATAATTAATTAATCCATTGTCATCGTTGTACGTGCAGAGTAGATGCCAATGAATTAAGAAAAAAAAACTGTTGCTCGATTGTTGCTTTATAATTGTATTGATGATTGTTTCTGTGCAAGTGATTCAATAGGGTAAATTACATTTTCATCAGATTTAATCAGTGTCTTAAATATGTTGCGTATTGCGAACCTAAATACATCATTTTTGTAATAAAACTTGTTGTTGGCTCTTAGATAACACGTTGTCATTGAAAAGTTTGATTATAAACATCCGATCGTGATACGATAAGATTTTTTTTTGTTTTCCAAAAAATCACATGATCAAAATTCAACATTCTACAATTACTTGGCATTCTAGTAAACATCGCCTAAACTTAAAATAATTTGCTCATATACTTCGATACCAAACAAGAAAACCTTAGCATTCAAAAATTCGTTGTGGCCGTGTAGTAATGTGAATACATATGGAACAAAGCTGATGGCCGGGATATTCAACTGAAAAATTTGTAATAATCAAAGATGTATGAATTCAATATGAAAATTTATTACGGTTTACTGGTTATTTAACACTATGACCGTTTCTCATGTTTTATACCTATTTCCATTTCTTGGGGTCTCCAGGGCCCCATTTGTATTTCAGATGAAATCTGGACTGTGATAAGAGATAACAAATTAGTGTCTGAAGCAAAGTTGTAATACTCGAGGTTTGCTATAGTTTTGTTGTTACAAATATTGCTTATCTCTTATCAGTTCCGCGAAAAACGCGAAATTTCCCCACCTTGTTTTGAACTTGAATGAAAATGAGCACAAGATACAGATATATTATGAATAATGGTTTTTGTCCTTTTATTTTCTTTCTCTCTGTTTGTTGTTGTTCTAAATGCTAGTGTAAATATAATGTATGTGAGGTACCAGAAAAATATAGGGTAGGGTGGGGCTAGTTCGGACGCGGGGCTAGTTCGGACAGTTGACATATCTCGATATCTGGTGGGTATATCGATATGGTGAACATACTCATTTGTGCGGCGTTCTGTCAAACGTAAATGGCTATGGTTTGGTTGACGTCTGATAGGTCAGTCGTGAGTTAGCATTAACCGGCATCAGACGCTTCACATTTTTTCGCTAATTTTATTTTTATTTTTTCAAAGTTTTTGGGTTTGTGTGTCGCCAGTGAAAGGTAAAAACATTTGGGTAAGTGTTTTTTATAGTTTAAGTCGTGCCGAATCGAGTGAAATAATAGTTTTATCGATTGCGTTTATGTGAAAAAAATTTTGCGTCTCATTGTCATCATGGTGGCAGGTGGGGCTAGTTCGGACGAAATGGCATGGGGCTAGTTCGGACACTTTTTTGAAAATTTTCCATTCAGTGTATTCATATGAAATACGTGCAAAGTGCTTACATATCATCTCTATTGTGTTTCTACAGCAAAATGGTTCGTACATACAAGCGAAAACGACCAATTTTGGATAAATCCAAGATGAAAGAGGCTGTTCTTTCCGTACGCCGAGATAAAATGTCGACCCGAAACGCAGCAATTCACCATGGTGTTAGTAAATCAACATTGTCAGACTGGCTGAAACTGACCGATGAAGAACAAGCAAATGCTGGTGAAGTGACAGAAAAATGGAATGGACATAAAACGGTTCGAAAACAATGATAAAATGTTCGAGTTCTCTGTGTGAATAATTGATAAATATCTGATATATAATGAGCTTGCCAGCCAATATTATGCCACGGTCAACACAATCAAGTATTTCGATTGCATCATCAAGCGGCCAAACGACGAGCAAGGCGTCAACAAGCAAAGCATCAGCGAAAACTAAAATGGAAGAAGATTCAGAAGAAGATGATTGGTCAAACATTTGCTGCATTTGTAGCGGTGCATTGCTGAAACAAGACCAATTCAAAGTTTGCATTGAATGTAAACACAAGGCACACGTAGATTGTGTTCGAATCAGCGACCCGATATTCACATGCATGAACTGCTTCTCTGTTAATGAGGACGAAGACGATGAAAGCGATTAATGAGTCGACTTTTTCACACTTTTTCTTAACATTTTCTAAATTTTTCATTCAAAAATTTTTCCCTAATTTTTTCATTAGATATAAATTCAACAATATTTTCAGTAAAATATAAGTTTTTTATACCAAAATATTCATAAAAATGTCAATAAAATACGTAGTTTCAGTTGAAAGCTGAAGAAAATGCATATTCATATCATAATCATGAAAAAAATCTGGATGTCCGAACTAGCCCCACCCCATGTCCGAACTAGCCCCACCACTTTTTGAGATTTCGATTTTGCATTGGTCCAGTTTGAGGGCCATAACTCCACTAAAAGTCTATATTTTCAAAATTCGGATAGTTGTGTAATTTAGTTCAGCTCAGTAGCTTTAAATTGGTATATAACACTTGATAATTATGACATATTTGTGACCTCTAGTACCCAAAAACCATAGCTGTCCGAACTAGCCCCACCCCACCCTACTATTCGAGGTTTTGGCCAAGATAAAATGCCATTATTTTGGAAAAATAACCCAAAAGAACCCTCATTTACCCAATATTTTAGTCAAAAATCAAATTTTTCATTTTTCTGTGTTTTGTCTTTTCTGCGTTTTTTTCTGCGTTTTGGCGTTTCTGCGTTTTATACGAGAATCGTTCTATTTATAGGACGCGAAAATTGCCGATTTTTTTATGACTTTGATCAAACGGCTTGGAATTTTCAAATGCCGTTTTGCATGTGTGTTCGAAAAGGTTTGAAAAAGGTTTTCCCAGGTTTCCAAGGTTTTCCAACTTACAGTTTTCCGGAAAATGCCGGAAAATTGTGAAAATCTAAAACGTGTCGGAAAATTTTGAAACTTCCGGAAAATCATATTTGGGCTCTCACCTAAATTTCATCAAGAAATTCGAAAAAAAAATGCCTTGGTAGAAAATGGGTTAAGGGATATTGAGAGAGATATTTGTTTTGTAAATAAGATTTATTTTCAATTTGATAATTGGCTACACACTTTATAAGCATCTCCAGTGAAGCCTTCTCGACACAAACAAATCACATTCCGAAATAATATTATGCACTCGGCATTCGTTCCGCAGGTGTTCGATGCACAAATATTTACACATTCTCCGTTGATACACTTTTCATATTCAGGACAATCGATCGGCGATAAACACCGTAACTTGCAATTTGGAGGAGTACCAACTAATCCGTTTGTACAAGAACAAGTGGTTTTACCATAATTTGTTGTGCACTGGTATGTTGTATCACTTCCTAATTCAACGGAAACATCCTCAGTTGCCATTTCATCTTCATCTTCATCGTCTACAGCTAAAATTCAATCATCAAATTGATTTGTAATTAAAATGTAATTGTAAAATGAAATCATTTGTATTTTTTTCCATAGCGAATTTGATATTTTAAAATGAGAATTATTCAATCATATTTACTTACAAAAAACGATTCTGTCCTGAGCCAAACTCAATACGATCAAAACTGATATTGCCAAAAGTATCTAAAATGACATAATATTCAAATGTAGATTCCATAGAGAACAGCTATTGTAAACATGCTCTGGGAGTATTTCACTCCAATTCAGAATTTCACTTACAAAAGTTATCTTGATCATCTTTTTCTATTCGAGCACTTAGCTGGTGCTTGCGCAATCGTCTCGTCTGTAAATTCAACTAACTTTTACACTTATCCAAAACAGCTTCCTTTCGCAAAACACTGGCGATTGATAAAAATTCGGCAAGGAAATACATGATAAAAATACGTAAAGATAAAACGCAGAACAAGCGTACCGAAAAAAAAATTCAATGTCATTCTTAATCCCAGTCTTAGTCGCTTTATATCATTCATTTTCGGCAATTTTAATTTAAACTATCGTTCTGCCGTATTGTACAACGTAATTTTTTCATTCTCCTTTCGTTTAGCAACAGTCCACTTCTTCTCTTGACTCTTTCTACTTCGTTTCATTATATTACACATTTCTGCGATATGTTGAAGTAAATAATCCAAAATCGGTCATTTTCTGTTGTTATGAGCATGCTCTATTTCATTTGAATGGTCCATTGAAAAGGTATTTCAACTTTAAATTGTCAGCCATCGAATAGACAATAAAACCTATAAAAACAAACAATAAAGTTTGTTATCACCAACACCCTCCTACAGGCTATGTCAACGTTATTCTTCTGCTTTGAACTATGAAACTTCGAAGGGAAAGGGCCCAAATAAATATTATAGAAGGTATTTCATAACAAAAGTATTTAACGTTCAATAAAAATTGAAACAACTGTTTACAATAATTATTGGCTTATAAGTCAGGGGTTCGTTATATGATTCAACATTCTCATGGACATATTTGTTTCTTCACATTTTTTCCACCCATTTGAAGCGACTGTATCCTAAAAATTACTAGTGCGAGTATTGTGTAATATGACGTCGTTCGTATTTTTAGCCTATATTTCCTTCTTGTTAACGGTTCTACCAATGAAAGCCTTAGTACGGCCACAATCCGACTGTAGAAGTTATCAATAGTTTTTCAACAGAAAAAACAAATTTGTAATGAAGTTCTTCTTGTCTTGTCCTGCTATTGTCAAGGTCATAAACAAAGAGAAGAACAAAACATCAACAAAATCTATATGGCATTCTTTATTTTCTACAAAGTCTTTGTACTGAAGGATACATAGAAAAGTACAAAGATTGAAGAAAAAGCCTTTGGCTGTTTTGTGTCAAGAAGCATGTCTAAGGTAATCGTGAAAACTCGGTTAAAGATGACCTAAACATGATGCATTTCTATTCAATGTCTCAAGCAGAAATGTTGTGAATGCTTTGTTCTACGAACGAGACAATGGGCCGTACATAGCATTTTGTATTATGGTCCTACTAGGAACGAAACATATTGTATAGATTTTGCATTCGTGTTGCTTTATTTTTCCCTATGTAAATATTAATCCCCATTCAAATTCAAAGGTACCTGCAATTGTATTCGGTCACTATCGGCAGTGCCAACTTGATATCGATACACTTCCAACCGGCATTTGGAGTGTTTTGAAATTGAGTAGAAATAGATGGTACCCAACCCATAGTTGATTAGTCAGTATTGAACCATTCAAGTGAGCAGAAAGCAATATTTTCATCGTGGCTGAGTGTTTTGTGTTCATATTTACTTTGTTGAAGTTCGTTTCGCATTGAAATTTGAGAATTAGGAAGAAATCTTCAATAATTTAGAGAAAATCTAAAAAAAAAAGAAACGTTTTACTAGCCGAATAGATAATTGATCATCATGAGTGCATCAAAGCGGCAAAGATTATGTTTTGATGGCGAACAACCCGGGCCCAGCTCATCTGCGTCAACGAGTTCATCTGTTTCTTCAAGTTCGTTCGCAATCACATCAGAAATTGATCGAAATAGTCTGCTAATTCTGGATGATGAATGTTTATACCGAATCTTCGGGTCGTTACGACTCTCCGGATTATGGCGACTTAGAATATTATGCAAGCGCTTATACGATCTCACTGGCAGATTTTATGAAACCGAATATGCAAACAGTCAATATTTTGGTGTGACAATAGTGAAAGGAAAACTGCTGCTGAGTGAACGTCGCTTTGGATTCAATTGCAAGCATTTCAAATTGATCAAGTTGGATGGAATTGATAATGATGATCTTCATCTTGTTGCATCACACTACGAAACTAAGCGACTCAAGCATATTGGTTTTGAAAATATGGAAATATTCGCTGAAAAGAATGAAGCCCACCTAAAGAACATTTTAGCTAATGTTGAAACGATCCAATTCGAAAATTGTTGGTTCAAAAACGATGTTGGTGTGAGTTTTTTGAGACACTGTCATAATTTGAAGTATTTAGATCTGAGCAATTATGCCATCAAGTCATCACTAATCAATTTGAGTGATGCTAAACATCAGTGGATGGCGGAGAAATATCCGAAATTGGAATTTTTGAGCTACGACGTTTCGAGACCATCAAACAACATGTGGCCCATGATAAGTGCATTTTTTGAACAGAATCCAAACGTTGAGATGTTCTATCCATTGTGTAAATCAGCTTCGTTACCGATAGAAGAGATCCTTCGTCAAATGAAATCGAACGATGTTCGAGTGAAAGGATTTTGCCTGAAAATGGAGCAAATAAGTTTCAGCGAAATTGATCAAATGTATGGAGAGTTGAATGAAATGCAGGAACAAAACTATTTTACGGAATTACACTTGGTCATGACAAGAAGCGCACCATTAACCGATCGCAGTTGTGCCTTGACATTGGCATTATTGGAAAACATCCATGGACTCTATGCCACCTTTACAATGGCAAACTTTACAACCGTCATACACTACATCTCGAAAATGACGAGCCTCAAATCACTCTTGATTTTCATAGAGGACCAAAAACATGCAATAGCATTGTCTAGACACTTGATCAATCTTGAGGAGATTTTCATCAGATGCGAAAGAATAAATACGTTGTTACCATTTGTTATGAGGTCGACAAAATTACGCACGATCTACGTTTTCGGCACAAGAAGTTTGATATCTTTGAATATTTCTATTGAAGCCATGAATGCGTCGAGAAAACGTCTCAGCGGAGCTTGCAAAGTGACGATTTACGTGGCAACTGAAATTTACATCGATTTAAAACACTCTACCGCCAATTTGAATATGAATCTAGTTGAGATTAAAATGCATGATTTTCCTTCATTGAAGAATGCAGTTGCTCGATTTCATATCATGAACACATTGTAATTAAAAATGAGTTTTTCTTTCAATAAACAAACAAATCAGTATCTAGAAATAACGAGACTCTTTATTCATTTTGTATTATTCTTCTTACTTTTTGTTCAAAGCCAGATTTTTTAAAACTTTTTTTCTGTGATTTGTTCCATTTGATATGTAACGCATAAAATTAAATTTTGATTTAATCGACTGATACAGTTCATGTCTTAAATCCCATAATTTTTTCACTTGACATTATTTGCAAAAAACATTGAGTTAAAATTTGAAAAAAAAACTCAATTCGAGCTAAAAAAAACATAACCCCATTTTATGTCTAGTTGACGCAAGTAAAAACAACAGACACCGTGTTCCGTGTTATAAATACCTATAAAAATTGGAATAGTAAAGTTTATCGTGCTAGGGAAATAATTCTCAAATTTGCAACAAAAAGAGCTCAATTTGCGTCATATTGTTGCTATAAATTCGAAGCAAATGTTAATTCAATCCACCAGTCATTTACCGAGATTCAAGTGTAAAAATCAAAATACTTCCAGAACAAAAATGAAATACTTTATTTTTGTGTTGATCGCCTTCGAGCCCTAATTTGGCAATGCTGTGGGCCGCGTTTATTTACAGATAGAAAATCTTCATTTAAAGAAATATTTTATATACAGTAAATCTGTGAATTACACAATTTACTGTGTTTAAAACTTGTGCGCATGCCTGTTTCTGTCCTATGTTCTCTCTCCCGCACACGTGCATGCCAGTCAACAATAATCAGCACAATCATATAAGTTAAGCTGTTTCGTACTTTTATTCTAAATTCTACATAAATTTACAACAATAGCAAAGCAAATTGATGAATGTACAGTGTACACTGCATAAATCGATTTGCTTTGCTATTGTTGGTGACTTTTGCAGAATTCAAAGTAAATGTACGAAATAGGGCATAAATTAATATGTACGTTTCGATTCCTTATGATTGTTGCATCGGCTGGGCTGGCATGCTCTCTCCTCCGCACGCGCGCATGCCCGCCCAGCCGAAGTAACGAAAATTTTACTGAAAAGAAATGTTTTAAATGGAGATAATTGTTTAATTGACAGATTTACTGTATATAAAACATTTCTTTAATTGCAGATTTTCCATCTGTATATAAAGGCGGCCCAATGCTGTGGCTACCTAAGGTCCTGCACCGGCGCCTCTATTGAGAAGCGTCATCATTTATGTGGTCAGAGATTTCGCATCTAAGATTATTCCTGTGTTCATGCAATTAGCTCCACCTAATACAGAACTATCGGTTAAAACAATCGTAAAAACTCTGCAATACATACCGGAACCTAATGCCATCACGGTGATCACCGCTCTGCTTCAACTCGTTGGCATTAATTTAAGTTCAATTCCTGCATTACAAACTCTATTAACACCAGTTTCACGAGTGAGAATAAATGACATTCTCAACAGATTGCTGAGATCGATTTCAAACGGTGCCAAAACAGCTAAATTTTCGGTATTAGTTAACATAGTTGCCTACTTTTTTGCCGATTTCACAACGGAGGTATATGTAAACGAATTGAACTATCTAAGTTAAGAATATAACTCTTAAATGAATTTTCAACTCAAACAGTGAAAGAATAATAAGCAAAAATTCAACTGTTAACATATTTCAAATGAATAAAGCCATAAAGTATGAAACATCAAAGAATTTCTTTTTCATTGCTATCGTGAACTTTGTTTCAGATGCTAATACTCTTCAAAATAACATGAATTTTATGGCAATATTTCATAAATTGTCCTTTTTATTGAGTATTTTCAAAGTACTTCAAGTTAAAAAAAAAGAGGTGGGACTACTGATCCTTTCACCAGCTTTGTTTTTATTCCAGTGTGTACATTTCCTTCAATTCAGAGTAATTGAAAGAATTTTTTATGACATTTTGATTTTTTTCAACACTAGAATCAATAAATAAGTTTGTAAATTGGGTTCGCTTGGTTAAGCTACATTTTTGTTTGTCTACAATGTAGGCGACATCAAATCGAAATTGACAAAAACAAGTGTTTGGATAAATAAATAAATAATATAAAGAGATGGCTCTACTTTTCAAAAGTATAGGGCAAATGATTGCACAATCGTGATGTACCATTCTGGTATAAATAAATATTTCTATTATTTCAATTTGTCGGTTGGTTTTGTTGTGTGTGTATGGATCGGCTCAAATTATTGCTTCAGCTTCTTCTTCAATTCGTACGATGGCTCTTGCTCGTATTCGAAAGCATTCTCTGAGAAAAGAAATAGAGAAATATGATCAACTGAATGAAAGTCCATTTGGCCAATTCACAACTAAAACAGTTACCGTCGCTGAGGGCTTCCAACCAACTTGGCTTAGACTTCGTCTTTGTCTTCGAACCCAAGCCTATAAATGTAATGTACACATAGTAAATCATTTCAAAAAACAATCAAACGAAAAGTCATTCAAGACAGAATGTCATAGCAAAATTACCACTTTTCGGGCGATTGTTCGGCTTTCCCTTCGGTTTCACTTTCGTTGGCGCTTTTGGCACCACAGCCGGCCCTGAAAAACCACAAAACACAATGAAATAAATTGAAACTGACTCAACATTTCCAAAAATACCTTTTTTCGTCACTTCATTGGGTCTCTTCAGAACTTTTGGTAGCTGCTGCGGCTGCCACGACAGTGGGCTCGCTGCTGAAAAATGAATGTGAAAATTGAGTCAATTTCAAATTCAGGTGATCTACCTGAAATAGTACGTACCAACAGTTTTGAGTTGGAGATTGCGAAACTTTGGCTTTTCCTTTTTCTTTCCACCTTTGACCGATTGCACATTTGCCATCGGTTTGGTTGGTTCGTTATCGTCTTCAGTCAAGTCAATGAATTCGCTCAATTTTGGTTTTTTCGTGGGGATTTGTGAGTTTGGAACCTCATCTGAATATCGGAGAGAATTGCCCTTTGATTATGAATTTCATCGAAACGATATTGATTTCAAAATTCTTACCGTGTTCAACAGTGTCAACAGGTTCGCAAATGTCATTCAAATCAGTCTTGTTTTCTTGCATCGGTTCGTCGGCTGGGACAGACTCTTGTGATCGCATGATGATATCCTCTTCACCTGAAAATATTAACGAACATATACGATACTATAATTTATGGTTGAAACTAGTATGACCATTTTCCCCAGAAAAATCAAAAATCGATTGAAAAATGCAAATATGTCGAAACTTAGCATTCAATTCATTATCACAAAAGGGTCAATCGATACATTACCAGCATTCATCGAATCATCACCTCCATCGTCGCCATTGTCGCTACCATCGTGGCCCGTAGTTTTCGGTTCATCTTGTTGATGAAAATCAGCTTTCGGTTCGTCCACCTTTGACTCTTGCGAATTGTTGCCATCTGGAAATACAATGTATTGAGCTCAAAAATTGATATCTGAATTATATAGCATTCTGGAACATTATTTGCTTTCAGTTTGTTAATTTTACCATGACCCATGTAACCATCTTCAAATACGTCGCCATTTTTGCGCTGTTGGTTATCCGCTGCGTCGCTCTCTTCAATTTCGTCATTTGGACGATTTGAATGTGTCGGTGCCTCTTGATTAACCTGTCGCACAATCGGGTTATGCAGCATTATCCATGAATTATTTGCACAACCTGAAAGAAAAATCCAATAATGTTCCATCAATAAGAAGAAAATATGCCCAAAACAGAACAATTTTTTTTTTCATTTGTACCATTCAACTGAGTTTCTGGAACCATCGACTCGGGTAAACTCACTTGCGTAGGTTGTTTCTGTGATAGGTTCTGGTTTGAATTACCAAAAATGAAGTTTTTGGACGGCGATGTGACCATATCATGAGCGGATTGCTCTAACAAGTCTTGAGCTGAAATTGAAACACAAAGTGAAACAAATTGATTGATTAAAGCACAATAATCAATATAAAATCATTCAATCGAGTATACTTTGATGTTCGGTTGGTGTGTTGAATAAGTCGATCGGTGTGTTGTTGTTTATTTCCTTTTCGATATCACAGTCATTTGTTCCAGCAAACGGCACAATCGATACGTTTGTTCCCGTCAAATTAACTGAACTGTCATTCTCTGAAATGAAGGAACAATGCATATCATTGAGTGTAAAGAAAACCAAATGACACTCAACATCGCATGAATTTGTTTCGGAGTGGAATGAAAACATAGATGAGATGCCAACTTTGCGCAAGAAAAAACGATCGAAATATCTTGAGATTCAATGACTTTGGGCACAATTATCGGGTTTTCGTCGGTGCAATCAGCGGATGGTTCCTCGGCTGCATGTATTTTTGCATTCACAATGAATTGTGGGTGAATGTCGTCATCATCATCATCGGAAGCATCATCTGAGGAATCATCGACTACCGAATCCATTGTTAATACACCGGATATAATACAACAAACAAAAAAAATAACAGAACCATTGTCAAAACTTACTGATAATCGGATCTTGTTCAACAGTTTCAAACGGTTCAATTCTGTCAATTGACCGATTCAGCAAAGATTGGTGCAAATCCGGTTCGGAATCTGATGGAATGAATCTCATTAGTTGCACAGATATTCTAAGACAATTTTACGATTTTTTTCGTCATTCAACTTACCTGTTTGAAGTGGTTGAGCGAGGTCAACTTGGTTTGCTTCAATTTCATCATTGTCAATCGGATAGACTGCGATCGTTACGCCGCCATTGTCATCGTCCCATTGTTGAAGAATTGCTTCACATGCCTGTCGAACCGGGTCCAACGCATTGTCGGGCAGTTTTTTGATCACCTCGAAAATCACTTTTTCCTGGTTTGCTCGCAGTGTGCTCTGATTCGGGCGCAGCAAACGCATCGAAATACCTTGATCGGGATGCTTTGTGTGTACACCATGGAACGATGAAACTAGAAGCAGTTTCTTCGCTTTGTCAAAGCGCAGTGTGATTCGGCCATGACAGTTCACTTCATTTCCATCGCCTTTGTTGCTCTTGCGCTGTGCGCAAACCAGTGCTAGACTTTTGTACACGAATTTGTCGATTGTGGCTTGGTCGAGCGTTTTACCTTTGAAAGTGCCTGGCTTGAGTTTTTCACCGCTTTGTTGCACGAAATGTAATGGGATGCCGTTGACAGCGTTTCGTCGACGATACTCTTCGAATACCGCTTGAAACTGCGCATACGACTCGAATTTGGCACCATCAAAAATCAATTTCGACATTTTGCCCGCGAAAATATCCACTGAACTTATATTTCGATTCGATTTTTGTCACTAACAATACGTTCACGCTAACAATTCCCCTTTTATGCGTAATTATGGTGCACCATTTACCGAATTCACATGGTGCCTTCACTTTGATATGCTGATTCACTCACAAACCGAAAACAACTGATGACTGTTTTGCGCTGTGCGAATTTCACAACGACATTATTCGATTCATTAGAACTGATCCAGTGGGGTTCGTTCTTTTGTTCTAAATGGTTTTTTCTGGTTGAAGCAATTTGATCTGAATCAAAACGTTATTAGCCTTGATTTTATGGTCGATATGATTTTCGTATAAGAATCTCTTACACAAGATTATATTTCAATAGACGATTTAAAAGATACACAAATTGAATGAGTAAATAATTGAAATGAGAAAGTTATACAGATCGATCTCAAAATTTTCATTGACTATCACTTTGCCTTACGCTTATAACTCAAGTCCGTCATGAATGCAATTCTATTAAAAAAAACGAAAGACATGCAGTTCGACTCAGGCATAATTAAATGGATAGCCTCATATTTGAATGCGAGATCGATGAAAGTGAAAATAAATAGCAGCCTCTCCAATGATTATGCAATGCACACAGGTGTCCCAGCTGGTAGCATTTTAGGCCCTGTTTTGTTTTTAATTTACATTAATGATCTACCGACCATATTTGAGAAATATATCAAGATCCTATTATTTGTGGACGACTGCAAAGTAATAATGAAAATAAAAAGTAACGATGATTTAGTTTTGTTTCAGTCGGAAATTGACAAGTTAATAAAATGGTGTAAAGACAATAAATTAGAGTTAAATATTTTGAAATGTGCTGTTCTCACCATGAGTAGATGTGAGGCGAAATTTGTTGGAAAATATACAATGAATGACGTATTATTGAGCAGAGTTCATGACTTTCGGGATTTGGGTATAAGAATTGATGAACGATTAACTTTTAAAAAACACATTGAGTCGTTAGTTGCTTCTTGTAACTCCACAATGGGTTTCATAAAACGCACAGCTGGTAAAAGATTTGACACTGAAACACTTGTTATTTTATTTAATTCATTCGTAAGAAGTAAATTATTATTCGGCATAGCAATTTGGTATCCATTTACATCCACAGACAGAGACTTTATTGAGGGGGTTCAGAAAAGATTCACTATGATGGCACTTAGAGAATATCCCAATGCAAGTAATAATTACAAAATTCGTCCCTACGATGACCGTTGCTCTGATCTAAATATTGATTCGATTCACAGTAGATATATTTATGCCTGTTGTGTGTTCATATATGATCTGTTGCATAATAATTTAGAGTCAGATTTCTTGAAATTGAAATTAGTATGGAATAATAATAGACCAACACGAAACTCAGACTTATTGAAATTACCAACGTTTACAAGTGATTACTTAATAAATCAGTCCTTTTGGTCAGCAGTTAGACATTTTAACGAAACTTAATTACAATACGCGAATAATAATGATAGAAACAGTTATGTTAAGGCAATTAGAGATAAGCAAATACTGTAAAAGGGTCTGTATTAGATCGATAAATAAATAAATAAATAAATAAATAAATAAATGAATATATGCGCTGAAATGAATCATGACCATATAAGAAACTATTTTCGCGAATGTTAAAATGATTCAATTCGAAAGTTGTTGTTCTAAGAATGATATTTTTCTCAAGTTTCTGAGACAGCGAAAATCAATTATCCCAAAAAGTCATCAATGACTATTTTAATTGATGCTAAACATCAGTGGATGGCGGAAAAATACCCGAAATCGGAATTATTCAGCTAAGATGTTTCATGATGGAGACATTTTTTGGACAGAAATTTACATAGTCCCAATGTTGAGTTATTTTATCCATCGTTTCTTCATGAATAAAAGTGATCCTTATGGTGATGTTCAAGTGAAGGATAGTGCTTAAAAATGGAGCAAATGAGTTCCAGCGAGATTGATCGAATTTATGGAGAATTGGAAGCAATGCAGGAGCAAAATTTGTAATGTGTTGCAATATATGTGTCATAAATTGCATTTCTTTACATTTCATTTTACATCATTTATAAAATAACACTGCTATTTGTTTGAGCAAATAAATAATGGTTTGCTGAAAAAATAAATACAAACTTTCAAAAATATGCGCTAAATTCTTTTAAATTAAACTATTTGTTAGTCTTATGCGAGCGTGGCGACACCTAAAGTCATTGAAAACGCATCGATATGGATTGCAGATACGTGACAAAATAGAATGGCATTGATTTGGGCTTTAGTACATTTACTTTCCCTTTCTTTCGTTCGAATGGTCAAGCGTTTGTATTTGAATGTTCTATGTCGCCGTTGCTATGCACACGCACAGCGCACACTATTACATCACCTGTTGCGAGTATGTGTAGCACTGAAAGAACAATATTAATCTCTAGCGTTCCAATGTAGTTGGATTTTATTTCGAATCATTTGCTTGTCAAACACACTTCACATCATTTTCGTTGACACTGTCGGCTCCGTTGAATTTTAACATAAAATTCGTTTGTGTCGTTTTGCATTGAAATATTTCCTCATTTTTTTTTTCATTTCATCTAAGTGTTCATATCAATTGAAAGGATATTGCTATTATTGTAAAAAAATTGTGAATAAGGTAAGGTGTATCGGAAATGAATATTGTGCAAATTATCACTTTCATTGACCTTTTATGACATTGACGCCATTACCGGTCCGAAATGCAATTCAATAGGCTTTCGATTCAGCTTGACAAATCGAATATTTATTGCTGATTTACTAAAGGTGAAACATTTTCTGTTGTTTTTTCTTCCACAGAAATGACACAACCAAAAGTTCAAGAAAGTATGGATCGATTGCTGTCCAGCTTAACGAGAAATCTCAGAAATACACTTGGCAACATTTCCGAGCATAACGAAAAGGCGAAAAATGAAGACGGTTTGGCGGCTATACCGATCGACGACGCTCTCAAGATATATTTGACCGACAGTATTGTCGGGTTGTAAGTTTTTTGGGCAAAATAAATGAAAATTCATATCAGATTTTGTATATTCCTATATTTCCTCTTTACAGTTGCCGAAATTCTTGCCGAAATTTGATGGAAGAGCGACAGAGATTAAACGCGTACAAAAGACGAGTGAACTCCAATGATGACGCACCACCTGAGAAAGCACCCGCGGCCGGCTTTGACATCAATGACCCAGCCATTGCAAGCAGCACATTTGTGGTGAAGGACGAATTGACTACAGCTGAAAAAATGACTACAGCTGAAAAAGTGCCGAACGATAAAACATCACCAATCATGGATAAAAAAGAAGGGAAAGAAAAAAAATTGTACCAATAAAAATAACAGTCTAGAGACTGGATGTATCTTCCCACAGAATAGATTCTATCGAATAATAAAAAAAACTGTCTGTTGTTCAAAATTCAACTGGACCGACCAGCATATTCATTACGTCCGAAATAAAGTGTTTTAACATCATTTGTCACATCAATGTTTCCTAACTCTGAGCCATAGTAGCAGAAAAGCAAGAATATTGAATGCCAAATACAAAGCCGCCAAGGCGTAGAAATCAGTGTAGAAATCGTCTTCAGTAAAATCGAATTGACTATAGATCTCCTCAGCCGATCCAATGCACGGCAATTGAGCTTCAAAATTACAAGCTGTCAAATGAAATGAAATGAGGTCCGAATTAGAAATAATAAAAACTTGAACTAATTTGTGAATCGATGTTGTTTACTTATGTTGGTAACGCCTTCCCATTGAACGATTGTCATCGCTTCGTTGGCATATTTCATCCAAGATACATACTTAATAACATTCAACGGATATGGAATGGAGCTGAAATGATTTTGATAAGATGGTTTAGTGTCTTATTTTGCGTGTTGTTTGTTTGATCGGAAATTACTTGAGTTTTATAAAGACACCGGAAGTGATCATCAGAGAAACATCGAACGGAACGAGAAATCCAATGGCCATGTCCACCGAATTGAATGCAATTGAAAAGAAACAACCTAAAAATGTTTGAAATTAACCGGAATTCTTTACCCAATTTTTGTTTAAAATCATAGAACTTTTACCGCAAGCTGTTGCAACATTCATAACAATAATTGTTACTATCGATGTTATGAAGATTGCGTAAAATGTTGGTCTGAGTTCAGCCAAAAAGTACAAAATTATGGTAAAAATGAAGGGTTCAACAATCAAGCTAGGTATCTGTAATTAAATTAAAGGTGATGAAACAACAATTGGTCATCGCAACTTTCGTTAATCTCACCAATGCAGCAACATTCGTTATATAGTACTGAAGTGTATTGTATAAGCCTGCCTGTCGTTCACGTATGAACAATGGATCTCTTCTGGGGAACAGACTAAGTGCTGAATACATCGGCGCAAATGTATTTTCGGATATCAGTATAAACAAAGCTCCTTGCACCGACTGAATGCCATACTGATCCAAGCTAACTGAACCGTAGAAACAAAGACCGGCCATTATGGCAATTGCCTATAATCGAAACGTTTACGTAATAATACATTCTCTAGTTCATTTCGTTCAAAAATTTAACAAACATAAATTCTCACAATTTTTTGTACAATCCGTAGTTTTTGAATGGAAGGATCTCTCGCCACAATCAGAAAATTCCGATAGATCAACCAATAAACTGTGAATATCCAAAGCGGTTTTTGAATTTCATACTGCTTATTATCCTCATCGATAACGAAACCGTTCGGTCGTTCGTTCACTTGATCTTTGCGAGACGCTTCGAATGCATCACAAAGCTGATGAGCAATATTGTTTGGCTCTTGTCCCGGTTCAGTCTTCGATAGGACACCAATCAAAAAGTCGGCGGGATTGAATGCAGCAGGACACTGATATCCATTTCTAAAAGAAGACACATGTTTCTTTAAGTAATAACTATTCAAATGTATCCAGTTGAAACAATTTGCTTATTCGATATTTAACATCGACTCCATTTGAAATACCTACAATGAGAAAAATGAAATGGCTCCATCAGGAGTGCCGATAAAACTAACACGACCATCGGCTAAAAGTAATAGCTTGTGGAACATGGAAAATATTTGACTCGAAGGCTGGTGGATTGTGCACATGATCGTCGTTCCTTGTTTTGTCAATCGAACGAGAATGCTCACAAGTTGCTGCGCACTGTATGCATCTATAGAACGGGAATCGATTTGTATTTTGATTCGTTTCAATTTCATTCTCAATTCCAAATTGTTTTGAACTAAATCCAATTTACAGGAGTGAAATCATTTACCTAATCCCGTGGTTGGTTCGTCACAAAAAAGGAGAACTGGATTGGTTAGAAGTTCCGCAGCAAAAGATAACCGTTTCTTCTCTCCACCGGATAGCGCTTTGCCTTTGTCAGTATCCCCGATTCGAGTATTGACGCAATGTAATAAGCCGACCCTGCCCAATGTTGAATTCACTAAAGAGCTCTTCTTCTGTCTGCTGATCCGCTTGTCCAGTTTAAGATTCGCCTAAAACGATTGAGGTTTCAGAATCGTCGTATTTAGAATGTCTTTTTTTTTTAAGAAGCAATGCTCACAATAAAAGTCATATGCTCCAAAACTGTTAAAGTGCCATCAAAGATATCTTCTTGGTGCACGAAGCCACTCAAACGATGCATAAATGGTCCAACTGGTCGATTGTTTACTAGAATTTCACCTTTTACGACAGTTCCAGCTAGAATTGTTATGACATTTTAGAACACTTCTCAAAATAAAAGTCGCTCTCATCGAGGAGATCATTCAATTACCCATGTTCCGAAACGCCAATGCAGAGAATAGTGTAGTTTTTCCGGCGCCACTATAAAAATCGATTACATTCATTACATTACTCAAATTTTATATTCACAATTTAATTGATAAAAAATCGCCCGAACCTTGATCCCATAACCGCCATCAAAGTGCCGGGCTGAATAAATCCCGTCGAATTGTTTATGATTTGCTTTAGATTCATTTTTCCTCGTCCATTTTTCTTATCTTTTGTGTAAACATTCACATTTCGCCAAATTAATGTAGCTCCACTGCACGGTTTGGTGCATTGTATGTCATCCATTTCGGTAATTTCGGAATATTCACCCATTTTTATCTATTACCCAATACTTATTGTAATAGTAGCTTTGTTTATCACTTCCACTAGCTGGTGAACTTGTCAATAAGATATTTTGCACACTATTTACAAAACCCAAAGACTATTGTTTCCGAAGCTCTAGCTGCCAGTCTAGTCGAATATAAATTGATTAGCTCTGACTTACTTCGCAAGATTTCTTCTCGTTCACAACTTTATACTGCTCTTATCAAAGAGTAAATAATGAAATTTCGGTAAATTTCGTCCAATTTACAACGAGAATGATAACATTGTGCTGAAAAAAAACAACGCGTCTTGATGCTCGACCTTAAACAAATAATGAAAAAAGCATGTCTCACATTTTTATTACGGCCTATGCGAGTAATAAACCCAGATGAAAACTAAATGGTAAACATGTATCGCATCAATTTAAAAATATCGTGTATTTTTTTCACTGAGGGAACCTGGAAGAGATTTTCTTGAATCAATGTAACATGATCGCTGAAAACAAGTTCGTGTAACTCCCCGAGAAATCCAAAATAGTGCCTAAAGCTAATGGTATAATAGCAAGCAAATACAAATCTAACGCTATGAGCCATATTTATGATTTAGCTACTGCTTCGGTCACATGTAATTCTATCGGTTTTACATGCGTGTATTTTATGCTCTCCATTGGTATTTCTCTCTATCGAGCAGTCACACTTGCACTTTGTTCATTGTTGCTATTTCATTCGCAAGAATTTTTGGTGTCTACTTCTGCTCTACGTTGCTTTACCGTCAGAGAAACCATTTCAGTGCCGGAGCACATAGATCATTGAACACTCGTTGTCATACACGTCGTCGTAGGCTATGTTGATTGATAGTCGGTTTTAGAGAATGGTGACACTGGAATTTATGAATGAAACACACACGAATCATGGAATTGGATTCAACATAATTTATTTTTCATTGTTTTTGGGGCTCATCGATACGAAATATAAATTTGACTGTTCCGAAATGTAAGCTTCGCGCGACATCTGTCGACTGGGGTGAGAAACTGGTGCACATTTAATACATAAGCGAAATAAATAAAGAATAGAAGAAACGTCAACGGCACGAAACACATGGTTTGCTCAACTCAGGGCTCTAAACAACAAAGACAAAATTGCAAACATGTTTAGTTTTATTCGTGTGCAAACAAGGTTAGAATGTGAAACTTTCTTCTGATAGAAAAGAATCAATTTCTTCATATAAAATACTATGAGAATTTGAAACCAATTGATATTTTCTCTTTGAATTATATTCAAAAACATCTATAAGAAGGTCTAAAAAAACAGTTTTTCTTTTCCCTATTCCAGATAACGAGTTGATGCATTTTTAAATACAATGTCCGTCGACAAATCGAAGAGGACACCATTCTTTTCAGTATTCAAATACAAGTGCACATTTCCTGGCTGTAACTTGGAATTCCGACGAAAAGATCGACTAGACACGCACGAGTTTACCCATAGCGGAGTGAAAAAGTTCAAATGCACCGAGCCAAATTGTCACAAAGAGTACGTAACCAATTCACATTTGCAGCGTCACAAACGAACTGCTCATGTCGAGGGAAAGAAGGCTCTGTACTGTCCGCACGAATCCTGTGCTCAAATCTTTGGATCCAAAGCTACTGTGAAAGAGCATTGCAATTTGGTCCATTCGGAAAAGCCACGCGAGTTCGAATGTGAAACGTGCAATGAAAAGTTTCGACGGAAAACGCAATTGAAACAGCATATGTTTTCACACACGGGAGCCTATTGGTACACATGTGATAAATGTGGAAAAGGCTTTTTGCTGTTGAGTCGTTTGAGACGGCATGCCGAATCACATCGGACCAGGCAATGTGATCACTGTGATTTGACATTTGATAAATGGTCTCTGCTTATGGCACACAAACACAAGGCACACTTGAACAGCGATCTGAAATGCTCAGTTTGCCATAGGGAATTCCATTCGAATCGTGTTTTAAAGCAACATTGCAAAACACATACGGATCTCGACGAACGAACGGTATTTCCATGTCCGTTTGAAGGCTGTGCACAATCTTTCCTTCAGAAACGGAACATGCTCGCTCATTACAAGTCAAAGCATGAGAATCGCAAGTTTGTATGCACATACGATGGTTGCACAATGGAGCTGAGCACGAAACAAAAGTTGGATTTTCATATTAAGGTGATACATTCGGGCGAAGCTGGCCAAAGCAACTCAAAGAAGAAAGGTAGAAGGGCCGAGAGAAAGGACAAAGGCATGCAGAAAATTTCCACCGCATCGAAACTCTTCAACATCATTTTGCCGCCAACACTCGAACAGGTCATCATTTCAGGTCAAGGAAAGAATATTCACATTGAATACGATCAAATTGAAGGAGAATTCGACGACAACAGTCATGAAAAAAGTGGCAGTTTAGAAATGTCTCCACTGATCAACACCAACAAGATCACTGCAGAAGCCGTGAAATGCTAAACTCCATGAATATCACTTTATTTTTAACAATTCACTTTTGAATATTTTTGCTCGCCATTGTTTGACTGGTTTTCAAATAAAGATTCATGTTATTTATTCAAATGCTAAAAAGAATATCAAGTTTAAAATTTTCGACTTTTTATTTCTAAATTCAACGTAGCGATGAACGTACACAATGAAACAACTTGCAATTCAAAGGTAAGTTACAGGGAATTATAAATCTTTCTCTTCCGTTTATCTTCCAGCCATTTTTCGAGCTTCTGTTCGGGTGTGACTTGGTTGCGATAGTAGTCTTTTGGTGGTTTTCCCTCTTCTAAACGAACGAAATAGTGACAGTATTTGTATTCCACACGTCCAATTCTGCGTTTTGCATGACGACGAATCCCTTTGAGAACGTATCCTTTGCCACAGAATGATTCGGCTATTGCGAATTGAAGAATAAAAATCAACTCATTACGTTTTTTTTCTCTCAATGGTTTAAAGAATTTTCGTGTCATACTCACCAACCCACAAGTTGCTTTTGAATTCAACGTTGTGCTCTTTAACTGCTTTTTCTTGGGCTTCCAAAAGTGTTTCCAATATCGAAACAGCACCTTTTTTGGCAACAAATCGCAGCTGGCGAACTGCCTCATCAATCGTCATACCGCGAATCAAGCAAGCAATGTACCACATCTTTTCTGGACTGTACTTGATATTCGCCTTTTGGTGGCAAATAAACTGAAAACGACAAACATATTGAAATAAATATGTGAATTTTTGAAACAACCAATATAAAATGGTAATAAGTCAATCGTACCGCCGGTCTGGGTTCTTCGTCTGGTCTTTGTGGTGGATACATTTTGTCATTGTACGAAAGAAAATGTGTTGGCCCATCGTTGTCACCCTTTTCTTTCTGCAGCATGGCGCTGGTATGGAATTGTGAATTGCTCAAAACTGATACGCTCGGTGCGATTTTCGAGGCAATACCTCGAAAAATTGACAACATTTTCGAAAAAAAAAACTCTTTCTTGTTTTGCTTGCTACTGAAGAGGTTATTTTCTACAAAATATGAGGTTATGTTTGTCAATCGTGAAGTGTCAACGAGAGTTTAGTGAATGAAATTGCCCAGAGAGCGTTGTTGAGAGTAAATTGAGTGAATTTCGTTTGACGTCTGTCATAACGAACTGTTTGTTTATACGGTCGCTACATGTGAGAGTGCTGTGCTGGTGTGCATGTGTGTGTGTGTGTGGGCAGGCGGAAAAGCGAGAGAATGAATAATGAGAAAAATAACACAGTGGAGCTCATTCGTTCAAATGTCAAATATGAAAATGAAAATCCGTTGTGTTACTCTCAAAACCATATGTGCTGGTGCTGAGAATTTGTGAGAGACTCGAAATACGCGTGCGTACCAAATGGAAATGAGTAAAAATTCAATGCTGTGCGCAAAAAATGTACTAAATAGTTGCGGTAAATGGAAAGAGAAGCACGAAAAGAAAAAATCAAATACCTGAACATTAGTTGTCGACGACTGAATTCACGGATTAGCGCCAATTCGTAAAAGTCGTAGCTATGATTCTATCCCAATTGAACATTTATGTAATTAACGAAGCGCAATAAAATAGTGGAAAGCACCAATTAAGTGAGTTGAATCAACGCGAGATCGAGAGAGAGAGAGAGAGAGAGAGTGAAATTCCCAAAACAATCCGAGAACAGAGCACACACATTTTTTTGGGTGCTGCTGCTAAAATCAATTGGTGTTGCGTGTGTACACAACGAAAATCGTTCAAAATTTTGACGCGAGAACCTGAGATTTTTTTTAGTTCGCCGTGGGACTGTGCGTATATATATATGCTGTAACACAATTTGGCACAGTTTTGGTGAGAGACTGTCAGAGATTCATTCAAGGGAGTGAAAACACAGGCGATCGAAACAAAGTCGCAAATCAAAGTACCTCAAGAAACATACTTACCACATTTTTTGCAAGTAAGAATTTCACCCTAACTCCCATAAATTATATATTGAATTTGTGAAAGCGAAAAAAGGCAACAAAAAAAACATATCGAATCATCGAGATCAGTCTTTTTATGTGTGCGCGGGGTAAAAACAAAAATAAACAAGGAAAAAGAGCAGAAAATTACAGCTCACAGTGAAAAAAAAGGAAAAAGAGAGGTGTAAAAGAAAAAAAAATAGAAATGCATTTTATCCCACCCTCTATAATTGTCGAAGCATGGGGTGGTGCGAACTATTTTATTGAAATTGAAAAACATGACTTAATTCCTTTCAAATAGCGCCTTGTGAGATATCAAATGGTGTGTGAAAATCCAAACTCAATTGCAAAACATAACTAGAATAAAACTTATTCAACACACTTGTCTTATTGTTTGCAATCATTTCTCCATTACATAATTCTGTGTTATAAGTTCATCACTATTTCATGGACGAAAATTGTCTTCAACTCGCCTTGAAAAAGAAGAGAAATAAAATCTAATTGTAACGGAGCCATTTGATTTATATACGCTCATATGTTAGTTGAATCGAAGAGTATCGATTTGGGTTTTAGTGCGCCAAGTGTTGAAAGCCAATAATAAATGCCATTTATATAGTATATACCCTATACTAAATCTATACAACAATATATTATGTATTTCATTGAATACAGCAGTTGATTTGCCCAGTGATGACTATCGACAAAAATGGGCCCGATGAAATTCCTGCCAATGAAAAAGATGAATCGCCTAACAGCAAGGAAATCACAGAAAAGGTAAGCAAACACTAAAGAGTCAAAACCACGCAATCTAATTAAATGCTCAGACATTGAACAAATGGTACCACTATTATATACTATTTGATACGTATCGTTTAGCGAGTGTGACTTGAGTATGTGTGTGTGTCTATGTACGTGTGTGAGAACCAAAAGTGAGCGAGCAGAATGAGTTGTTAAGCTGTTTGTATAACTATTTGGCGATTGCCTTCCCATAAATTAAAATTTACGAGTTTTTTGTCCTTTTTTTCGCTTTCTCAGTTCTGCTTCTCGTTTAATTCCTATTTTTAGCCTAATAAATTCTTATTATAAATAAATGAAATTAACATTGCACTGGCGCACGTAATTACATCCAATTCAATTAACTAGCACGCGTCTTTCGCTATTACCATTTACTTAGACGATTGTGTTGTGACGCGTAAGCAATGGAATCGCCCGCCGTTTTCAGTGGCGCGTTTTTCTTCTCAATATCCTCTTATATTGAAATAATAACAATATTGGCATGTTCAAGCACGTTCCTCGCGACAAATCGATTCTGAACATTTAATAACGGTGCAATTTCATTGAAAAATGTGGGTTTCTCACCCGACGTTCCGCAAAGTTTAAGTTGGAGAAAAATTACCACTGGCTTAAATGGGAAAAATAAAAATCAATTATTGAAAAACAAATATTTCATGAAATTTAAATGAATGTGTACTGACTTGTGTACAATGTAATGGCAAATTGAATATTCAAATGGAATGTATTCTAGAAAAATCGATCACAATTAAAAGTACTTTATGAAATAAATTGTACATATGTCTTTTTCATGCATTTTTTAGATTACCGTGCATTTTATGCTGGGATTTCGTGAAATATGCAGTGTAACAGCCGCATTGCCAATGGTAACGCTATTTATTTGCTTCGTGAGTGCCGTTGTCTTCCAGTTCGATGATGTACATGAAACACATTGCCGGGTTCGTGTTATTCAATATATTGTTTCTTTACCACTACTCCATTTGCCGTCTCTGGTTTAACCCCATTTTCCACATACATGCTGTTTCCGTACCCGAAATAGAGAAAAAAAAACCGAACTAATGGTTGATTTGATTGATTTTTACCCTTCTTGCAGGTTTTCAATTTTATTCCATCGATAAGCGCCATAACGGGCATCAGTCCAAATATCTATTTTTGGCGAATAAGCATTGCATTGCATGTAGGACCGCGATTTATAATTGCCATTTGTTACAAAAGCTATTACGAGCATATGTTGTGCCATGTCAAGAATCCAATAGTCCACGGTAAAGGTACGTTGTACATGAATCTGGCGTTCTGGTTACACATCATCGAAATCACCTCGCTGTGCGGTGTCACGTACATTTCCAACCGAGAGAACTACAGTAAGTTTCTATTGGCTCATAAATTTTGCTGTGCGCCTAAGCGCCAACAGCAGCAAGAAAAATAAAGTTCTTCATTCAACTATCATTTATTTTGCATAAGTGGCATTAACATTTGGCATTGTGTCTTCTTTCTTTCTTTTCCTTCTCTTCCATTGCAGCTCTGCATGAACAAGTGTTCATTGTGTTTATGGTTTGTTCGTTGTGTCACATGCTGATCGTAATAAAACTATGTCAATTATTGAAACACGAAATCGATGTACAGCGATTGCCCCATTTGATTTTGATCGACGAGGAGAAATCCATCAAATTCAAGAAGATCCTGTTCAATATATCGATCATATCGACCATTGGTTTGGCTGTGTTTTTCTTCAAGCATCGAGTTTACTGCCACGATTTGGCATTCAGTGCGTTCGCATTCTGTGAGTACATCATTGCCGTGTGCAATTTGGCATTTCATTGCACCACCATGCTCGACTTTCCCTCGGAGTATCTCATGATCGCACGGCGCACCACAAAACTCAAACTAAAACACCCAACCGGTTGGAAATTGGATTAGATACAATAATGTAATGGCTCAATATCGATGATGCACGACCCGATCTCCGATGGCCGATGATTAGTGACAGCGGCGACGGCGATGGCGATGGCGACAGCAGCAAAATCTCGCCATAACAATGCACGTTTCGGATGGCATGTTTTTAAAATCTGAATTTGGACGAAAAGACGTGACCCATTTAATTTGTTTTCTTTCTATTTAATCCACAACACCAATTGCCCTACTTGGCCAACCAAGTTACCTGCACGAACCCACACATTCATGGCAGAGGTGACGAATTGATTACCTCAGTATCACTCACCTCAGTACTCACAGTTTTTTTTTCTCTTTATGGGGTATGAAATGAATCTGTATCGCAAACGGTTATCAGAGGGGGCTATATTCATTTCGATTCCTGATTTTTTTATTCAATGGAAATCATTAATTCCGAAGTCGTTCATTTTGATCAGTCCGGCGAATGAATGATTGAGATCCGTGAACGTTTCATAAATTGTGAGTCAACCATGTTCACCGATCTTTGTAAAATGTCAGTGAGAATAAGGTCTAGCGTTCACCAGTATTACACCTATAACCTTATAAACAAATAACAAACAAACAAAAAATTAATTAATTCTAGTCCTTTGAATTTCTAGTCAAATTAGTAGTGAAAACAAAAAATGAAATCAAAAACCAACCACACAAATACCAAAGTCTTTTACAACAAAGAAAAACAATTGGAATATTAATTTTAAGAACAAATCGTGTGAAACCACTTGCATTTAGTTGAATTTAATGAAATGAGAATGAAATTAGAATTTAAGTAGAAAAAAAGAAGAAGAGAGCTAGAAATTGGAACTATTTTTCTTGACACTCTACAATGCAGAGAGAACACACACACACACAAGAAAAGAAAAAAAAAGAAAAGAAAGAATGAAATTACTATGAGCTGCCGTGATGATATGAGCCCTGTCAACAGTCACCTGATTGACTGTTTTGGGTCAAGAACTTTACTTTTTTCTTCCAAAGAGCACCATATTTTTCTTCGAAGCCTTCATCAAAACTTTTATTGATTCAAAAGTAAAAAAGAAACTGAGTCTATTTGAAATGGAATTTTTGAGAACTGTTTTTAACGATGAAAAAAAATGAATATGAAAAAAACTCTGGTTTAGATTGAATGAACCTGTTTATTTAAATGACTAAATGTTATATTTTATATTGTTTTTCTTTTCAAAACCACACCGAATTGATTTCAATGGAATATAAACAAGCAAAAAAGCATGCTTCATTCGATTGGTCAATGAACAAAAATTGCTTAAGCACTTCCTTAAATTCCGTACGTGATTTTGCCTCTAATTGATAATTAATTATGTTGATTTCCCCATCGAGTGACCCGCAACATTGACCACACACACAAAACAAACGTGTTATAAACAAAAAGTATACCAAAAAAAAGAAGAAAAAATTGAACAATTAGCAACAAAAAAGTGTTAAATCCGTATAAAAAATGATGGAATATGTATTGTTATTGCGGAGACCAACAATTAGTTATCGAATACTTTATTTCTGTGATTTATCGAGTTACATGGATCGAGCGACGGACGTAATGTATATTCTATGTAAAGTTTTACTTAAGAACATAAACTATTGGGTATTTAATGTAAAGAGACAACTAAAATACACAAACAATTTTGGAACACGATTCGCCAAAAAGTGAACAGCTGCAATGCAAAGTGAAGCATTGTGTGCAATAAAGGAGAACAAATCAGATACGTTGACATGAATTTTAAACGACGACACCTATTTCACAGGGCAGACTAATTATTTATTTGATTATTCGAGCTTCCTTTTCGCATCATCTTTGATAAAAGCGTTGAGTTTTCCGAAAAGAAAAACAACACAAAATTCAAAATTAGTTTTTACTGTGTTTTTAATTCGCTAGCACACAAACACAAAATTTTTGCAACAAAAATGAAAAAAAAAAATAAATAAAGAATTTTAACCGTGACACACCTAATTTCCAAACCAATCAAGTACGTAAATGAAGAAAAACACACCCTATCAATTTGTACAAAATCAAAAACCAACTGATAAAATTTCGATTCGAATGATATAGAAATAGGCACGAATACCAATTTCATAGATGACATAATCACAAACTTACTAAAAAGAGACATAGGGAAAATATTTAGTAGATTTAAAAAAAATTATTGAAGAAGTTTAGCATCAATGAATAGGTGAACCGAACGCGCCACATTTATAAACATTTGAGAACTCCATAGAGCGGTTAATTGAGAAAAAGGAATAAGCAACAAATAGTTTCGTTTTCAAAATAAAAAAACACAAAAACATTAGAGAAAAAAAAATATTTAGAAAAAAAAACAGATTCAGCATTTATTCTCAACTTCTTTTAACGTTCCATCTGTTCTATCGTAATTTCCCCGCACCGAAATTTAAGGATGAAATGAAAAACCAAAAAATGCAACAACAACTTTGAATGAAACCAATAACTTCCAAGTGCACAATCTTCTTAATTCCTAGGAATTCATGCTTGAAACCAAAAACTAAAACGGAAACTAATTAAATTATTTGAAGAAGTGAGGGAGAGAGAAAAGTCAATCAATACAAATGACAAAAGAATTCTATCGAAAATGATAAAATGCAAAGACTATTCCGTACTGTACATATGACGATGATGATGACGAAGTGAGAGATATATTTCTTCACTAGTCTGAAATGAAAATGAACGAGCTAAACGTGTATCAATCAGAAGTTATGAAAACTAAAATGGGCAGTTCTAACAATAATAAAATTAAATCAATCAAAATAAACGCTAGTTATTTTTTCTCAGTTTCATTTTACATTTTTTGTTATTTGTTAAATTTTCCCGATTCCCCCTAAGCGCACCTTTTATTCCCATTCGAATGCGGTGCGTGTGTGTGATTGAGCTGAGCCAGTGCTGCAGATGTAACGGAAGTACGAGAGCCAAATATATACATGAATTTACTATAAATTTTTATAGTACATGAGGTTGTGTTATGGCATTAAAACGGTTTGGTTGAATTCAAGGCACACACAAAACATTGCATGAACTCACGTACAGTGAGGCACACATATGCTTTCGCTGTCTCTTCTCAGTTCATTGATATTTGTGCAAAGGAGTCCCGAGCCGATGCTTTGAGTGAAGGAAAAAAAATGACTAAACGCAACCAACACACAAACCAATAACAAACGAAGGTATACGAGAGGGAGAGCAAAAGAGAAAGAGGATATTATACGTCACCATCGTCTCTGTGCGTATCTCTCTGTAGAACCATGTTATTTACAGTCATTTGATGCGGACATATTCGCAAGCGATTGCATTGAGCCGCTAACAGAAATTACAAGTCCACTAGAATGCCGAGAAGCAGCAGCAGCAGCAATCGTGCCGCTGCGCAATGTATCTATGCGCAGTGAGGCATTCACTTGCCTTACATTTCAACCATTCCTCCGTTTAATTGAAATTCAACCAGAATGTTGAGTGTGCAGGCTTTGTATGTGGATAAGAGGGAGCCGAAACGCGAGTGACGACGACGACGACGACGACGACGATGTCTCTCTCTCTGTGTGTTTGTATATTTGGGTTTTTACTCTGTGCAAGTTTTGTGTGTATGCGTGCGCCTTGTGCCTGTGCCTATGCCAATAGCATGTACATACACAACGCACGCAAGCAAAGCAACTGCGAATAATAAATGGTCTTGTATATAGGAAAGCGAATGAGAATGCGAGAGAACGAAACGGGCAGCAAAGAAATAACGAAAAACACAACTGTATTCAACAGAATACACGTTAACATATTGCAATATCTGCCATTCTTGGCATTCCACACATATTCGACGGAATAGTTTTACGATTGTACGCAACAGAAGCGGTTTGTTTTCGTTTCTCTGTCGTTCGGTTAGTACACAGCACAGCAGCTAGCTGCAACATACATACTAAATAATACAGACGGTTGTTGATAGTTCGGACTGATATTCTTGGTTTTTTTTTTAATTCGCTGTTCAGTTCAAATTTCAAGCACAAAATTTGAAAACAATTTTAAATCATTTTTTTCCGGCCATCACAAATAGCTCTGGAAAGTGGATGAAAGTGTACTAATCAAATTGATTCGAAGTAACGATTGATTTGAAAAGCGAAATTTTGTGTCGCGACAATTTTTTTTTTATTGAAGCCGACGAAAAAGAAATTGACTTCTGCTGCAAGTTTTACAACAAATCTTATAACAAACAGAAAAAAATAGTTAAATCTATTGCGAGTGCATTTTATTCTTAGATCAAGTGAACGTTTAACTTTTTTACACTGGGTAAGTAACGACCAAAATAAAATTCATGATCATGTTCATTGTTTGCATTTTCGAGCGTTTAGTTCAGTTTATTTAAAAAGAAAAATTCTACATTTTTCGTTCGTTCCTTCTCTGGAAATTCTACTCTCTGCATATAAATTGTGTTCTCCTTTTTTTTTTACTTCATTTTAATTTTATTTTATTCCATTTTGGTTCATGGCTAAAACGACACACTCGTTTTTATTGGGTTTTTTTCCTCTTGTGCTCGCTTCATTCTCCCTCTCCCTCTCTCTCTCTCTTCTCTGGCTCTTTTATTATATGTGCATTCTGATTCGTGTTTATGTTTGTCGGTCCCCTTTTCCATTCGGTTCTGACTCGAAATGAAACATGAAAATATTTTCTGTGGAATTTAATGAGATGAATATTTGTGTTAGTTGAAATATTTCAATAAGATGGCGTTCCACGTATCACCCATCAAATACATACGTATACACACGCAACGGGCCAAATATATAGGTACAATTGTCCCGTCTGGAAAACGCTTGCGTCGCGTCGTCGTCATCATCGTCATCGTCGCTGCCAATCGCTCTAATCGTCACTGGCCCGTTTATGGCGTTATTCCATTAATTTCTCTTTTCTTTCCGGTTTTTTTTAGCATTAAAATTTTATGCAATTATTCATGGTCTTTTTTGGGAAGAAAATGAGTAAGAGTTGATCAAATGTTATCACATCGTAGCGGTTTTTCGTTAAAATTATCGACAATTTTGTGTGATAAGAAGCGATTGGTGTATACTTTTCAGACGGTGTCGTCGTCGATTCGTCAACAATGGGTCGATTCGTGTAATATATAACGCAAATAGTACGTGTATAAAAGGCACGATACTCAAGCATTGATATCTCTCCTTTTCTCTCCGTGTATATGATGTTGTCGTTGTCGATTCATCATGCTCTAGGTATATCGAATCGTACGCTCATACCTACGTATCGAACGACCGACCGACCGACCGACCGAACGAAGTAAATACAGTACAAACTCGCTTCACCAACCGCCGAATCGCTGTTGTTGTTGTTCGCCATGGTTTGTGTTCGTTCTGTTTGCATTACGTGCGCAAATACATTTTCTGTTGTGTGCCGATGCACACAGCCATAGCCAGAGAGCATTATACATAACAAAAGCCCACTGATGTTGTTTTCATATATATGCATTATAGAATGAACCGAGCGCACAGTCACCATGCTCTATTCTTTTTTTAATGTGAACACATTTACTTGCAATCACAAAACACATCACCGACGACGACAACGACGACGATTCACCGACGTGTTTCTGCTTAAATGCTCGCTCTTGTGTACTGCAGAAGCACTTTATATTTTTTTCTACTTCTTCTTATTTTGTTCTTCTTTGTAGCTGTGCTTCTTTTCTCTTTTGTGTGTTGCACTTTGTTTTTGTCATTTTCGTCGTTGTGCGGTGGCTTAGGTGAACACAGGTACACACATCAATTAAATACAAATTAATAAATTGGCTGTTTCTTTTTTTGTGTTTGCTGTTTTTGTTGTTGTTGTTGTTGCTGCTGCCATAGCCTCGCTATTGCAAGACCTTCGCGTCGTCGCTGAAACATAAAGAAAAAGTAGCAAACTTGCCAAAGACCGAAAAAGATTGCAATCGCATGAATGGCATAAATGATATTCCAAGCAATGTATTTGCCTCCGCCAAAGTTCCAGCTCTCTTACAGCCATTTGTAATAGACATGTACATTGATTATGTGTCTCTGTGTGTGTATGTGTCTTTGACGAGGTGTGCATGGTGTGGCAACGGTAAGCAAGCACATACGTGTGCTTGGCCTGTCGGTGCGCGCTTAAGGAGAAAGAGACTTCAAAGTGCAACAGCTTGCAAATACGCGATTATCAATTTACGCTAATGTTAATGCGCAACAATTAAACGTATTACTTTCAAGCACCGTAATAATCGATTCTTCTTAAACAGCCTCCACTTCATCACTCACTTACCTCAATCCCGCAACACAAACGAAACGTTGAGCAAAAAAAAAACAGAAGAAGAAGAAGAAACAGTATCAACTTACTCAGCGACATTAAGCTAATGTTACTCGGCCAATTGACGCAAAAAAAAATTAAATTTAAATCGCTTGTAATGCGTTCATTTTTATTAAAATTATTAATATTTTAAGAATTTCTTCGTCATTTCCCCATTTAGCGTAGGATATACGATATAGCAATTATTTCATTCATTCAATTGATGCCATTTTTGGGTCTTTGATAAACACAAAAATGCAGAAATTTCACATTTTCCCATTTTCTGACTCATATCGCATTTATTCACTCGATAAGCGAAACTGGATCATGCTTTTACGTTGAATGAATTTACGCATGTTAATTTGATAAACAAACTGAAAAGAAATTTCTCCTATCACAAAATGCCTCAACATTTGTTCTTCTCTTTCTCAATTTTCAACGTTTGCCGTCAATTCTAGCCGAATTGGCGTTATTAAAATTGTTTTTTCTTGTTCATTTCTCGTCGCAACGCGAAAACTACGCGTATGATTCATTGGGGATTTCGCTATAACGTGATACCGACTAAAACTACAACTTTGAGTCGCCGCAAACCATTGACGTAGTCAGTAAAACCGCATCTGGCGTCTTAATTTATATGTTTCAAATAATCGCCCGTTCAACCGGCCATATTTCCCGAATGATCTCTTCGACGTGTAATTTGTTCGCGAGAGCATTTTCATCGCGCCCATTCAAAAGTGTTTAATGAAAATTTATAAGCGGAAAGCTTTTGAAGGTCATGTGTCAATTTTCCCGCAACCAACCGTGAAAAGAGAGGAAAAAAAACAGAAGCTCAATTGAGCCTTAAACACACCAACCAACCAGTCAGTTCTAATGGCGGTCACAATTAATGGCAAACCATTTCGGATTTATTTTTGATCCGCTACAGTGTTGCGCGCACGCCGAGTCAGTGTCGTGCTCTCCTGTGAACACCAGTTAACGCTCGGTTTTTCCTTCATTCATATGTAATAATTATTTATATTGTTTTGGAAATGAACATCATCGAAATGATTTCATTTATAGAATCTGTCTCTCGGCAGTCGGTCAATTCGTGAAAGTGGAAAAAACGAAGCGAACGAAGTAAAAAGAGGGAAAAAAACAAACACAAGAGAAGAAAGATTGAAAATACAAATCGGCGCACGATCGCTTTACTCATTTCACTGACTGCCGAAGAGAACGTGAAATCAGCGTATGAAAATGATATCGCATCGGTCGGCGACGACGACGAAGACGGCGGTGGCGACGCACAGAACATATTCACGTTAGGCGAAAGAAGACGACAACGATGAGCGTGCGCTCAGCATATATCCAGAAAATCAGTTGCTTCTCATAAACTCTGACATTATAAATCTGCACGCAGATTTATATAAATATAAATTTAAGTTTGCGCAAAACAGAACCATGAGATGTGTGTATACACAGAGAAAGAATAAACGAAGCAAGCTGAATGAAAAACTTGGCAAATAACGACGAAAGAAAGCCAACAAATAAAAAAAAAACATGTGAACACACAGTTGCCACACTGCATAAGAAGAAGAAGAAGACGGGCAAAAAAAAATTCAACCGAAGAAATAAAATGAAACGTAACCTTTTTCCGTGTATTCGTGTGCTGTTTCTTTTCCTTTTGGTCTTTTCGGTTGTGCTTTTTTTTCTCGCTTCTTTCTCTTAATTTTTGCGCGCTTCGCCGTTTTTAATCATGCCGTCGACGATAGCGTACAAAACATTCATATGTATGTATATCGTCATTTCTGGCCGTATTAAAATGATCATGGCGAGCATTGTGTGAGCGAGCGTGCACAATGTAGAAAATCGGTACAGGGGCTATTACGTGTTTTTAATCCTCAAACAACACCGAAATTATGGCTATTTTTAATCATTTACCCGCGCTGAAGTGCTCTTTCTCTTTGCACAACCGCATTTATTTTTAACTTTTGGAACATTGGGGATTTTGTCCGTTTCATTTTCTTGACGCGCGCGCACAGCCAAGATTTATAGAGGATTCGCTCGATCTGAATAAACATTGTATACATCTATACACTAGGCCCAGCAACGTCCAAACTCGAAATCTACCATTCGGGGGATAAAAAAACAAATCCACAAAATAAAAACACAAGAAGATACAAAAATAATTATTCAAAAAAAAAAATTGAAGTCATCAGCGCGGTGTTTTTTTCGTATAAATCATTTATTTATTGAATTAATTGCCGTCGATTGAATCAAATATACATGAAGCGATAGATGAATCACAGCGATACAGAAAACCACTCTGATTTCGTGTGTAAGATTCGATTTCGGTAGGCTCAATGTGCATTATAGACTATAATGATACATATTACAGGCGGCGTGAACCCGCACTGCCACAGTACTCTCAAACATGATTCCAAATGTGACGATCAGAGAGAGGTGACTGTATTTTTCTTCTTTTTTTATCGACTATGACTATGACTACAACGACTACCACGGCGGCGGCGACAATCGTTTGTTTTTATACATCAGCAACTAGATGTACAGCTGTTGGTCTTAAATCAATCCGCAGCCATAAACACTGTGCTGAGATATAAAAACTACTATATATTAATTATTATAAAGCATAAGAGCCGTCGTTTTTGGTGACACGTAATTGAAAATTAGTAAATTGTATATATGAGAATGAGACGGGCGAGGGAAAAAGGTTAAACACAAAAGGCCAACTAGTAATAGACGCTTGAGCACAACGACGACGACGACGATGAAGAAGAAATTACAAAATCAAGCGATAAGAAACTATCGTTTTCATCCTTTTAATTTGATTGTTGCGCCGCGCGACAAACAGAGAAGAGAAGAGAAGAAGAAGAAAAACCACACAGAATGAAGAACAATCGACCAAACAAAGAGAAAAATAAAAGCAACGAGCGAGCGAACCAGCCCCAATGAATAGAGTCAAAATGGAAAATGGCCCGAGATAAAGTAAATGAGATAGAAGAGTTAAAATGATACACGCTCGAAATAAAGAAGAAGTAGAAGAAGTAGAAGGGAAAAAGCACACAAGAGACACGCCAAAGACAGGCGAACGAAGTTGAGGAGAATGGCACAAAATCAAGTACATAAATGCGTTGTTCTTCTTCTTCTTTACGCTGTTCTTTTTTTCGTCTTCAATTCGTTTACTTGGAACACATCTCGTGTGTTTTGCGCTTCTCTCTTCCCATTCCCCTCCGTTTTGTCCTCGGTTTGCTCGGCTATTAGAATCATATGAATAAGAATATAATCGGATGATGCATCTAAGAATCTTGATAAATGATCGTTTTGTTTTCGTTCGAATTAGATAGATGCACGAAACGTTCGTTCGTTCTCTCGGCTCCTCTGTGCTTCGCCACAGCACTGAGTGCAAAGCAACAATAACCGCAACAGCCAGAGCAACAGCCAGAGCAACAACAACAATAATTTCGTTCATTTGCTCGAAAATCGAAGTAAATACGATGAACTGCACTGTTTGAATCGAATTATGTAAACCATTCACCATTGGCACCAAATATATAACGTAGACTAAATGTGTGCCTTTTTCTCTCTCTCTCTCTCTCTCTCTCTCTCAACTCGATTCGTTCGTTCGTCGTTGATTCTCTTGTTCGAGTGATGAGAGAGCGAATTGAATACGAACCGGTTTTCTTTATTTATAGTTTTCACCTTTACGATTAGGAGAAGCAAAAAATAAAACTTATCGAATGATTAGAACAATTCAAATCCACACACAGAGAGAGAGGGAGAGGGAGAAGAGGAAGACAGGCAATCGGATTAGAAATGATTTCAGCATTGAAATTCGATTTGAAAAGTGTAACATTTCGAATTGGCAACACTTCAGCATAATGTTTTCTACTTCATCTTTTTTTACCCTGGATTTGTCTCTGTCAATGACTGCTGACTGCTGACTGAGATTGGACAATTTAAATGTTTGTTCGCGTGGAATTAATGTCGAATTGGCAGATTGAAGAGAAGAAAAAAAACGCTGTTCAATCATCGTGATCGAATTGATGAGTGCATACACATTTGGTCGTACATTCTAAAATGAATATTCTAACGCCAGTCGGAATCGATGCATGCGAGAGAGATTTTGAATGGGATTGTATGTTGCACGTTCGTATGAAAGTAATAAGCGTGTGCCTTCATAATGATGTTATATGGAACGACAACGACGGTTGTGTGTGTTGTTGTTTTTTTCCTCTGTTGCTGTTGTTGTCATCGTCGTTGTCTACCTATATTTTGGTGCATGCAAGAGTGTACCGTGAAAATGCGCAGGGTACAGTCTGAATGGGAGATGAAGCAATTTTGCATCACGGTACCGGAGTGAAGTGAGAGAACGAGCGAATAAGTGTGTGGACGCATTTGTAACGAGCGAAGCACAGTGAGTGCACGTAACATGAGTCTGACTGACTCATATTTTAATGCTAAATGCATCGCATGTTCATCCAAATCCGCGCTAACTCCGTGTACGTGTGTATGTGAGAGTGTTCGTATGTGTGTGTGTGTGTGCATAAGCCCCGTTGTTGACTTACTTTTTTCGCGATGCATTCGAATCGGCCGTTTTGTATGTGCTCTCAAATTCAGCGCACAGCGATATTAAAGTTGGGAGCTGCAAGAGATCGTAGTACACGAGTACACACTACACTACACTACAGTCAATAGGGATCGAAACCGACGATTTTGTGTGTGCACACATTTTGTTGGGTTTGCCTGTTTGTGTTGAGCCTGTTTGTTATTGCCGTGCTACTGGTACTGCGGCTGCCGCTGCTGATGTTCATTTGGTGTGTCTCTTTTATTTCACGTTTTATTTTATTTAATTGGTACGGCCGTTGTGTGTATACATATACCATTCGCCTGCTCAAGCTTTTGCTGCACATACAATCTATTTTATTTATTAGCTTATTCCTTACTACTTTCGTCGCCTGCACGTTTGCTTGCTGGCCGGCCGATCATTGCCATACGAAAAGTGGGATTCAATGTTTGTATATAAATGAAAATAAAGCAAAAAAAATAAAGACACACAAAAAAAACAACACACGAAGTAACTCCTAACTAAACAATCGAACGGGGAAATGAAATGAAAGACAGAAAAAAAACATCGATTGAGGTAAATAAATGTGAATTTATTTGTATATAAAAACCAAAGTAAACAAACAGTCGTCGAGAGAAAAAGAGAGCGAAAAGAAAAAGGCGAAAAAAAAATTCATGAATTTTCGGTGACAGTCAGCAAATTAAATCAGAATATTATGATGTTGTCGTTGTTGCTATTGCTTGTTAATCTCTTTCGTAAGCGCACATTGAAATCAGAGATGAACGTGTGATTTTGCATCGGGTGCAATATGATACGCACACAATTCAAATTCGATTCATTTTCATCACGATTGTTATTGTTTTGGAATGAGAATCTGAGCTTGAGCTTCAATGTGACTCTACTTGTTGTTGGGCTCATTTTTTTGTCGGACGTTTCGGCGGAAAAAACCTCGATATAAAATAGACACCATAGACAAAACAATGGATCATGGGCGATGTAAACAAATGCGATCACATTGAAAGTAGAAAAGAAAAGAAGAAAAAGATCGATCGAGTGCAGTTTAGTATCGTTGATCATTGACTTGCTGCTTTGTTGTTTTTTTTTTGCTTCTTCTTTTGTACGTATCCACGGTGTGAGTGTGCAGATGAGGTTCGCGCCCGATTTGTATCACATACACACACAATTCAGGTTGTTTTCATTTCAAGCGATCATCGCGGCTATGTCTTTCACAAGAATCGCTTAGTTGTTCTTTGAATGCTATTTAGAAGAAAAAAAAGGTTAAGGTAAAACGAATACCCATCCCAGCTACGAAATTACCAACAGTAAGAACAAATTAATAGTAAAGAGCAATAGGGAGATAGAGAGAAAGAATGAACAGAAAAAAACGGGTAAAAGGGTTCTCCACACGCGTATACATGTAAAATCCCATTTGAATCACACACACACACACACAATATGCTCTCTGTTCCATATTCATCATCATCATCATTCACCATATATCCATAATAGCAAACTATACACATTTGCACAATATGCACAGGCATCGAGCTAACGTTCAATCCATTTTACCTATACACATATCGATAGTTTTGTGAGCAATGGCAGCGACAGCGGCAGCAGCAATAACAGGCACACACATCTCGCACACCCAAGCAAACGGCATACGCGATCGTCCGATTCGATTAAGCGGTGCGCATATGACGGCATTGGGTTAGACAAAGATAGCAAAACATTACGGCCCATACAGCATTAAACGTTTTTCTTTATTGTTGTATGTTATTTGATGAATGTAAATGTTCGTTCGCTCGCTCGCTCGTTCGCTTTGTGTGTTTGTTATACCGATATACATACACGATCCGAATACGTGTATGAGCACGTTCGTAGCAAATCGTACATGCTATATTGGGGCCCCGTATGTTGTTTATTTCATGATGTGACTGGTTCTCGTTTCGTTTCATTACTATTCATTCAATCCTTCTTTTTCATATTTGTTTTTTTCCTTTCGGATCGATGTGTCTCTGTCTCTGTTGCTCCTTCGGTTCACTGTTACGCGCGCCCATCGCTCGTTCGTTCGTTCGGTGGCTACGACGATTTTCAAGCACACACAAAAAAACAACCAGCCCAATACACAGACACATGTGCTGCTGCTGTTGCTTGCTACACACGGCACCATCGTATGTGAATAAAAATATACCACAGAATTCGTGCAATTCGTCTTTCGAATGTTGGTAATAACGGGCAATACGGAGAACACGGACAATACGACAGATTTATTATACAATAAGTGTTGTGCTGTGTAACCTGTGTGTAATACATATTGGTTCTGTGACCATTTAATTATATTTATATTTTTTTTTATTTTTCGTTTCGTTTCGTTCATTATTATATTTTATTTTTTTATGATTTTTCCGTTGGTTTAATTTGATTTTATTAATTATTGCGTTCACGGTTTTTGGTTCTGAAAAAAAAACGTTTTCTGAAGTCAAAATAAATTTTGCGCGTGTTTGCGTTTTCGTTCTGATTTCGTCGCCTCGATCACACAAAAAACACACCGATTTGATAATTTGAAACGATTTTTTTTATGTGTTCATTATATCATTTTCGTGTTGAACTCGAAACACTTACTACTTCTTACTTGGCATCGATTGCGCGGCAACTTATTATTTGACTAGAGTGAATGTAAAAAAAAAAAATATTATTCGTGCGTGTATGGGATACTCCAATTGAAAGTCCACTGAAGTTGAGCAAAAACAACAACAACAACAACAGACTAAAGTTTCAGTTCATATTTTTTGAAAGTTTGATAAAAAGATACAAATCATACATGAATCACAGAGATCGAATGTCGCATCCTTCGGATCCGAAACTAACAGCGCTAGCGCTGAATTTACGAAAAGGTAGCAAATTGAATATCAATATCGACCATCACCAACCAAAAAAAAAATAATAATAAGTTAATCAACTATAATAGTGTTAAGTCAAATGAAGCGAAAAAAATGATCGTTTTTCGATCGGTGATATAGTGTGATCGTTCAATACTAATACCAATCGAATTGGTATATTCACTGGAAATTTCCCCCAAAAAAATTAAGTGGTTTTGCTGTTTCCGTTTCTTTGGTCAAATTTTGTGTCTCTTTTTTTCGAGACCTCAATCATGTGTTGTGACCAGATTTCATATGTTTTTGCGAAGCAGCAGAAGCGAAAAAAAATTGACAATTCGACGAATATTCTGTAGCCTCCGGGAGCCAATAAAAAGTAAACGTAACGCAGAAGAAGAAGGAAAAAAATCAATTCAACTCCGCATATCAATAAAACACCTGTATGAGTCAGCCACAGCATAAAAGAATATGAATTTTTTCACACACATAAAGCGACCGAACGAACGAACGAGCGAGCGCGTTGATTGCTTCATATACATACGATTCTCGATCATTGCTGCTCTTTTACTCTGCTGCGCCCTCTCTATACGAAGGTTTTTTTTAATATGCGTGTTTCGTTCGCCGTCATCGTCGTCGTCGTCGTTTCTTTTTTTTCTTCTTCTTCATCATTTTGCTTGATTGGCCTCTTCTTTTTTACGTTTTGGTTTGTGTGTTGTCTTTTTGTACGCTGCATGTGAGTGTACTTCTCCTTCCTTTCTATCTTTCTTCCAAGTTTCTAGTTCTTGTTACGCTCTTTTTCTCTACATTGCGCGTGATGTGTGTCTTATGTTTACCAGTGCCAATGGCTAAAGTTTACGAGTGCAAGTGGGCTACAGCAAACAACAGAAGAGAAGTTAAAAAAAACACAATCATAACAACAACAACAACAATAACAGCAGCAGCAGTAACAGAGCCATAGAAAAGAGAAGTGTACAAATGGTTGCTTCGGCTATTGTTGTTGTTGCTGCTCTCGGCTCTTAAACCCAAAATCGAATACAATTGCATTTATGCGCGCATTTACACCGTAATCTTGTAAAAATCGTTTATGCATGTTTGTGTATGATTTTCTTTTGTTGCTCTTTGCATCGTGTTCAGTGCACTTCTTTCATTCACTCTCTCTCTCTCTCTCTCTCTCTCTCTGCCTCTCTCATTACTCTGCACTGCACTGCGCTGCGCTGCCCATGTCTTGTTTATTTTCTTCTTGGTTCTTTTCTTGTTTATTGTTTTCTTTCTCTCAAGTTATATGTTATTTTGATTTTTCTTTCATCACTTCTTTCTCTCTCTTTCTCTCTGCCTTTGCCTCTCTTACTCACTCTCTTTCCCTCGTTTGCTTTGTCTAAGCGGATGGAAAATGATTATTACGGCGTTTTGTGATTGCAGATTGATGCGGTCGAATTTGATCATTACATAATTGCTTCTTTGTTATTGCACATCATTGTGTTGTGATTTCCAGAAAATGCAGCGCTCGTTAATCGAAAAAGTCAGTTGGAGATAGAGTTGAGGAGGAAGAATAGGAAAAAAAAAAATAAACGATGAAAAAATAACACAAAACTAGCGAAACAAAATCAAGAGTCGAGAATTTCCTAGTTATTTATTGTTTGTTTTTACTGCTGTTTTTAGTATTTTTGTGGTAATTGCACACATTTATTTATTTTGTGTTGGTTTTTTATTTTCATCACCTCTTTTTTCCTTGTCTGTCTCTCTCTCGATCTCGGTCCCCTCATTTGAAAGCCATTTTCATCCCATTGGCTTTTGCTTTCTCTCACACTCGTGTGCGAGCGTACCATACTTTAGCCACTACTTTGGCTGCGCGCATAAAATTTATTTCATTCGTTTGTTGCATTCCATTGAAATTATTGGTTTGTTTAGAATTTTGTTTTATTGTTATTATATTCCGTTTTTTTTCGCTTCTTACTTTTATTTGGTGTGCAATTTCAACGATGCATTTTATGAATTTCTAGATGTTATTATAATTTTGCATTTTGCTTACATTTGATTGTTATTTTCTCGGATTTTTTCTTTCGTTCGACTCAATTCTTCTTGTTTTGCTGAAGTTTAGGATTTCAATGAATCTGCCATTTTTCTCTCGTTCTCTCTCTCTCTCTCTCTCTCTATCTCATTGCCATCTCGATCTATTCACGCGAATGTTTCGCATGAAATCCACGAAAATATTTCTTTTCACAACAACATCGACCGAAATCCAGAAACAATAACACGACAAATATGGAACAAATGTTGAACATTCATCAAATGATTTTAGAACGCGACTCTGCGGTTTCCTTTATGCCATTAACATTGTTGCAATTGTTGCAATATTCATTTCATAACATATAAATATAAATCACACGACCATTTCATTTGCCATATAAAACTCGAATACGAAGCCCATTTTGTTTTTAATAACCGTGACTTTATTTTCTCTTCGTAATTCACAGACAGTTTACTTGGAACCGCCAACATTACTTCGCCGTGGACACCAGTTGGCTCCGGGGCGGCTGGTCCGATGGGATCAGTCGATCTCCTTGGCGTCGATAAACACTTGGATGTGGGTGATATGAGCGATGATGACAAAGATCTATCGTCGGCCGATGCTGAAGGTGTCTGGAGCCCAGATATTGAGCAAAGTTTTCAAGAAGCTCTCGCCATCTATCCACCATGCGGCCGGAGGAAAATCATCCTTTCGGACGAAGGGAAAATGTATGGTAAGCATCAAACACATCTTTTTTAATTGTTCAACACCACAAACAACAACGAAAAAAAAAGAACAATTTTTAGTAACAATTATGACTTTATGTTATCACTTCGAAATTGCTCGTCAAAAAAAAAATGCCGCGCATGATTTAACTTTGATTATGAGTGAAATGCACTCAAAATAAATGCGTTCACGCTTTGTTACAGGGTGAAAAGTAATCAATTATGAATAGATGTTTACACTGCAGTGCAAACAATTGATTTGTTTTCATAAGACACTTTTGATGAATAACGAAATAAACAAAAAAAAAACTTATCATTACAGGCCGAAATGAGCTTATAGCACGATACATCAAATTGAGAACGGGCAAAACAAGAACCAGAAAACAAGTGAGCTCACACATACAAGTTTTGGCCAGGCGAAAATTGCGAGAGATTCAAGCTAAACTCAAAGTGGTATGTAAATACAATTACCATGGAATTAAACTGAATAGCAAACATCACATAAATAAATTGTAAATACAAATTCTTACTGATCGAATTACATTGCATTGTATTGCATTTATATTCAACAGCAATTCTGGCAACCGGGTCTCCAACCAAGCACTTCACAAGAGTAAGTTTTTCACATTTCTGTTTACATTTTCCGCGATTGTTGGCTCCAATTTATTTTAATTGTTGTGTCTTTTTGTATTTTGTTTATAGCATTAAGCCATTCTCACAACAGCCATACGGAGGTAAACCGGCCACAGCAATATCGGGCGAAATCGATGCTGGACATCCATCTGCTCAAGCTTCATGGGAAGGGCGAGCAATCGCAACAAGTAAATTCCGTCTATTAGAATTCTCCGCTTTCATGGAAGTTCAACGAGAAGAAGTGGTAAGTGAATAGCCGTTACGATTTCAACACATTGAAACGGTTTGGCATTTAAGAGATATAGAAGTGAGTTTCATTGGCTTTGGTATATTAACTTCTTTTCGATTTCAATATTCGTAGTATCGCCACCTATTCGTTCACATTAATGGCAAAACGTCCTACTCCGATCCATTACTTGAGGTAAATTCAGTGAAAACACAGCCTTTCAACTGGTTTCAAAACTAATACATTTACTCATTTTACCGTTTGAGCAGTCAGTGAACATCAAGGAGATCAGCGATAAATTCCCAGAAAAATCAGGTGGACTAAAAGAATTATACGAAAGAGGACCACAGAACGCATTTTACTTAGTGAAGTGCTGGGCAGACTTGAACACAAACATTACAGACGAAGCCGGAGCATTCTACGCTGTCACCAGCCAGTAAGTAGCGAAGCGTTTTTCGATAATTTTTGTTTTGAATACTTTGAACTAGTTTAATTAACATCAAAATCAAGTGTGTGTCAAATGACATGTTGAATATCGATTCAATGCTGTGTTAAATTGAATTGAACACTTTTCCATCTCTTTCCAAACAGATACGAAAGCAATGAGAACATCGTGATAACGTGCTCGACAAAAGTGTGCTCGTTCGGCAAACAGGTGGTAGAAAAAGTGGAAACGGAATATTCACGCTTGGAAAGTTCAAGGTTTATATATCGCATTCAGAGATCGCCAATGTGCGAGTACATGATCAACTTCATTCAGAAACTGAAGGGCTTGCCCGAACGATACATGATGAACAGTGTTCTTGAAAACTTCACAATTCTACAGGTGAGTACCAACACACAGCCGGTTGAGGTAAAACACAAAATCAAACTAAACGATGCTCTTTCTTCCACTTATAGGTCGTGTCAAACCGAGAGACCAATGAGACATTACTTTGCATCGCGTATGTGTTTGAGGTGGCGAACTCAAATTGCGGCGCTCAACATCACATATATCGATTGGTGAAGGATCAATCGCAGCATTGAATGAACAGCACCTGAGCCATGCCAATTGTGATGCAATAAGTAATTGAAAATCATCGTAACAAAAACATCAAAATTTGTCTTTTTGAAACTATATACCCACGACGTCATGATCTTCAGTGCATATATGTATATATGCTCTTTCCCCCGGATAAATATTTGCAACTCAAGAGGATCAATCAAATGTAATGTTCGATTGTCTTTGCGATTTCATCGGTTTGTATAAAAGAAAACAATAGTTCTTTTTTTCTCGTGAGCGGCTACAACAGAACGGCGTCTAACGCAACATGTTGTGCTCCTGCGATTTCTTTTATAAAATTAAGTATTAAACAAACGAAAAGAAGATAAAGAAACGGAAAAGATGCTGCAAGTGACAATTTTTTTTATATAGATTCAAAGTTGATATTAATTTGACTTTCATTTGCGAAAGATCTACTCAATGATTTGGATAGAAATTTATAAATAAGTTTGAGTCCTATCAACAGAACGTGGCCATTCAGAAGAAAAATCGCATTCGATCGAAGTCACAACCCCGTTTTTTTTCGTTGTTGCTCGGTTCCAAAATCAACAGCCAAGTTTTGTGTGTGTACAACAATTTAATTTAATATCACTTTCTTTTCATAATAGTTTTTATTTTCAATTTTATGTATACTATACGAGATATGAATGTGTATGTATCAAAGAAATGCACGTACGTGTGCGTACGAGATAGATGCATGCACAATCATATCCTACAAATCAAACTCGTTCAATGACTTAAAATCGTGTCGCGTCAAAAACTCAGTGAAAAGAAACATCATTTGTAAACTTCGTGGAAAAACGTTCTCTATCCCTCAATCGGCTTTTCATAAATAGCATCTATTCGCGATTCAGGCAATCCATTCGATAAAAGAAGAGACATGTGCTCGAAAATTCCCGAACATTTGTGAAAATGACGGTATTTTTAGTTTATGATTCATTTAAATGTCCACTGGCATTAAAAACACTGCAATAAAAGAAAGCTATTTATGATATAATTTTTTTTTTAAAATATTTTCTACTTGACGCGCAATCGATAATCGGGTGTCACCGCATCGCAAAACATCGATTGAATTTAGAATTTTAGAGAAGCACAGTAATAAAGAAAATGAAGCACAAACACAAATAAGGCCATAAATACATAAATAATTCTCTTTACATTTTTATTGTGGAACAAAGAAGAAGAAAGAGTTGGGGTAGAGAAGACAGAAGTAACAAACCGATGGCGCTAGCGCATCGTATTTGAAATATATAAGCGATCAATTCGCGCAGTGATCGAATGTATACAAATTAAATTTTCTCATTCTAAAACTGCACACACTTTCTGCCTGATCTGTTTTGATCTTTCTATTTTGATTACATTGTATAATTTACATCTGTATCTTTTGAAATCTAACACATGGAAAAATATTCAAAGAAAAATAATGTCATTTATTTAAAAAGAAAGAAACCGGAAACGGTCCAAAATGTACGAACGAAAGCCAATTCTTAACATTAACAGATGATCTACTCAAAAGAAAAGCAAAGAAATTTATGTAAACGACAAACGATTTGCCATACATACAACAAGCGCTAAAACATCGTGTCAAATGAAATTACAAAGTCAAACCATGTTTTTTTTTAGAATTATTAACAAAATTAACGCTTCATTTCGTTGGTCTCCACGATTGATATCGTAGCCTAGGATTATGTTCCTAACCCCCGAACGAGTTTTTTTTTAATTATAATTTTCTAATGGCAATATAATAAAAAAAAAGTCTTTCAATTCTGCCAAAAATTTGCTAATTTCTTTTACATTTCAAAACTTTTTTTTTCCATTTTTATTTGAAAAACTTTTTTTTTTAAATGAGCAAATGCAATAACAAATGTTGCAGAAACAGAACTAAAACAAAACAAAAGAATAAAATAAATGAGGTAAAATGGAAAACTAATCGTATAAAAAGAAAATCGTTAAGTGTATATTGTATCACTTAAAAAGTTGCATAACATATTGATCTCTCTTCAATTCGCGCAAAAATTAACAAAAAGAAAACATAACAAAAGAAGAAAAAAAAATCAAATCTATTATTAATATTTACATATAGCTCATAAATAATAGGTACAATACATAGCGCATACTAATATCGTTTAAAACTATTTACCACATAAAATGGATCCGACTTGAAGGAAAGAAATAAACGGAATTTTACTTGTTCATTTTATTCAACTCGAGAGAAGAAATTTGCAAAACTTATAGCAAAATTTGGCAAAACAAACAACAACAAAAACAGTGAAGAACAATAAATAAAAAAAAAGAAATAAGGTGAAATAGTCCAGAAAAAAACTTGAAAAAAAACGTCAAAACAAAATGGAGCTCGTCATTTGAATAAGAAGAAACAATTTTTTTTGTGGAGAATAACAAAACAAAATAAGAAGAAAGGAAAAAAAATCAGATTTTTTTGTAACACAATTTTTTAAGTCATTTTTATACAGATGTATTAGGTATTACTACTACAAAGAATATATATTTATTTGAGCGAATATGCATATATTCTGATTGGATTTAAGTGAAAAAAATTAATGGAAAAAAAACTTACATAAAAAAAATCAAACAACATTGAGGTAAAAAAACATACGATGAAAAAATACAGCAAAACGCCCATATTTTTAGCACGTAAGGAAGATATGTAAAAATATTTTAAATGTTTCAACAAAGCGATCTTTTACTTACTTTATTTTATTCGAATTTTTCGTTTTGAAATGTCACAACGGAAAGTGTGGAATCGTTGTGCAACTGAGGCAACTTTTTCACTTCATCTCTTTTTTTTTGTTCTCATTCATTCAGTTTGGCCAGCGCGTGACAAACTGACTCTCTCACGGTCATCCTTGTTGTTTCTCTTTTGTGTTAGCCAACAAAATGGAAAATATGTTCAAATGAAAGAAAATGAAGAAAACAAAACACGAGAAATTGTCATCAATTTTTATTTCAGAAATAAATTTGCATGAATTTAATAAAAAAAACAAAAAGCGCTCGTGTGTTTTATTTCACATTTTGTGGTTTAGCTCAACTTTTATTTTTCACACAAGCAACCAAGCGATAAATGGTTTAGCTCAAACAATAAAAAAAAACTTACAATCTAAAACAGTACAGCATTTTGGGTACAACACAACAAACAAAGCGATGCAAGTCTTTGGGGAAGGGGAATTTTCGGTTAACAATCGAATCACGTATAGTTTTACAATCAAATATTTAAAAAAAAATGGGGATTCGTCAATTTCTCAAGGGTTGTCATTTGAATAAGTCCATGCTTTTACTAATAGGAACACCGTTGAAGATTTTGCGTTGGCAACTTTTTTCACTGAGAGATTATGCCATCGTCTCACGCATCAATGTGTACGCGATCCATTTTTATCTTCAACATGTTGCCTATGGACCATTTGATGTGGTTTCGAATAAACGTGCGACCTGTTTGACTCCACAGCACGTGTGGGCGGCTGCTCCCACTCACATAATTTGGCTCTCTGGAAAACAGCAAAAAAAGGAATACAGACAATTAAGTTGATATAACGCCTTCTATCAATTGAGAAAAAAAGCACCCAAAATATGCAATCATCCTTACGTCTTGAAGAGAGCAAAGTCGGTGGCGCCGCGGGGATTTGTCATTTTCGACCATATATCGATTATCTCGTATTTCAAGAAATATTTTTCCACGATAAACATATTGAAATGGCGCAATTTTTCGAACATTTCAGGTGAATGGCCGGTATTCGCCAAAGGTGCCAGTGTCGTGATGATTGGCGTCAATCCACTTTGCTCACACACTCTGATTAAACGCTCGAAATCAGCACACATTTCCACCAAGTCGTGACCATGCAAAATATCCACCGAACCAACGTTTAAGAGCAATCTATTTGACTTAAAGGAGGGTGTGAGTTCAATGAGCTTGGCTGCCGCGGGAATGCTCAATCCCGATACGCATAAACCAGCCTGTTGAACACCAAACTCTGTGGAATATGCAGTAGAAATTGAAGATATGGTAAAAAAAATGTGAGATTGAAAAATCTTATGAAATGTGTGTATTCGAAAACCGACTTCAGCGAAAATTACCACTATCTTGGGAAAAAATCTGATAAACTTACTTCGATTAAGGTCTTGATCAGTTGCCTCATGTGTTAGCAGACGAAAGAAATCATCACCGACAAACTGTGCATGCAATTTAGGTTTTGATGGCTTCGGAGGTGTTTGCATCGATCCATATTGATGGCTGCTAACGCTGCTAAAGCTGCTAAAGCTGGTATTATTGATGTCTTCGTGACGTGAATTTTGGTGCTGTTTGTATTTGCTGGCAGGAAACAAGAATATTCAAAATGTGGAAAACAAATGTGCTATCAAAGAATCAAATGACGACATGTGCCCTGAATTGAAATGGGAAATTCGGTTTTTAGCGGTTGGATTCAGTTCATTGTATCTAATCAACATTTCCGTGCATTCGATATTTCAATAGCATGTGTAAAGGCCTTACCGCATGTGTTTATACACGATATTATCTTTGAAAAAGCAGTCATTCCCTTTGATAGAATGATTCAATGCTTTTTGCGGTGGTCGATTCGGTTTTGTCGATTGAGGTTGACGTTGTTCCAGTATGAATTTTTTAATGTGTTCCATACTGTCGCTGTTCACATACCATTTTGGCTCACTATTCGAACTTTCGATACAAAAAACACAGTCAATGCTGTTCAAAAAATTGTATGCGTCCATCAGAGGCTCGCCAGTCAATTCATGGTAGTCACCTTCGGAAAATAGTCAAACAATTTAGCATGAATTATCGAAAAACCACATGTGGATTGACTTACGTTCAATGTCGGCAATCGTTGCACCATCTCGACATCGTATATTCAAAATACTTTTAATAATATTCTTTGCTTCCGTTTCTGTGGTCATTTTGCTTGAATATTTTGATTTATTACAATAGAATTTATTTCTTTAAAAAACGTGTACAATCGATTTTTTTTTATCACAAATATGTAATTCAATTCAAAACCGACAACGAAAAAGTAAAAAAAGGTCCATGTGCTACGAATTACTGTCGCTTTGCAAGTGGAAAAATCACGTTCGTTTTTTAACATCGTGGTACAGTGATAATGATGCGACATCAATTGGGCACTGACGGTGTGCGGTAACGGTAAACATTGAAATGAATCTCAGTTGGTATCAGTGTAATCGATTGTACCTGTCGTGTATTGTCATAGATTTTACGTTCTCTGTTTATTGTCGTAGTGCTATTGATAGAAAAATGTCTGGCAAAAAAATGAATGAAATGAAATTCATTTTTGTTTTTTTTTTTCATTTTTATTTCTATTTTAATTTGCTTGCAATTATAATAATTTAGTCCATTTCAGCTAATATTCCAGACATTTCCAGCATAAATCCAAAACTCAGTCCATTCTCTTCACCTGCGAATAGCAAAATTCGTATAAACTGGTGTGTCGATTGTGCGGAGCGGTGAGAAAATGGCTTTGCTAATACGAGACGATGGACTGCCGGTCTTTTCTAACCACTGTTTCATGAGTCCAATTTTATCTTCAGCTCCTTCGATTTCGCCTTTCACAGTATCATCCCGTGTGTTCATACACCAGCCGGCTACACCAAGTGAATCTGCCTGTTGTTTCGTATATTTTCGAAAGAATACACCTTGCACTCGGCCAAACACTTCAAATTCGCACAAATACCGCGACATTTTTCAATCGATCAGATGTTTACAATTTGTAATCGCACAGGACTTTTATTTATTTCCACTGTATTCACACGACTTATATATGCGAATTCAGCACATACGATTTAAAACCGATGTCAATAACATAAATGTACCAGATCAACGTACTAGATTTCAATGACAGTACGAAGTAATATCCATAGCAGAAATCGCATAATGTCAATGCTTGTCACTACATTTCTAGCACGTGCATTCGAAAGTTGATACAAATTTAAAAAAACCATTCTCTTTTCATTTTTTACCTCATTTTCACTAGTTGTTAGACAAATTTCACAAAAATGCAGAACGACGATGTAAGTTAGAGACAAGAAATCCGCTTATGTTCATAGGATAATTCGAAATTTTCAATTTGTTTACCCATTATTTTTGCAGGTTGTTTGGAGCATTATCAATAAGTCGTTTTGTTCGCACAAAGTCAAGTAAGTGAAACATTTTGAATGGAAAAAACAACCATCGCGCTCCATCACATTTCTAATGGAATAGCTAATTTCTTTACATCCCTTTCAGAACTGATACCCGAAATTTCTGCCGGCATGAATACAATCTGACGGGTTTGTGTACGCGTGTATCGTGTCCGTTGGCCAACAGTCAGTATGCGACCATTCGCGAAGAGAAGGGTATTATTTACTTGTACATGAAAACTGCCGAACGATCACATTTCCCATCGAAACTATGGGAAAAAGTGAAACTGTCGCGGAATTTCGAAAAGGCCATTTATCAAATTAACGAGAATTTGGTCTTTTGGGATAATTACATTCGGCAAAAGTGCAAACAACGTTTCATTAAGATCACACAATACTTGATTCGTATGCGTAAACTGAAATTGCGTCGACAGAAACTGTTGGTGCCCGTTCAAACAAAGATCGAGCGTCGTGAGAGACGTCGCGAAGAAAAAGCATTGGTCGCCGCCAAATTGGATTCAGCCATTGAGAAGCAGTTGTTGGATCGATTGAAGAAAGGTACCTATCAGGATATTTACAATTTCCCACAAAAAGTCTTCAACAAAGCCCTGGAAGAGGAACAAGTGGAAGAGGAAGCTGAAAGTGAGGCTGAAGATGAGGAGGTTAGTGAAGATGAATTGGAAATGGAAATGGAAACAGAAACTGCACCAGGATCGAGACAAAAGTCACAATTGGAACTTACTGAAGAATTTGTAGAAGCACCATCGGATGAAGAGGATAGCGATGATAGTGACTCTGAAATGTCAGACGCTGAAAGTGAATCGGGCGAGAAACAAAAAGTTTATTTGCCCAGCGACTTTGAGTCAGATGATGATGATATTGAGGTAAGATGATTGGTTAAAAGCTGTTTTTTGAATACGTTTTCTTCTTTTCGTTTTGAATGTTTCTCTTCAATCGAAGATTTTTCATTATTTTCCCCTACTAATCGAAATATTTTTCTTATTATACGTTCATTTCCAATAGGATGTTGGATCGAAGAACAAACGTGTGCCGAAGAAACCAACTGTCAATAAAACCAAACCAGCCAAGAAGAGACACATCGAAATTGAATACGAAATGGAGTCGGACAAGCCACGACAAAAGGCTAGACATTAATTTTATTTGTATAAGGAAATGTAATACACATACAGCATTCTGTATCAATTTCCGTTTTATTTTTCAAACAATAATAAATTAAACAGTTGATCCTGTTCATTGTATAAGAATGAATCGTGTTTTACTTTGACTTCAGTTCTGTTTTTATTTCACTTGTACACGTGGACAAGTACACATTGTGTACTAGACAAACTCAAAATTTGTTCGTTCTATTCGCAAAACACGTTCTATTCCATAGACTTCTTATCTCCCCTATTTCGATTCCCCAGCTAAAAGTCCAAAAAAAAATCCGACACACGACATAGATTCAAAAAAGTCTACAATAAAATATATGTCACGAATTGCGTTTTCTTTTGTTTCATTTTATTCAGTATTAAATAATTTTACTCATTTAAAATAAATTGTTAAGTTTTTGTTTTGTTTCAGTCGCAAAAACAAACTATTCAATTTGATGTGTGAATTTTGCACTCTCAATCACCCGCTAAATCTTACATAAACTCGAAAAGGAAAAGTCTATGGCTACAATTGGCTTACGGCTATGGGAAAGGGAGCTAGTAAACCGTATGTTAATAATTAATCGCAGAACGAAATTCCAATGTTCTTCCGTTTCTCTTTTCCATTCGATATTACACATAATAATATCATGTAGCTTAATATTTTAAATAATAATATTTGTGGTCAATGTTATTCAAACATTGCACCCGAATTCATTTCGTTTGTTTGTTTGTTTTATGAATATTGTTAAATGTTCATATTGTTTTCGTTTGGTGAAATCGCAAATTTGACGAAAAAAAAAAAATTAAGAATAATATTTGTGTATTGGGCAAAGATCTGTCAAAGGTTATGGTTCATATGCGCGTTGACACAAATTGCAATACGAAAATGGTCGATGATGAGAGATGATTTACGAAATTTTCAAAATTGGTATGAACATGGAGAGAAGATTGTTGATAAAATTTAATGAGCCGTCGATGCAGAGGGTTGGTCGTCTGTGGTACCGGCCGCCTGTCGCAACAGCACATAGATTTTCTCCTTGATCCATTCTTTGTTGTACGGTGCGTATGTGTTTGTAGACTTTTGGTATACCAAGCAACTTAAATCAGCTAACTGTAAGCACAACAACAACAAAATCACCATTTCAATTCGAATGTCAGCGGAAACACATTTTGCATTTAGCAATGTTTGTTCACACGTACCTGATCCAAAAAGTCAAACAGCTGGCTGATGTCGTACGTAATGGTCGGTGTGTTCGGGTTTCGACGTTTCAGATGCTCTTCGTAAATCTTGCACACACCTTCCATACATTCATTCACCGACTCATAGTCTAAAAAGTCCCAAACAAAATTCGCATTTTATGACACTTGTGAAATCGTGCATTTTACAATCATTATACCAACCTGAATATGTACGAGTTTCTGGTCGAGCGCCCGGCTGTACCAACAAAATTGTGTGCGACATTTCTAGACGTTTCGCAATGAATGCAATTCACCCGAATTAAAGAAAGAAAAATGCAATTTCTTACGGAAAAGAATTGAAAATCCGTCGATAGCGATGGCAGTTTACAATGGAAATGATGGTTTTGTCGGAATTTGTAAATGAACGAATCCAAAATTTGTAGATGAACGAGAGCACTTTTGTTGTTTGAAAATCGACTATGTGTACTAGCGATGCGTTTGACGTTTACCAATTGCTGCATAATCTGTTTACAGATGCAAGATGTCGCTGCCGGTTCGAATTCAGCACATTGTTATCGTCAATTTATACCGGCGGGGAGGGTTCCTCCCCGTCACTATTCAGCGTGTTTGTTCGAATTATTTTTTGAAATTTTCTGCCTTCGCAATTTTTAATGACCAATTGATACAACGGTTCGAGTTAAAATTTCAATAAGTTTGAGGAGGGTGAATTTTTCAATATGGATAAAATAAAAGGTACGATCATAGATTTCGTAGGAATTGTACTGAAAATTTCAAAAATTTGAATGTAATTGTTCCTCATGGTTTGTAATGTGTCCACGGTCGTCGCCGTCGAAAAAATGACCGATAAAATAGTTGGTGTGTTTTTCCATACGCTTTATTTCCACTTAACTTCATAACTAACAAGTTTTTGGAACGGTCGAACTAGCGCTTTGGATGTTCGATATTCACAAAATGTGCAAAACTTTTCTCCTTGTCCGGTTTTCATTTGAGAGTCAATACGTTCGCTTCCACTTGATTGGGTTGCCTATCGTATTCCACTTGAACATAGTTTTTTGTTTATTTTTCGCCGTTTCATTTTGAGCGATTGATAGAGAGAGAGATAGAGAGAGAGAGAGAGAGAGAGAGAGAGAGAGAGAGAGGGGGAGAAAGAGCGGGCAATCGATAGCAAATATTTGTCATATTCTACATAAATTTTGATTTTCTCGTCGCCTGTTGTTGCTATTTATTCGTGTTTGGCAAATCATGTCGTCGCTCTAGTTTTAGATTAATTATTGTAATTCGTGTCCACGTTGGAAAAAAACGCAAGCAACATAAAAGCATGGATAAGACTGGAACATGAACATAATGTATCAAGATTATGAAAACATTGTCTTCGTTATAAATAAAAAATGAGTATTAAGTCCAGATTTTTCGAGCCAACAACAAAACGATGAACCAAACGACCACCCTGTCATTGGTTGATCGTTAAGCTTGGCTGCTGACAGTGAATGTATTAAAATATCAACAATTATGAAAATCAGCAAGTCAAGCTAACTAGCTGTACATTGTCGTCGTCGTCGCCGTTGCAGTCGTCATCATCGTTGTTGTTCAACAAATAGTGAATAATGCATCCATAAATTGGTGTCGGTTTGGGAAATTCCATTGAAAGTTCCACTTTTGTTGTTCTTCTCTCCGTGCTGCTCAAACATCTAAGCAATCCACGTGATATTAATGAAAAATGAATGTCTAGCAGAGAGTGAGAGAACGTCGCGCACGATAAAGAGATACTACAAATGCAGACTTTTCTTCAGCCTTTTTTCCGAGAATTCAATTTCCTATTTGCTTTTGCTCCTGCTGTTGCTGCTGTTGTTTTCATGGAATGAAATATTTCAATTTTGATTAGGCTTAAAAGCATTCGCCTGAAATTCGAGAACAACGATTTTTATATATACATACATAATATATATCATATATATTTGCTTTGTGAAAGTTGAAAGCATTAGATCAAACGAAATGCACGCGTACTTGAACTATAAAAAGGCATACATTTTCAACCACCTATCGAGGTAAAGCGTGAATCATCTACGGCTTCATGTTGCTCTCTATGCCATTTAATGTCTAAGTCTATATAAATATTTGGCATGGCACATCGGGCCATATCGATGTGTCACATACGTGCATGCAAAAAAAAATTGTTGTTAATAAGTAATTATTCTGAATAATTAACGTAAAATTATCCGAATCGGAAATGCTCTTGTCTGACGACGCACTCCGCTCTTCTTCGTCTTCTGCTTTGTCAATATTATGTGCTGGCGGACCAGTATTCCGATGGAACGTTTCCTCGGAATAATATAAAATTGGGTGGTGTTCCGTGGAGTATGTGTGTGTGATGTGCGTACTGTCTTACCTCTTTGTAAACGAGTCATTTGAACGAGAATCACGTACGGAATTCGCATTCAATTCGAATCAACATAAAGCTTCTTTGAACCTTTTTCTTACGCTAGTCTCTCTCTCTCTCACACTCACACACTCTTTCTCTAAATAGTTTGTAGTGGCAGAACGAATGAAATCAATAAGAATGGCTAAAGAAAATATTGTAGTTTAAGTCCATTTTTCCACTCTATGTATGTTGACATCCCTTAAATGAAGTGATATTCTCCAAGGAAAAAAGAGCAATCCAGAGTACGAGCAGTTCCATTATGTTGTGAATTAGATATGGCCTTTTGTAGAGGTTCAAACTTTTCGAAATGATTTACATAATATATTTGATGGAAAACGGAGCAAGCCATTCACCTTCTGCAATGCGATTTTCTACTCTCCCTATCTCTTTGTGCCTGGTGACGTTCGGACGTATTTTTTTCTTCATATACCGCTTTAAAAGGCATCTATCATGTTTGAATACATCATCTATAATCGCCCCCTTTTTTTTTGAAGAAAATTGAATAGACTTTTTTGTGAAAAAAAACGATGTTCGCATTCGTTAATAAAACAACAAGCATAAACAATATCACAAATAGTTGAGTTCATTTGAAATTCCGACCTTTACAAACTAATTTAAGCAAAACAAGCAAAAAGCATACTTCCAACTGAAAGCATTTTTGTTGTTGTCTGATTGCTTGATTTCGCTCGGGAACAATAGAGCGAGGCAACAACGATGACGACAAGCGATGACGGCAAAGCCGACACAACAGAATAAGTTGAAAGTTCAAGTCGCACCATCTTGAGTGACTTTGCGCCCATAGTTACGTTGTTGGTGTCAGAGGGAATCTTTTGACTACCTTCTCACCTCCAGGGTGCACAAATGCCGTTCCAAAATGAAGATTATTTAGATGCCTGTGTTTTATGCAACAATGTCAGTCAAGTTGGTGATGTATATCTTTGACTCGGCCGACAACAGAGCAAATAACAAAGCGGCACAATAACAAACACCACCCGCAGGATGGAAAGGTGACGTCGTTTATGTCATGCACGTATGTGTTGTGTGCTTTTTTCCGCTTTTTTGGAATATAGTTTAAATAGATTTTATGTATTTGTGTGATCGGCATGCGTTACCTGGAGTGAGCGTTATTAAAAAGCTCCCCAGCATACACACACATACACGAGCAAAAACAAATGAAAAGGAAAAGCCAGAAAATTGTTTTTCCAAAGATAATAGCCAGCAAAAAGAGCATCGCTTGCATATAAATTGAGCGCTTTATCAATCGAAATCATTCCATTAAATTTCGTTCCGCTCCATTTGAAACCGATAACATACCGCGTGTTGTTGCTCTACGCAAATGCACGACTTTTTGGGAAGTTTGCTTGAATGTTTCTATTGTTGTGTATTGTGCCGGCATTCAATTTCATTCGTTCTCTCATCTGCGTTACATTGTTTTCCGTTTGACGTGCACGTTGTTGCTGTTGCTGTTGCTGTTGTTGTAATTTTTCCTTTATCTGTCTCCTCATCTGCACAGTGAAAAATAAAAGTCCACACTTAGGCGGATTTTCGACTGGTAGAGGCGCCCAGTCTTATATTTTGCCTAGTAAATTGAGTTTCAGACGAAAAACCGACTAGATTATAAGCGGAATTTCGCCTGCAGCTCAAATTACTAGCAGCAATATCGGCTGAATGCGTTTTTAGCTGAAAAAACGGCTAGATGTGGACTTTTATTTTTTACTGTGTATCGTTTTGCATTTGCAATAAAAAAAAACCCGAATAGAATAAAGAAATTATTCGTGCTGCTTAGTTTTGATTGAATCTGGGAAAAGTTGGTTGGTTGGTTTTGGCGCGTGTTGTGGACGTGGCCAAATTAATGGAAAACAAATGTTGAGGGCACTCTAACATCAAATTCAAAACGGATTACAAACTTTTCTCTTCTCTTGTGTTTCGTCGAGAGTGTGAAAGAAACAAGAAAATTGTTCAGCATAAAAGTCTGAGACAGATTTTGAGGAGCGGGAAATAAAGAAGGAATTTGTGAGGCGAAAAAGTGTGGCAAATCGTTGGCATTATGTAGAAAAATTCGTTTGACTTGTTTTTGTATTTCCATTTTTAGTGGATTTCACTTAGCGAACGACTTTATGTATATCATATGAAATTTATGGAAAACAATTTACTCTCTCGTTCCATCATTTTTCATCTCTTCTTCTCCCCATCGCACGGAAAAACAGATCGGCGCACATTTATCGATGGCACAAGATGAACACCAGACTGTTTAGCAAATAATTTTCTTTTCATCCGAAATCTAATCGTGCAAACGATTTGTTCAAACAGCCCATGAAGAGAAGTGAAGAAGCTTGTAAAGAAGAAATAGAATGGGCCTGAATTGTATGTGCCTTGTTTGTGCTCATTCAATTTCTCGTCTCTTATCGCATCACATACGGGTTTTCCACCACGGCCAAAAACAAACGGCACACGAAGATAGATAGAGTGAGTGTGTATGTGACGAATAAGTCTGAGTGAGAAGTGGAGTCAATGCGGCTCGCATGTCGAAGTTGCTTTAATGTCGAGGCGATAGAGAGCTTTCGGAATAACATGCGTAATTTGGTGGGCAATATATTGGCTGTATAATGTATATTGTGCTATATGCTCAATAAAAAAAATAGAATGCTTGATAAACAAAACAACACTTAACACACAGCAGAGCCAAACAATGTGTACTTAGATTATTATCTTGTTGCGTATTATTTACAAAGTCATTATCATAGGTGATACCTATACTTAATCCCCAATACTGTACCAAGATGATGGGGCAAAAGAGAAAGAAAGAGAGAGAGAGAGAGAGAGAGAGAATGGTGTTGGTGGGAGGAAGACAGGTGCGGTGGAAAGCTTTACATGCAACACCCAATGTATACAAAACATAGTAGAAAATTTCATACATTTCACCTCAACTACTATTCGCCAAGAAATTACACGGCATAATAACACCCGCTGATCGCAATTACAACATACACAGCTAGCTACATTTGACCGCTAAGTGTGGACATGAATAGGGCTTCCGTCTTGAGTTTCGGCGGCTGCCAAAGTTAATGCCACTGTTGTTGTTGTTGTTGTTGTGGCCATCATCATCGCTGTGTGTCGTGTAGTGTATATGCTTTTGGCTGCGAGCAATAGCCTCATATTCTTTCAATCCATTGCATGCGTGCGTGCGGATATTATTTTGAATCGCCAATACACACGATAATAATATATATATCCAGGATTGCATTTACTTTTATTTACTGTTGAAATTTGTTTTTGTTCAATTCCACGTCTTTTCCTTGTATTTTATTGCTCCGATCTGGCTATTTCATTTCATGTCATGTCATTCATTTTATCGTGTGCAAAAGAACACTTTGCTGTTTTTTTCTACACCTTTTCTCTCTCTTTCTCTCTTTCTGTCTCCCTCTCTCGTTTGGCGTTGGGTCATTAAATTTGTTGTTGCACAGCACCACGCGCATCATCGTCGACATGTCGATCTGTTACACCGTCATTTTCGTTATCAAATGAATGATGTGTATATTAGTAAAATCAATAAATCTAATATAACTAGATGAACTTGTAATGAACCCCAAATAGAATGTGATGAATAAAGCTGTGCTCCTGCTTAAATTTCAAACCGTCGATTCGTACATACGATGCCAAACACATTGGCCGTATCGGATTGTGTGAATCAATACTAATCATAATTTGTGGGTGTATATAATGACGTGGTGTTTGTAATGCAACGGCCATTTATGTGATTGGAACTCGATCTAGATTGAAAAGACTTTAGCCATGAATCCATCGTTGAATGCGTGAATTTGTGTATGTTTGTTTGTGTATAAGTTTTTTTTTCGTGTATTCACATTATTCTATTCGGCTTATTTCGATTGACCCATCGTATCTAAGGGAGCGTTTGCTTCCGAAATAAATAACAATTATTTTGATTGAGAGAAAGAGAAGAAGCGAACCGAAGGAAAGAAAAGCATACATTCAATTTCGATAAATGAAAATATGAAAAAATCATCCACTTCTTTGGGCTTTGCCACCGTAAACGCAATACATATTGGTGTAGCCATCATACGTGATTGGATGGTAATTGTATACGTAATTATTTAGCGTGGGTGCGATATGGGATGACCTTCCCAATAACAAAAATTGCCTTCTGTCTTGTGTAAAAAGAGAAAAAGAAAAAGAAAAAGAAAAAGACAAAAAAGGGGAAAGCAAGAGGGGCACATGAAGCCACATCGGTTTTTAAAATGGATGAATTTATTATTTTATTGAAAGCAGCCAAAATTTATGGCTCTCAATCTCTTCCGCACTTCCTCTATCGGCTTACCAATTGTGATGAATAACGTAATGAATATCAAGGAGAAAAGCGCAGAGGCTGTTGGCTAGTTGGTTTGGAAGCTTTGGCTTCGGCTTACTGATTCAACCATAAGGCCTTGTTTGAATGTCTTCCGCAAAGCATTGGCATTCAGATGCGTCGAACTCATAATGAGAATGGAAATAAAGAAGGCTTATCGCAAATTCCATTCATAAATAAGTCAGCATATGAAAGGTCATTACTTCTAATTTTGCCATGATCGTTGGAAATACTTGGAAATGCACATATACCACAGCACCATATAAGTGCTTCAGATGCTTGGCCAATGGCTGTATGCGGTTAGGTTTCTTCTCTCTACATTTCTTTTCTCTTTTGTCCGGTTGGCTCTTCTCGCTTGCCAACATAATACGTTAGAGGTTATTAAGTAAACGCTCTACTTATAAGCGCAATTCATTGTTGTAAAAGTCACCGCGCGCGAAAAACGCGCTAACATGTTTTTGTTGTTGGCTTTATTTCTTTTTTTTTCGTAGTGGGCGAAAAAGTAGAAAAAATGCCAGCTGGAAAGAGAACGAAAAAAAAAACATTGAAGCAGCCACTAAAACAGCGGACACACTCATAGAAATCGGTTTTTGTCAAGTATTGCAAACTTAATCAGATTTAGAAACAAAAGTACCTTTTCAGTATGTTAAATTAATACGTGTTCAATGTACACTTGACGCGTGCTTATTTGTCTCTCTGACGTCGTTGCAAATCCTTAAAAGTGTTTAATGCCTCTCGCTTGTTGGCCATTGTATTATTTCAGCCATATGCTTTGCTTATTTATTTTCTGCATTGTCTCTCTCTGTCTCTCTCGGTGTCCATGGGCCAGTGTGCCACACCACCATTCAAATGATAATCCATGCAAAAAAGACGAGGCGGGAGGCAAAGAGGAAGAGAAAAAACACAATAGACAAACGATTCACGTGCAGTGCAAGAAATGACAAAACGTCGGCACAAAAACCGAGGTATCTTTTTGTTTAACATTCAACAATCTAGTCATAAGTTGTTTTGGGTGCTTCGAGGAAAGAAAATGACATTTTATTCCTCCTGAAAATTCTTTCATACCAAACATAAAAAAAAAATAAGTGGAAAAGAAAAGGCATTAAAACCGTGTTTAAATGCTATTAAATATTTGTTAAGTGGAATTTCACCATTCAAGTGCTACGCATTTCTGCGATTTATTTTCGCGAAACATTCCATAACGAAAAAAAAAACAGTGGGTTTTGTGTTGGTATCAAGAAGCGGCCAGAAAAAAGGAGAAAAAAAATCACAAGCACATTAAACGGAATAAAAAGGCAAAGACCGCAAATATTTTGCGACTAAGCACCAAATCATAACAATTAACAGCAGTTTTATTGCCGTGGCCAAAATCAGATGGAGCAAAAAGTGTCTCGAAATAATTGTGTTGTTATGTTATAAGGATTCGTGTGATGAATTTAAATTTTAATGAATTATTGACAATTATTCAAATTTCTGGGTGCGATAAAGTGCACGACGAGGTGGTGGTAGTAACGACGGCGGCAGCGACAACGATACTGCCGCTCAAAAACAGAATTTGTGAACCGTAAATCATTGTTGTCCCATTGAAAATCGCCAAACACCAAACAAGAAAAAAAGAGACCCGAAATTTTTTTCGCGAATAAAAAAAAAACAAACGGAAAAAATAAACACAAGAATCACGGTCGGCAAATGAATGAGAATGTGCGGGCAATTTCAGATTGTTTGCTCATAGTTGATAACTGTTTAGAACTCGGTGAAAAAGCGACTGAAGTAATTAAGCACGATTGAGAAAAACATTGAAAAAAAATTGTTATTCGAAAAAAACTGGTTACGTGCTTCATGAAGTAAACAAAATTATAAATACAAGGAAGACGAAACAGAAAAAAATGTCGAAAAAGTGAAGAGTCAAACGATAGAGAGAGAGAGGGGGGAAGAAAAAAACGCAATTGTGCTTTCGGCAATCCAATTGGAACAGCAAGCGGTATTCATATTTCGTAAAAGAGAAATTCGGGTAGAAAAAAGTCTCGATTGTCCCGGGCAAAATGACAGAGGAAAAAGAAGAAAATCACGACTCTGACGTGGAAAATGAAAACTCCAAAAACAATCAAAATCAAGGGTTTGTATTGAATTCATAATATCTATACTCGTGTGTTTTGGCTTCTTTTTTTCTCCTTCATCTCCTCTAATCCACTGTATACACATGCAGCGGATAGAAACAAGGAAATGAAGAAGAAGAAGAAAATTCCGCGATTCTTTATTTAAACTAAATGAACAGTGAAACGGTGAACATGGAAGCGCTCGCAGCTAATGTGTTCGATTGTTGACAAGCCAGCGGCATAGCCAAGTGGGGGTTTGGGGGTTCAACCCCCCCCCCGAACTCCAAGAAGAAAAAAATATTTTATATACTAAAGAAAAATTGGATACAAGGTTACGAATTATGTATCAAAAACATTTTTCGCTTGCTTCGCTCGCGCCACTGATACAAATTTTTTCACCAAATATATTTTTACTTTGATTCTATTTGCCTTGAAGTTTCATATAATTTTGATTAAAAAAAATTCACCTCCCCCTTGAAAATCAAGTAACTCAAAAACCCCCCTTCCTTAAATTCATCTCTGGCTACACCGCTGTGACAAGCTGATGGTTAGATGGGTCCGTTTGGCTGGTGAAGCGCGATTCATAAATTGTGCACCATTCTCTCGCAATTCTTCTGAGCACAATGCAGAACGGAATCAAATGTCTCTCCCAAAGCTGTTCCCATTCAATGTTTGCGCTTGATCGAAATGTGACAAACCATCAGGAAAAAGAATACCATGCAATATTTTGCCATTCTTATTTAATGTGGATGTCACAGCGTTGATTTGTGGCATGTATTTTACTCAATCATTAGATTTTTCACATTCTTCTACGACGATGACATCGAAAAAGTTCCAAGTAAAATACAATTGTGAGCGTAAACTTCTACTTCTTCTTCCTCATGTATAAAACACAATTATCTTTTCCGTGTTCGCCAAAAACCATATTGTTACCAAGGAGTTGTTCGCTCTATCACACACTCTCGCTCTCTCGTCTCTTAAATTTACGAGATGAAAATTATATGGCATGGCATTTACAGTTTTTGTTGTACTTTTACTACGCAATTCAAACTTTCGCTTCCCACACGCACGAATTAAAATCCATGTAGAAACATACTCAGCTCGTTTAATTTTTAATAATTGGAGCTCATTCATTTTTGAGACATTTTAATTTCGTCGACCAACAACCCAAGTTTAAACTGGAAAATTAATGAAAACTGTTTGCATTTTCCTCTTGGCTCCTTGCCTTCTTGCCTTCTTTCTATTGACGGTGCGCGGGTGTGATGGGCTCGGGTTCAAAAGAGTGTGAGATGAGCTGTTGGAGTGTGTTGTGTGTAAGATATAATTCAGACAAAGAGAGAGGGAGATTTGTTGTGATTATGTGTAGGTATGGTGTTGTGATGAGCTATTTATACAAGAGAGAAAAGGTTTATTTGACGTGGCAAGGATAAGGAGCATCATTCCGATATATAGATTCTATTGGTGCCATGGTTGCTGGTACTGCTGATGATGGTGCTGTTGCTACCGTTTCATGTGTTGATATACACATGCATACTATATTCACCGTGTGTTTGCAATCCAAGTTAAGCACCAATTCATTATTCCATCCAAATGAATTAGTGTTCCACGTATGTAAATATATTATATTCAATATCTAATATTTACATTATCTTTTCCCATTGTCATTATGATTAAGCAGAGCATTTACAATGCAAATAAAATGACAATTCTATTCCTTTTGAATTGAAACAATATAATGGTATGACATGCAGCTTAATACAAACATAGATGCGGGACAGTGAAAAGCAATCAAGTTATAGCAACGAACAACATAATAAAATAATTCTTGTTTTTGCACACACATTGAATGAAAATCGCAACGACAAATGAAACGGAAATGCGCTGAAAAACTCAAATGACAACATATCATAAAATAAAAGCCACTTTTGTGCAACATTAATGAAATACACGATTTCGATTGCCATCGTGGCAAGAATGTAGGACATTCGACACAGAGACGAGAGAAGGATAAAAAAAACACACTATATTTTTATGTATACACACATATTCATGCCATCATCATCATTGTCGTCGCCGTTGCCGTCCTCATTGTCGGGCGGCGTTCACATGAGTCAAATCGAGTGTATGATGTTAGCATGCGGTAGAGAAATGAAAACAACTCAAAAATATACATCAATGTGAGTTATGAATGCAATAGTATCAATCCGGGTGTAATTATATAGTTCGCTTACATGAAAATTGATTTTCATACAATTTTTTCCGTTTGCCTGTCGATTTTCTCTTGCTACATTTTTTTTGGAGTTCAAACGCGCTCCGTTTCGCCACTTCTACACACATACACACCGGAAAAAAATGCTTAAATTTGTGTTATACTTTCGCTTGGCTTCGACATGAGTAATCGAAATGGAACTCATTATAAATTTTTTATGTCAAAACATAACGGAAAATTTGTCAATGTACTATAAAAACCTGCATTTCCACCTCTCGCTGTCGCTTGCAGCAGAGGCATTTTTAATAGCCTTTTGCATATGGCGAACCAAATTGAATATTCGAAATTATCGACAGCATTATCCAAACGTGAAAAACGTGCTCACTTTTCCGTAGCTATTGATAGAAACGTAGAAATACTTTTCTCTACTTTTCTTCCTCTCTCCCTTTCTGCTATGTTTGTCATTCAACGAAAATATTGGAACAGAGAAGCCTTGCATTATCTCCAACGAATCGATCATTATGTTGTCGTTTGGTTTATGGTTTTTTCTTTCTCTGCTTGTGCTTTGAGAAATCAACGCTCTTGTACCGCAGCGATTAACGTAATTGTATATCCAATATTGTCCGATGTCATTCGAGTAATGACAATTTGAAAACAATAATCGGTGGACCTCGCAACACAACTGTAGCCCATCAAATGGAATTCGCACGATTTGGATCTAATGTCGTTTTTGTTGTTGCATTTTTTTTGTGAATTTATATTCCTTAATAACGAACAGAAGCGCAACGAGAGAGGGGAGGGAGAGAGACAGCTGTGCTGTACTGTATTTATTCGATGTTTGGAATAATTCGAGCAGAAAAAAGGGCAACTTCCATTAGACTCGACAATATCGACATTTCAAAATGCGGCATCTTTCACTCATTCCACTCGTTGCTGCTTCTGGTCGTTTTTCGTTTTAATTCACCACCCAATGATTCAATTTGGATCGACTTTTGGCGAACATACACACCATTCGGATATCGATTTCTCCAGCCGCATCCATATTTAATCGTAATTAATTTTTAATGGGACTTTCCCTTAAACACCAATTCTGTGTTCTCTCTCCCCTTCTTCCACTCTATGGCTGGCCCCGCAGTCGATGTCATTCATCGAACGGTTGGTGTATGTGCCTCTTTGGGCGCATTTACCATATTATCATTAGAACGCACAACCGCTTCAAGGAAATCAAAATGCGGTAAATTTACGGAAAATTTAAATATATATATATATGGGTTTTTTATCGAATCAACAGCGTTTCGTAAAAAAGTAATAAGAAAAAGAAGAAGGAGAAGAAGAAGAAGAACGATGCCGACGACGACGAGATGGGAAAAAATGCGATTCAATCAAGAAGTAAATGTTTTCTTCTTCTGCTGAGTGAGTGTCTTTCACATTGACTGTGATTGATTTTTTGTCGTGTGCTGGATTCGCATACGCGAAACAGGTATGGCTGTATCAAACAACAGTTTGAAACTCAAGACTCATGAGCTTGGAAGACAGAAATATATACACATATTAGACGTAAATCGTATAATGGAATATCCTGGCATTCGTTGTGCTCCGAGTCACATTCATATACTCGGTGATAATAAAAACATATTATCTGTACTTGCTTTTTGCGTGCTAGGTATGGTGGGTATGTTCGTACGCTCGAGAGCTTGCTGGCGGGCGGGAAGAGGCATGTGAGTACGTGCATCTCCCGTAAGTAGTATGGAAACATTTTCAAACCGAATTGCTATTACATGTACACACATTTTTTTTTCTTCTGCGAATGGGATTGCAGGCAAATTCAGCGTGAAAATACACGAAAACTAGATTTCAAGAGTGTGTACGTAGTTTGATGGAAATTTATGCTTTGTTTGGGTGGTGTTTGTGGTATATTCTAGCAATCACACTGAATCACGCAGTGTGCGGCTCCAGTCGCGTACCCACTCGCTCACTTGTTTGTTGATTTGTGTTGTTTCCCATTACATTGTTGAATAACTTGTTGTTTCACATTCTTGTGCAATTCGCATAACTTATCTTTTCAAATAATTTCATTTCGATAGCATGCATCCGAAATAACACGAGCATATTCGTAATACAAAGTCTCTCACAAGCACGCAACATCCAATTTATTCGCAATTTTACGATTCTATTATTACAAATTATTTTATAATACAATTGAATCGATCGCACACATTTCGTGCCGTGACGTTCAAGAGGCTTACGCCGACAGCCACAAATGCCAGAGAAGAAGAAAAAGAACGTCGAAAGAGGGAAAAAATCGATCGCTGTCGTAAAATCATTTCAAAAATCTGTGTCAGATCGATTCGGCATTAGAGCCCATAAGTCCGAGTATTTTTCATTCAAGTATGTTTTTGTTGCAAAAGAAATACATTAAATTGTGGAATGGCTTGCGCTTCGGCATTCGTTCAGTCTGTACGTATACATATATTTATTTTCGACAGCCTGCTAAAGTTTTCCTTCCAGCATTACATATTTTGCCGCTGTGTGTGTGTGTCGTGTTTGTGAACGCTTTTCAATTTCTTGCATCAGCCCGTTACACGTGGCGATAGAAAATAGGTAAGAACGAACCGAAGGAAAAATGAAAGAAAGAACGAAAAAAAGAAGAAATGTCGGCAAAAACGCCCAAAGTCCTTATGCCGCACGATGCCGATGGTGGTTCACATTTCTCTTTTCTCGGTTTGTCCCGCATGTATTTTCGTTCGTGTTTTGTTGCATGCAAGGGATGCGAAAAGAAAAGTTCTTCAGGCCAAGTGCTCGTAGGCTTACGAACAACAACATCGCAATTCAATGTGGAAATTCGCATATAAATAGTCGAATAATCATAACCATGCACTGGGCTCGTCAGGCACAGCCAACAATAGAAAACAGCAGTGGCAACAGCAACAACAACGAAAAGAAAAAAATCGTTTCGATTATATGCGATTTTGGGTTTAGTCGGTGGAGTTTTTCCCTTTTCGACCACACGAAACCAATATTTACATGATTTTTTTCCCTGTTTCCCCTTTGTTCGGCACAGGGATGGATTTCCATTTCGGCTGCGACCGAACATGAAAAAAAGCGTCCACAGAAGCGAAAATCAACGCTCTTGCACCCATTCCCAAGTCACACAAGTGAGAATGGCCGATTCGACGAATAAATGCGTCACGCCAACAGAACTTAATGTGGCAAATAATAAATGAAAGAAACGAGCTAAACGAACTAGAAAATATTCTGATTATTCGCTATAGTGCACTGTAATTACTAGTTACCAGTCCACCAGTCCAGTGTGCTTGTTCACTGCTCACGTTCAAACCGCATATAACAAATTACGTAGTCGATTTTGTATGCGTTAGCAAGAATTTCGAATCATTAAGTGGTGTGCTATGGTTTAATAATGGTTTGTTCTCTCACTCTCACTCACTCAGCCCAAGAGCATGTGCTCTTTTTTTTCTTCCTCGGATGTGTTCAATAAATTCAAAATTGACTCTTCAATCTTCTGGTTTTTCGGTTCTTCAACCCCCCTCCCCAGCTCTTCGTTCGGTTCGTGTGTTTTTCACGCGGAGGGAGAGTAAAAGTGTGAGCAAATACATACACAACGGAATGATTCGGGTGGCAATCGTAGAGCTCGTAAATCGATTTTGCGATTTCTACGCTACTTTTTTTCCAATTTGTCTTCTTTTTTCTGCTTCTTTCGGGTGGATTTGTTGTTCTAGTGGCTCATGATGAATTACGTTATGTTCCATTTGTAATGAATGACAAAAACGACGGCCAAAATAGATTACATAACGATTTTGTGAAATAAAATAACAATAATAGACAGCGCCAACATGAAAACACAACGAATATATATCGAAAGCGAATCTCCACGAAAAATGAAAATGAAAACGAATATCGCGCATAGCAATCATAATAATTGCAATATAATACATATAATATATATGTTGAAAAACAAGCAGCAAAAAAATGAAGAGAATGCGATCCGATTTATATACCATTCACAAAAGGAATGGAGAGTAGCGAGATTACGAAAGGATAAAATACTCTAGCTGGAGATGGTAGACAAGGCAAAAAATGATAATAAAAACACTTCCACACTGACAACACATCCAGATGATAAACATTCATCTGACTAAGCAAGACACTGAAATTGGAGATGCGAAATAAATGTGTGAGACGGATAGGAAAAAAAGGAGCAAGCAAGAGAGAGAGAGATGAGGAGTGTGTGAGTGAGAGTGAAAGCTGCGTGTGTTGTACTGACCGAGAATAAGAATGAGCGCCAACGAAAAACGGTAGCTGCTGTTGATGCTGTTGCTGCCGTTGCCGCTGAGGCAATCGTGTGTAGGCATGCACACGTTAAGTGACAAGAGTCCATAAAGTGTCGCATAAAAATTTATTGTTTGTATCGGAAACGGTAGAGTGTTCACATACAGAGAGAGTGAGATACATACACACCCAACATTGTTCATTCGTTCGTTCGTTTGGTTGGTTGGTCGGTGGCTCATTCGCTCGCAAAATCATAAATACCAAACTGAAACTATGCTTTTACTATAACAAAATGAGACAAAAACCAGCTGTGGTGTTGCGCTGGCTGCCCAAACCTTCACACAATGTGTGTGTTCAGTTCAGTGTTCTTGTCGCTTCTTCGCAGCACTCGCTTCGCGCTTGTAGTCGTATAGTATTTCATATTCAAATTCCCACATCGATGCTGATGCTGTTGCAAGAGAGCAAAAAAAAGACAGATTCAGCGTTGCTTACACGAATAGAACAGGCGATAGACTACATGATTTAGAAGAATTGGACCGATGCAAAGATTAAAAGAAAAAAAAACAAACCAACGGTTGATGAGTACGAAAAATTGAAATTGGCAAAAAAACAGAGCATCGAGAAGAGACAGTGAGAGAGAGAGAGAGCGAGAGAGAGAGAGAAAGAAAGCGCGCTCAACGCGCACATGATTTGTAGTAGGGTAATGTACACTATGTTAATACACATAAGTACTGAAATCGTCGAAAGCATATTGTGTGTGCAATGACGCGCACGTTCTTTCTTTCTCTCCATAGCCAAAGCAAACGAACGAAAAAACGGCATGAACGGTACACATTATCTAGTCGTCGACGGTTCTATTCTGTTTTTCGTACGGAACAATTGCTGTGGGGAGCCGCACACACACACACTCTCTCTCATTCTCTCGCTTAAACAAAAGATATGTATCGGATTGAATTGAGTGAGAATCCAATACGGCGATGGTATGCGGCCACGATCGACTGAACGACTGCGACGATGACTACGATGATGACGACAACGACAGTGGCGGAGGCGGCAAATAAATCGACGACAAGCGACGTTTCATCCACATCCATTCTGTTGCAAGAACACTGAAGCTATGCTCTCTATCTACAGTGGAACTTCTCACTCAATGGCCGTACAATTTCATGCATACACAATTGTTGGTATGCGTGTATGGGTTTTTGAATTTCATTTCGCTTGCTGGCTCGTTCGATCGTTACGCTGCTTTCAATAAAGTAGAATTATGTGTATGAATGCTGTGTGCAATGTGTACCTGGTGGCTGCCGTCGTCGTCGTCGTCGTCATCTCTCTGCCATGCTCACTCACTCTTTCTCTCCCAATCGCACGGTTGGTCGCTCACTCGGCGCGCACTTGTGTGTGTATGGGTTTTTGTGAGCGGTTTATTCGTGAATGGCGTTGTATTCGTGAGCAAATTATAGTAATATTCTCTCTCTCAACGAACGAACACACGGTGGAGTTAAACACCGAAGTCTGTGCCAACGATTTTCAGTTTTTAGTTGATACTAAACGCGATAAGTCACTGCAATCCGTAACACACACGCAATATATTCGTGCATACGCAAAAATTCTAAGAGCTCCCAAACGAAACAACATCACATACAAAGGAAACAGAAACAGAAGCAGAAATCGAAAGCAAAAATAATAATAAACATTACAAGAATTGTTCGAATCTAATTAGATTCCATTCTGTTTCAAATCAAAGCAGTTTAACAATCGATTGTGTTTCGATCAGTGGATTTTTTTTTATTCTGTTGTTAATTTCGAAAAATTCATAACATTTCCCGTGTATGCGCGCATTTTATTTCTGGTTATTCCGTGTGCCGTTTTCGTCAGCAGTCTACTTTTAAGAATAATAATAATGCTCGTTTAATCACTTATCACGTTCGTTAATATTTATTTTGTGTATGTGTGCGCATTTTATCCAAGTTTCGGTTTGATTTTGATTTATTTGAATCGGTCATTTCAAGTGTAGTTCTATATATTTGGTGCTGGCAACCAAAAGATACCGTTCCTCACATGCTTACAGTGTGTTTGATTGGTGACACAAAAAACTATGTATTTCGATAAACTCAGTCGATACAAAGAATCAAGATTCTAAACAATTGTTTATCATCGAACCGACGACATAGTAGGCGTAGAAGTAGAACAAAATCATCAGCAAGTACAACTAAACGAAAGGAGCGAAGGAAATAAAAAGGCGCATCTTTATCCCCCCCGATCATATCAAGCAGAATATGAAAGTTTTGAGCAAAATATGCTTTTTTAAATATTTCACGAGCTGTGTTAACGACGACGCGGTTGTTGATGCAAATGGAGCATTAAAGAAATGTAAATAAATTCAACAAAAAAATAACCAAAAAAGCATACATGAACAACAAAGTGTTACTTATAACAATTAAGAATTCTATTTCTATAGCACCACTTGTGTTTTAACCACGTCAAACAACTCAAGAGAAAGAGCCAAGTAGCGCATCAAATAAAATAATAAGTGTGTTTTTTGTTTGTAGCCGAATTACAAGTGCCGTGTGTTTTTATGCCCCGTCCAATGAAGCCAGAGATTCTTGAAAATCTGTTTTAAGCCACATGAACCAAAAAAAATAATAATTGAAGTATTTATTCTCTCTCTCTCTCTCACTGCCGTTTGTTCTGTTGAGTGTGTGTGCATCGACAGTTCAGGTCAGTTCTACTGCTGATGCTGGTTGCTTTATTTTTCATATCTTCTTCTTCTTCCATGAATTTAAATATGAATAAATATTTCTGTGTATTTCATTAAATAATTTATTTCGGTAGCCCGAACGCTGTGAATATATGCGGGATGTTTGAATGTGATGTTGATGATGTTAAAACAAGAGACATTTCATCTCTTTCGCTCTCTCGCTCTCGATTGGATAAAAAAATGCGTCGACGAACATTTTTTCGTGTGGATAAAATTTTATTATCATCATCTGCTTTGTTTGTTTCGCTTATTTCGTTTCGTCTTTTTTTTGCACTTTGTTTCCCGTTTCTATTGCGCTCTCTTAACGCGCTTAATATCGGTTGTTTCAAGCATCATCATTCTTGATGTTATGAATCATATGTACATGATGTGATGTATGCTGTTCTGCTGCTGCTGCTGTTGCTGCTGTTGCGTATTTCGTCAAATTTCATACATATAATCGGCATGACGTGTGAATGGCAAGAAGTCTGTGCATATTATGTGTCAGCAAAAGAATGTGAGCGCGCGTAATTTTTTTTCTTCTCTCTCTCTCTCTATAGAATTCTCGTTCGTTCTTTTTTTTGCTTCTGCCGTTTTATGTTCGGCTTGGTGCTGGTGTCTGTTGCCACTTCGGCTGTCAAATGCGTGTACATACACTCAATTTAGAATGCAACAAGGCAAGAAATAAAATACAAAACGAAAAATTTTATTCGAAAGACTAACAAAAACACAGCGTGGAAACGGAAAAAAAGTGGCTCATCTGAAGCCATGTGAACAAAGCGCAACCACTTCTTCACATATCATGCAAAATATGTTAAGGGTTTATGTGAAATAAAACTTCGTGTTTTGTTGGCATTTGATTTTGCCTTGCTCACCTCGTCTCGTCTCGCCTCGCCACGCTCATCTCGTTATTGTCATCATGATGTGATGCTGCTGTCTTTCGCCTCACAGTATTTATTTTGGTTTTTATTTGTTTTTTTCTTTGTTTCTTCCGATTTAGCAGCGATTTGCACATATACACATCTTGTCACTACCGGAATGACGAATTGATAGTCATTTGTGTTGATTTTTTTTTTGCTTTGCAGCATCTCATTTGTCTATTATTCGTTATGTTGTTGGCATTCATGTCTATATTTTTCGCTCTTTTCTTTCCTTTATTTTCAACCGTGCACGAATGGTTTTGTGCTTCCTAATTGTGTCTTCTTTTTGGCATTCTATTTTTTTATCTCTTCATTTTGGTTTTTTATGTATTGTCATCGCGCTCGCCGCTTATATTTTCCACTCACATCATTTTTTTCTTCTTCTTCTTTTTTCTCGTTGCTTCTCCTTTTTTGGTTTGGTTTGCGTATTCAATTTTTGTGCCGTTTTTATTGCGATCCATCACATTTGTTTGCACGTAACGTGCTCTCGCCCCTGAAGTATACTCACAACATCATACCACGCGCGTAACTCTGAAATCATCATACACACAGTGGTAGCAGCCAGATGACGATGATTCTTCATGGTTATATTTTTTTTCTATATCGTTGTTTTTTTTTCTTCTGTTCAACTGTGGTGGCGGTGGCAGCGGCTGCTGCTTCGATTTCATATGCGCTCGTGTTTGAGTTGAGTGGTAAAATATGCACATAATAAGAATGTGATTGAGAAATAACAACGCAGTTTATCTGCTGACAATAAAAAAAAATGAGAGCGAGGGAGAGAGAGAAGAGTGAATGTTCTGTTATGTTTCGTGAACTGTTTTCGCTGCCATTTTCTTCTGAATACATGAATATTGAATTGCCGCCCCAAAACCAGGGCACACACATTCTCTCGTTTCATTCACGACAACGACGATGATGTTGACGACGATATGGTAATTCGCTACAAACAAAAACAATGACATCGCACGGCACACACGACGTGAAAACTGGAAAACGAAAATATTTATTTCATATTATGCACGTTAAACATCTATAAATTGTGCTGAGAACAAAATAATAATAATTGAAATGGAGACGTCACTAAATAAACAAATGTGTGTCTAAGCAGAAACGAGTCTAATAACATTTTGAATCATATTGTTTTTCTTTCTCTCTCTCTCTCTCTCTTTGAGTGTCTGTCTCTACTTGTCTTGTCTCAATGCTATAACTATCGTGTATTTTTTTTTCTTCTCTTCTTCTTTTTTCTCTCGTCTCTTTGCTTCGATTCACTTCGTTGGATCGTTGAATTGCCGACAATTTATGCATATGATGTGCGACAACAACAATAAACAACAAATTCAACAAAATAAAGGCGACTACAAGGAAACCAAATTACTAAACTAGGAAACAAACACTACAAATTCAATTCATTGCTCAAAAGCGCGTGCTAAAATGACAATGGACCCTGGCAAACGTTTTATTGGCCCCGTTGTGAATGCGTCCGATGATAACCATGTAGCCATCATAAGAACAACATAAATTGTAAAAGTAAAACGCATCACTTCGCATATAATTGGCTCATTCTCCCACCGCCTCGACCGTTCGGTGCTATAACGATCACCATCAAAGCACATCGAGACGAGAGACTTTGTGGACGTGCTGTGTCGAGCAGAGACAGAGCGAGAGCGAGTGAAAAAACGAAAGATTTTTGGGAGAAGTGAGCAACCAACGGGCGAAAGAAAAAGAAGAGCGAGGAATTTCGTCATCATCCTCGGTGTCATTGTGCGTTTTCGGCGAGCTTGTTTCCTTTTAATGTGTATGTGCTGTGTATGTGCGTGACATTTTCACAGCACACTTTGTGATATGAATCGAATTCGGACGACTTTTACAAGGTCTAGAACACCAACAGGTGCCGAAATGAAAATGCAAAGCAGTCTGGAAGTACCGCGACAGGTCTGACACTCATTTTCAATCATTCAACTCTTGTTCTCGCCTCGTTCACTTTAATTGATGTTTTCGTCTTTATTTTGGTTTCTTTTTTCCGTTTTGGTGTTATATGCATATAAATAACGTTGTTCTGTTGCTGGTTGTTTTTTCTTTGTTCAACTTGATTCGGTTATTATTTACATTGCGGTTTGCATCGTCTCCCTTTTAACCACAAAGTTATCCAAGCATCTTTTAGCAAGGTTTTTCACGTTGGTTGTTTTTATTTTCGGATTTGGATTCCATCCACTTACTGAATAACTTGTGGTGTGCGTGTGTTTTTCGTTGTTGCATGATTCATTGTCGTTTGGCTTTTATTATTTCATTCAATATTCAGTGCGGTTTTTTTCTGTTACTTCCATTAAAATTTGCATGCGATTTTCTTTCTTTACCTTTTTCTGCTATTGTTCAACCACTGATCGATATTTTACCTCTTTTTTATTTGCATTTTTTTTTTTTCATTTATAGTTTTTTTCGCTCTCCAGCGAAAGAGCTTTTTATCTAATCTGGTTATTATTTAAAACATTTTTGAACTAATTTCGTTCTTGAATGGGGTTCTTTATTATCAGTTTCCTGTGCATTTCAGCACAATACCGTTTTTTTTTTACTTTTTGCTCACTTGATGTGGTATTATTTTTCTTATCGGTTTACAATACACCCGCATAATATGAGTTATTGTCTCGCAATGAGAACGTTTGTTTCTTTCTTTTCTACTTCGTCTATTTGTTGTGGTTTTACTTTAAAATATATATACATATATCCGAGCACGAAATCAATAACTCAATAATAATTCTATTACAACTGTTTCGTATTATATATACGGTTATATATGTCTTTTGTCTCTTTTTTCTCCTTTCATTCTACTCTATTTTACGTATATGATTTTTGCGATTTGTCCCCGTTGACGTAATGATGTTATCGCCGTTCGTTTGTTGTCGTCGTCGAATATCATCATCATCATGCCGTCGCTGCTGATGATTTTGTGTTGATGGATGCGTAGGTTCGGTCTACATCGTTTGATGAATTCCAATTGGAAGCGAATCGAACGGCAAAAAATCTCATCGATCACCAGCAACACTCGACCGATGAGAGTACGGCTGCTCTATTGCAAGTGCCACAATTTCTGTTCGGTACGCAACGGTCGCGAAGCGTTGAATCTGGTTCGATCGATTCGAGTGTGGCCAGCTATCTCGAAGTGCCGAAACGATTTCAACGGCGACGATCATCCAATACCAAGTCACCGGTACAATGTGTGCACTGTATGTACATTGAAGAGTACGAACGTTGGTTGGAGGGTGGTGGCAGCGGTGCTGGATCAGCGTCCGATAAATCGAAAGACAATGAAGACCACTCAACAAGCGATACATCGATTAGCGATGACGACGACACTGACGAATCTGAACGCATCGAAAACTCCTATAAAAATCATCTAACCATTCCCACTCTCATACCACCACCACAACAACAACAACCATGCAACATAAAATTTTCACTATCGCCAACTGATGCATCATTTCCTTTACAATCAGCTCATGATGAACAGCCGCCTGTTTCTTCGCCTCCAATTGAAACTCTTTGTGATATTCAGCCTGTACCCGCTATTGATATTGAATTTCCTGCCCAGTTGCCGAATCGTGGACGCCGCCGATCCATATCACGCCAGGAGGCGATTTTCATCGAACCAACCGGCAGCTCACTGGAAAATCTTGATTCAGTGAAATCGCCCACGGAAACGGAACCGAAGAAAATTCTAACAAACAACGAAAAACTGAGCACCAGCGGTGATTCAAGTGATTATGTTCAAGATTATTTTTTAGCTGTGCCCGAAGCCGATTTGCGACGCGATCGCGCCGCCTCCGTTGATTCCAGCTTCTCGAAATTGTCATCAAATGGCAAAACGGAAGAGTTACAACCACAAATCGATGGATTTTTGGCGGTGCCCACGAACGCCGTTCGATCACGTTCGGTAGATATTGTGCTACCCACCAATGAACAAGCACGGTACAAAGCGCTTGCATTGGCCGGGCCATCAATGTCGAAACGGTATGTAATCACAATCACAAATACACACACACAAAACAACAACAACTCCGTCTCAGCGCACTATGTCTATGTTTTGGTTAAGGGAAAACTCTGCTTCATAAATTTTTTCTCCCTCATTTTCTCTTTATGTAATTTCTTGTTTTATTTTATTTCTTTCACACATTCGTCACTTCTGTCTTCCAACACGGAACAAGAAAAAAGGAAATTGTTTTTTTTTTCGATTTTCCTATTTATGTTTCACACAACGTCGACGAAGACGATGACGACGACAAAGATGTCGACTGTATCGTTTCAAAAGTATATAAATATTGAGTTGGCTTTCATTTCATTACATTTTTTTGGATGGGGGGGAATAGCTCGTCTTTGTTTGATTGCGAGCTGTTATCAAATAAATCGCAATTGCGTCTATTTTACCTATTTTGAACGAAAATTCTTATTTTTTTTTCTTTCGCGTCTCTTACGACTTTTATCTATTTTATCTTTATCTGTAGTCTGTTATCGAAGGTAAATTTGGATTTTTTTTCTCTTATTTTTTCCTCTCTCTCTCTGTCGACATGTTCAATGTCTTGATTTTTCTGTTCTGTAGTTGTTAGTTGTCTTCTATTTTCTTCGTGTGACTATTATTATTATGTACATAGAGTAAGACATAACGTGTGTGAAAGATTGACGTTCCGCGGAATATTGTGATTTCGTTTCGAACGGTGTTTTAATGGATATTGAATTCCTTTATAGAAATGGGACGAGAAAAATCAGTCAAGTACCTGATTGGAGTGACAGTGCGCAGGCCAGCGATCATTTGTGGCAGCCAACATCGATTTCGGGGGATTTTTGCTATGTCGGCGAAAGTGAATGCTCGGTACGACACCGTTTATTATTATTTGTACGGGCGCTGTTATGAAGTGCTTTCTGTCTAAAAATGAACGCGCGTTCATTAATCATTAAATTCTTTTTTTGTTGTAATTTGTTATTCTTTTTTCTCCTCTCTTCTTCTTTTCTTCTACCGTTTATTGTTGTGGATGAATCGCATCGAATATACAGAGACACGGACCGCGCATGAAGTGTTCAGCATGCAAAATGGTGGCTCATACCAGTTGCATTTCGATTATCATGAATCGAACACAATTGTCATGTAAACCATCATTCAAAGACGTAAGCATACGGCAATACGGCGAAAAACGAACTAATCACCATCACTGGATCCACCGTCGAACGGAAAAAGGAAAATGTAAACAATGTGGCAAGGTTAGTACGAAAAAAATTTCATGCGTTGGTCGTCCACTTTCTGCGCTGTGCCCCCCCCCCCCCCATTCTTTGATATTGATCTTTGGAGAGGGTGAGATGGGAACGACGACGACGATGACGACGATAGTGACGATAACATAATCGACGAAACTTCGCAATTAATAACACATTTTATTTATCCATTCATCAATTAGTCGATTCAAGCGAAACTATCATTCAGTTCGAAGGAAATAGTTGCAATATCATGTGCCTGGTGCAAGTTATCATTTCATAATAAGGAATCATGTTTCAATCCAGAACGTATCGGCGAGGAGTGCTCTCTTGGTGAGTTTGATATATAGTTCAGCATACATGTCCGGCCTATACGTGTACTGTACATGTATAAGTTTGTTTATATGTTAAATGGTAGCGAAAATTGCTGTTTTCGTTAGTAATTCCAAAATAGTACACTCTTGTTTTTCTTATTCGAACCGAGCTATTATGGAGTGAGTGAGTGTCTCGTGCGCTCCAATTCATAAATAATGGATTTTCCGTTGAAAATCCGTTTCAAAAAGTATTGATTAATCCAAACATTCCATGCATTCGTCGTGTCACTTTTGATTCGATGATGAATTATGAATTGCTTGTTTATGAACACATTTCAGTTTTTCACGCTAAAATCGTTTATCATTTTGCTAATTGACTAAAAGGTGAACACTCCAACATCATTGTGCCACCGTCATGGATTATAAAGCTGCCGCGCAAAGGTAGCTTTAAATCGTCGCTGAGAAAAACGTCCCGGAAAAAGGAAGTATCGAAGAAGAAATCCAAAGAAAAGGAATCCAAAGCATTTGTGATTAAACCCGTTCCGACGACCAAAGTCACGCCTGTGTTAGTGTTTATCAATCCGAAAAGTGGCGGAAATCAGGTCAGTTCATGTGTGCACAATGTTTCACGCTTCCCTCTCACACTCGCTGTTGTTTTTGCGTTCGACAGCGAGACACTATCAATTTAAAATTTACCATACTATATTTAGCATGAATGAAGATGGCACCGAATTATATAGCCAGAATAACCAGAAAAGAAAATTTATACATATATCTAAAGTTGGCATTTGAAAAATTGTCTCTCCATTTTTAGGGTGTGAAACTTTTGCAAAAGTTTCAATGGCTACTGAACCCTCGTCAAGTATTTGATTTGACACAAGGTGGACCGAAGATGGGGTAAGTGCGATTATGACGTGTTTTGTTGTACGCAACATTTTGCGTGTATGGATTAGAAATATTGACAAGATCAATATTTTTCGATTTCGTTTTAGATTGGAATTGTTTCGAAAAGTGCCGCAGCTGAGGATTTTAGCGTGCGGAGGCGATGGTACTGCTGGATGGATTTTATCGGTTTTGGATCAAATGCATTTCGAAACGCAGCCAGCTGTTGGTGTATTGCCGTTGGGCACTGGCAACGATTTGGCGCGCGCTTTGGGATGGGGTGGCGTAAGTTATATTTTATTTGCAATGATTTTGGTCACCTGCTTTGACAGGAGGGGGACGAGGGGCGTTTCGCTTGTAACTGAATGAACCTTTTGCTTGTTTAGGGTTATACCGATGAACCGATTTCAACGATTCTCAAGAATATTGGCGATTCGGACACCATACTGTTAGATCGATGGAGTTTAAAAGTCACACCGAACCCGAACGCAAAAGATGATAAGAAACGTGATGGAAAAGACAATTTGCCTTTGAATGTTGTGAACAATTATTTTTCATTTGGAGTCGATGCCCATATTGCGCTCGAATTTCATGAAGCACGTGAAGCCCATCCGGAACGATTCAATTCGCGGCTTCGTAATAAAATGTTTTATGGCCAGGCGGGCGGAAAGGATTTGCTAAAACGCAAATGGAAGGATCTCTCTGAAATGGTAATTCTTGAATGTGATGGCAAGGATATAACGCCAAAACTGAAGGAGCATCGTGTACACGCAATCGTATTCTTAAACATTCCAAGCTACGGTGGCGGCACTCGCCCTTGGGCCAGTTCTGGTGGTAAACAAGCGACCGACGATGGTTTGATTGAAGTGGTCGGATTAACAACATATCAATTGCCAATGCTGCAGGCTGGTAAACACGGTACATGCATCGCACAGTGTAAAACAGCGAAAATTGTTACGTCAAAGACAATCCCAATGCAGGTAGATGGTGAAGCAGCCAAGCTGAAGCCATCGATCATTGAATTAAGTTTACTCAACAAAGCTTTGATGTTAGCGAAAAGGAAACCTGGTAGAGTTAATGTATTGTAAGTAACGACTGCCAATTACATCATTGACATTGTCCACAATCACTCGCATCCACGGCTAATTAACTGGTTTTCTTTGTTTTGCAGGCAAACTAGCAATGAACCAATTCCTATTACAATAAATAAAATAAGTATGACTGATTACGAAACTCATCACTATGATAAGGATTTGCTCAGACAATCGGCTACATTCTTTGCGACCATCAAGCTGAATACGATGACGGATTTGGAACAGATTCGAAAGGCCGTTGAGAGTTATTGTGAAGAAAATGCAAACACGCCGAAATTGTTGCCGGATTGGTGTTTCCTCGATTGTAAGTTGAATTTTCATTTACCACTTCAAAAACTCCGCATTCATTTCAACGCATTTAACGATTTTCGTTTTCGTTTTTCAGCTTGTACTGCCGAAAGATTCTTCCGAATTGATCGTGCCCAGGAGCACTTGCACTATTTAACCGATATTGCCACCGAAACGATGTACATACTGGACCAAGAACTGATGACGTTGCCGCAAACACCGGACGATGAGGTGGCGATGCCATCGGGAATGCCGAGCAAGCGTAGCAATAATTTCAGCTCCGGTTCCAGTGACAATTTGGAACGTGAATCGCATGAGAATACTCCAACATCACCGTTTGCCAATCAGACGTTCTTCAATCGATTGTCGGCGGCGGCGCCCGGATCGAATTCCGATTCCGGAATGGACTCTAGAAAATGTAAGAAACCTCCCCCATTTAGTCTCAACCATGCGCTTAGCTTAATGCATACGAATGCTTTCGTTTTCCAAGACTCGCAAGATTCTCAGAACTCGCAAAACAGTCCAAAGCAATCGGATGACAAGGACGATTTAGCTGATCCGAATGTCTCATTCGATCGCATGGTTAATTTCAAGAGGTAAATTTTCCTTTTGTCCCCTCATCATCCTGAACTCTTTATTTTTTCCCTCCGTTTTCTATTTGGTTGTTTCTCGCTCTTCTTTTCGATACACTTTCCAAACGAAATCTTTTTGTTTGTTGGTAACATTCTTCTATTGATGAGTGTAGCTATTTTATCTGTTCATCTCTTTTATAAATTAAATATTGTACGATGTTAAGTTTTAGTTTACGTACATCCCGTGCATGTTGATGCAAATGAAAAAAAAATAAACAATTGCACGTTAAATTTGAATTTTGTGTTATTTTCTTTTGTTTCTCTTACAATTTAAAGAATGCACAATGTGATTGTTTTTCTTTCGCAAGCATTGATCACCTCTTCCCCCCCCCCCTACACACACACATCCACTTATCTATCTCTCTGTATCTTTCTATCACGCACATACAAATACACAGTTGTGTCCCAATGTCAATTTTATTCACACAAACCAATTTTTACATATTGTATGCATGCAGCTTTCATGAAAGGCTTTTTGGCCTCACACAAGATGCTTATGGATTCAGGTACGATTTTCTCTCCTAGAGTGCTGCACAAAATAGACCCCTAAAACCGGTTTTATTCATCCAAAACAATTTCCAACACTTTTTATTTGTCATTTTTCTTATCTTTTCAATTTATCAATTGCGACAAAATAGCTATTGAACAGAATCTACGATTTTCATTCATTCGTTTTTTATCTACAGTAATTTATTGGAAAAAACCACCGATGCTGTGATAAAATCTGCTAAGACCGGCAATTTTATAATGGTTTGTATTGCTGTTGTTACCTCATTATGACTTTTTGTCAGCGAAATTGTTCGAAATTGAGCAGCAGATTGTGCAATATACATATTCATAGCAAATAACCCATTATTCCGTTTTTGCAGTTGCGTGATCTGCATATGCAAGGTTATTCGTTGCTTTCAATCGATGCAACTGGTCAAACTGCCCTACATTACGCGTGTAAATATGGCTATAAGGATATCGTCAAGTACTTGATATCTTATGCTCCGAACTCAATCATCAATATGGTAGATAATACAACGTAAGTTGACTGAAACACAGATAGTATGTAATATGCCTCAGGGGCTTTCAAATTTGATGTGGCTTAAGGGAGCTGAAATGTATATGCTAATCAAATTGAAGTGTTATTGTATATAGGAAATGTGTATTGTATGGTTTCAGGGGTCATACTGCGTTACATAAGGCTGTTCAGCAGAAACATCGAAATATTTGTTACATGCTCGTGGCAGCCGGTGCTAGCCTAACGATGCGCGATGCAAATGGACTCACACCAATGATGGTCGCTTTTCAAGTGGAGGACAACGATTTGGCAACTTATCTAGAAAGTATGTTTAATCAGATTTGTGTTCGTTTGTTTGTCCACACATTTATTATTGTTTGTTCACTAATTTCATTTCGGCCCTGTCACTCAAAACTCTAATATCCCATTTTCCATTTCCGATTACAGGTCAAGAGAAAATGTTGCGTCCAGAATTTGTCGAAGACATTTAAATCTCAACGGTAACATTATATATGACCACACAGGGATATATGTGAAATAGCATTAATACTGACCAAACACAGAACAAAACAAAACAAAAATCTAACTACACGATGGTAACGAATGGAACAACACTTCACACGAATACATAGATCAATAAAACTCGACGGAATAATTGTGGAATGTGTGAAAAATGAATCGGAAGTTTGCAGAACGAAAGAATGTATTATTTATTAAAATTAGCTTCTACAATGATAAAAAATTCATTATATACCACCATTTACCTACCTTTACACACACACACACACACACACACCTTGCATTAAACAATGTCTATACACAACTTACTAAAAAGCCACGATGGAAACAAACAAAAAAACCATTCTTATGCTTGACTAAACGTATACCTATTGAATATTACTAAAAGAACAACTACTAGCTAACAACAAAAAGAAGAAAAGTAAACTATTTTACCCAGTGAAGCAACCGAATTATATCAAATTATATTATTGTAGTGAATTACTAAAAAATAAAAAATCGAGAAAATTCTCTCACACACACGCACCGTGACCAGGTGGACCAAAAATGTAGTGAAACTATTGAAATGGGAACAACACACACAGCCTACTCCTTATTAAATATTATAATGATATTGTTTTATTTGATTTTTTTCCCTTTTAATACTTGTTTTCTATTTTTAACGAAAGAAAAAAAAAGAATTTATGAAATTTATCAAAATGATCAACTAAATTATAAGTAGTGACCAACAAATTATAGATGATGACGACGAAGAAGAAGAAGAAAAGAAACAACAACTAAACTAATTTAACCCCGGAAACGTTGAATGATGAATGGAATTTAAAAAAAATGGGCAATTAATATTCAAATTAAATGTCTCTTAGTGAATACCAACATAGTAGTGCATGGCAAATCCCAAATGAATGAACAAACAAACAGAAACACTCACTTAGAACTCATACAATTTAAAAAAATTTATTATTATATACTAAACTTACTCTGCAAAGCACTCACGACACGTTTCACGTATACAATCACGAATACAAATCTTATCATTAACAACAAAAACGAGATGAAAGTATTAAACAATAATAACAACAAAAGAATATTATAAAAAAAAGCAAATGACAATCTCTTTAATAAAATCTCTTGTTTACATGTTATTATGTCTTTGAAATTATTAAATAATTGTAAATTTTAATGAAGAAAAGAAAACCAATAACACATTTATTAAATATAAATTCCAGTTTATTCTTATCAAATTTCAATTATAATTGACAGTTATTCAACTTATTATTATATTTCATTAAAATTGAATTTCAACTAATAAATCAAAGCAGTCAGTTTTATCAACTCTTAATTTGCAATTTGTGTTTCATTTTCATTTTTTTCATCTCCGATAATTCGTGTGCACATCCGTATTGCTCAGCCGGATGGATGTGGAACGAAAATTTAAATTTAAACGATCTAATTGTCATTCAGCACATGTGAGTTGTGTCTGAATGTGTACGGGCTGTCAATGAACGTTTTCATCCAGATGGCAGCGCCTGTTCACATTGACGTCTAACATAGAGACCGATTGAATGGGTTTCAACATATGATATTTATTTACATCAGCCGAAATGTCAGTGGAAGCATGTGTTTGTTGCACGGTACGATTGTTGCATGCTGTCGGAAGGCAATACATTGTTTTTATCCCCTTATCAATTCATTGGGCTCATCTTATCTATGGCGTTGTCAGTTTACAGTGGAAAAAATCAGAAGTTGATTTAGCACAATAGTCGGAAAAATATTTGCACAGTTCCGCATTTGAAGCCCATCTGTTGCGCAGTTTTGATATAATATACGAGATCCGGGTTTTGCGCGCTACAGTTTTGTATTTTTTTTCTGCGTTCGCTTAACACGGAAATATTGCTGCTGCAATTTATTCACATAAATACGAATTAGATTCGGTAAATTAAACAGGCAAAATGATGGAAACAACGGGTTTGAGTGAATCGACAACGGCTGCGGGCATTGCAACGACAAAAGTTTCTGAAAAGCGCGAACAACACTTTAAGGCGGGTGTTATCGATCTCACAGCTGGTTCACTGGGTGAGCACATTAACCAATTTATCATGAAATTCCAATGGGACTGATTCGAATACACGGAAATGCTGTTGCATGTTAATGTTACTTGTTGTTTTTCTACTTGGAATGTGTGCTTATTTTCAATGGATTATAATTTTTTTCTTCTCAAAGGTGGGATCGCGTTGGTGTATGTGAGTCAGCCGTTAGACACAGTGAAAGTAAAAATGCAATCATTCCCAACCATCTATAAAGGAATGGGAGACTGTTTAATGCAAACATTTAAAAAGGATGGTGTAATTCGTGGTTTATATGCCGGGACTTTGCCTTCAATCGCAGCAAACGTTGCCGAAAACTCTATCCTATTTGCTGGTAATGAAAATCACATTACAGTGCCGTACAGCTGCCTCGTTAAGTCACGTGAATCACAACTTATCTCGGTATTTCACACTTTTCATTTCTCCCCTAAAAGGTTATGGCGCGTGTCAAAAATTCATTGCAAACATTGAAGGTCACAAAAGCGTTGATGAACTCTCGTCGCTCAGGTAAATTAAATTAGGATACACGTAATCAAATTAGTCAATCGATTGTATTAAGCTCGATCGGCTTATGAAATGAAACAGAAAAAAAACACGTGACTGATATTTTGTTACACATTTTACACCGTATAGTAACGCAATGGCCGGTGTGATAGCCTCTTTTTTCTCATCGTTCACGTTGTGCCCGACGGAATTAGTGAAATGTAAACTGCAGTCGATGCGTGAAGTGGCGGTAATTTGTGCATCTAATAACCGTGGCTATGGCCTTGACACTGACTTTGTTGCTATTGTTTTTTTTTTTAGAACATAAACAACCAAACGCAAACAAAACACATCACCCCATTCCAGCTGACGCGGCAAATTTTCAAGCAAGAAGGCATTTTAGGTTTTTATAGAGGACTGGGACCAACGTTAGCTCGTGAAATGCCCGGATATTTCTTCTTCTTTGGCGGTTACGAGGGCACAAGGGAATTCCTACGAAAGTAAGCCCATTAAAATTCCTTCTACTTTTATAAATGTGCGTCATTTTTTTTCTTTAAATTTTATTTGTCATTCGTTTCGTCTTATAGGCCGGATCAGAAGAAGGATGACATTGGATTGTTGCGGACAATGGCTGCTGGTTCGGTCGGTGGCATTTGCTTATGGACCGCTATTTTTCCCGCTGATGTGATTAAAAGTCGAGTTCAAATTAGTAATATCAAAACGAATATGTTTGTAATGGGACTGAATATTGCGCGAACCGAGGGAATTAGTGCCTTATACAATGGCTTGAAGCCAACGATTATCCGAACGATACCTGCGACTGCCGTTCTTTTTGTTGTTTACGAATATTCCAAGAAATTTATGACACAAATATTTTAAGACACAACCTTTTTTTTGGTCGAAAAAATAAACAATTCTTTCTTAGGTTTCACACGAATTTTCGCTCGTTTTTCTCTTTACTACATGATGCGCGCCTTGTTTGTGTGTCTTGGGAATTTATTCACACATTGATGACGCCAACATTCGCAAATACGTATATAATAAGATTATATTATCGTGTACAGAGAGAAGAGGCAAGGCCTTATCAACTTCACACCGTAGCTTGCGCTTATGCAAAATGTGAACACATTTATTATCAAACATTCTACTTTTTTTTATTTTTGTTTTTGTTTTCGTGAAATTCCCTAGCGAAATAAAGAGCATTGACCACACATAGTGCCAAAAATGAATGGGCTACGATAAGTAGATAAGTTGAACCGTCTCCGCTAATGTAAATAGCCTCTGAAATTCTATGGTTGATAACACATTCCGACGGAAAAATATAATTGAACGACATACGCATTTAATTATTATCAAGATTAGCCTATATCATTCATGTACTGCGTTAGTGACTGAATTCATGCTAAATCTTGCATTGCACGCTGTGTGCTGAAAAACTAATTAAATTAACTTTCGATTGTATGAACATTACTTACTTGCATTCCATCATATTATCACCGTATATATTGAATCAGTTTAAAACAAGCGCTCATTATGTGTAATTACACATAATAGCTTCGAATAACCCAATGAAACATACGAATTAATTAATAATCAAACAAAACTTATTCAGTAATTCGCTTTGACGTCATAATATTTAATGGAATATTGTTTGAAAATGAAGGCGGTGGCATACATGGTCATTTCTGCAATAAGTAACGAATGAAAGCGAAATTTAAGCCGCCTAATGCCGTTTGGATTTGGCGACACCAAGAAGAATTTGAGCCAATTGAAAATTAATTTTTCCATAGCTGACTAAATATTATGCCAACTTTTGTTTCAATAAAAAAAATTCCATTGTAAATGAAAAAAAAATCACTTTTGTAATATGTCAATGGCACAATAAATGAAGTTGTGTGAAACAAAAAGGCAATTAAACCAAAGCTGAGTTTGCAATTGACATATAAATTGTCTTCGATTCTCACATTCATACGGAAATTGATTGAGATAGTTTTAAATGGACTGTATTATTATTTCGTACTCGGTTCGAAAGTTACGCGCTGCCGTAGACCTTACACGGTGAGGTCAAATTGATCTTCATTGAATGAGAGTCCAAAAGAGATAAGGAAGCACAGCCTATCGAGAAAAAAATGAATCAATCAACCAGAAAACGAGATTTGTTCCGAATCTGTTTTTGTGTTCTTTTTATGATTTTTTTTTCTCGAAGTATTGCCATTTTTTGATAACAATACACTCACTGCCTACATCAGTATAGAAAGATGTTCAACACAATTTGGGTTTGGACTGCGTACAAAGTTGTTGCTGTTCTTATTAAATACACACGCATTGCTTAGTAATGATACTTTTAGCTGTGTTTTTGTTTTTTGTTGTGCTTTGAGTTAGTTCGATGCAATGCAGTGAATCAAACGAAGGAAAGGTTGATATTTGCACAGCTCATATTTCGGCATGGCGACAGAATTATTTGGAAAGCTTATAACAATGACCTCTTCAAAGACAAAGTTCATTGGCCACAGGGTTTCGGTCAGTTAACGAATGTGAGTGAAGTGTTTTTGCTTAATTGTGTGAAAAAAGTCATTTGATACAAAAAAAATTCTTACAGTTAGGAAAGCAACAACAGTATGAAGTGGGGAAATACTTCCGTCGACGTTATGCAAAGCTCCTTGGAGACGGTTCTTATTCACCAGACAAAGTATTCACTGTATCGTCCGAACTTGATCGAACTATAAACTCCGCTTCTTTAGTGTTGACCGGTTTATTTCCCACACAAAACAATCGAATTTGGAATCAAGAATTGGGCAGAATTTGGGATCCAATTCCAATATATATTGTACCGAGATCAAGAGATTATCTCATAATTGTTGAAGGGATGTCCACGGTTCGGAAAAGCTCTGAGAGAATATCAGAAATCTCCAAAAGTGCAAGCATTAATGGAAAGGAATCGAGAATTATTTGGATATTTAGAAACTCATACCGGTCAACCAATTCGCAGCATAGAACAATTGAAGGATTTACACGGGACACTTGAAGTCGAGCAACTCATGAACAGAACGTATACTATTTTCTCAATTTTGGTCATTTCTTCTGACAAATATTCGAATTAATAAAATTTCATTATTGGTCGTAATTTTAGCCTTGAAGTTTTCGATGTAATTCTTTACTTTGAACATAGAATAATATTATCTTTACAACGGCATTTAAAAATTTATTTCAACAATTTCAGCTACACATTCCGCCATATTCATCCGGTCTTCTCTTCGAATTGTATGAAACGCATTTTTTTACGTACAATTTTATAGAAATTCAACAGCAGAACATCTGAATCTGAATCCAATAAATATTCCAAATTGTGGTACAAAATGTCCACTCAATCAATTTTATGAATTATGTAAAGATATTTTGCCTGTAGACTTTGAATCAGAGTGTCAATTGTCGATTGAGTAATAATGTTTAGACCAAAACAACGAAAGATGTTTTTTATATTGTAAACTTTTAATATGACACGATCAATAAAATATACTTTGTGCTTTGAACATTCTATTTTTCTATTGTATTTCTCCAAATTATGAATTCCAACCTAAATCCACATTAATGAAATAGAAAAATAACAGAAAAATCGCTTTTGTATGAATTTATCAAATGAACAAACTTTAAAAAAGTCAATTCTCAAAACTTCTCATATTACTTTTCCACACGACCATCGTGTAAGAAAAGTATTGGGATCGCCTCGATTTTTTGATCTATTAAAAAAGCAGTTTTTTTCGATTTTTAAACGCCGAAAATCGCGAGTTCTAGCGTTATTTATGGTATGTAGGGTAGGCGCGTGGTACACTATACGCTGTACGCAAAAAACACGGTAAGAATTTTGCTATGTCACAATGTATGAAAAACAGAGTATTGAAATCGCTTCGATATTAAGGTCTGATTAAAATATAATTCTTTCCTGATTTCAATGCATGGAGAATTGGATTTAATTGGAAATTATATGTTTGGGAGTGTAGAAAAGTTAACTTTACGAATGTAAGGCATCTTGTCCTTTTTTAAATCATTCGAAGCGATTTCAATTGGCTTATTTTACACTCTTCCAACTAAGTTTGAATTGTTCCGAAATTATTTTTTAAAAATTGATATCACAAGTTCTGACTTATTGTTTTTTGGGCGCAAACTGAGAAAATTGTATCAACTGATTTTTGTAGATTAAAACAGAACTATCGTAAAGTGTTGATTAAAAATTAAAGAAAATGATACAAAATTTTCAAATCACCATAACTCATGAACGGATGGTCCAATTTTGACGTTCTTGGTATCGTTGATAAAGTCCCGACGAGTAGCTTAAAAACAAGATGAAGGGGCACGTTCAGCAATCTTTGAATGTAAAAAACTGAGAACTATCCACGAATTTCAAGCGGCTATTTCTGTGCAGACGGTTGACCGATGTCCAATTTTGAATACATTTTTTGGGCCTATGAGCTAGGGACTTTCTAGCGAAATATCATTCATACTAGATACCCGCCGAGGGAAAAAGTTTGAAATTGCGTGTATTGTATATGAATGGTTTGGAGCGAAAATGTAATACAGATAAGTTGAGCGGAAAAATGTCAAATGAAAAGGGACTATAGTTCACTTTAGTTTACTATACAGTTTACTATATAGTTATTCCTTTTCTGCTCATTCATCATCGACATTTTTCCGCTCAACTTTTCTGTATTACATTTTCGCTCCAAACCATTCATATATGGGGGAGCTCGACTTTCAGCACTAGGATGCTTTCGTCACACGCGCCTGCTGTCGCCAGCCGTCATAACCTTTGGATTTTGTAATATTGGCATTTTTTTGTAGTTTTGAACACATTTTCTGTATATAAATAGGTGTTCGACACGGATTGTCTTCAGACTACATTGAACGTTGTTGGAGTGTTGTGCTGCGCTTAACAATGATTTGGATAGTGCTTCTGTTGCCAAACCGTAAGTGGAAAAAGTTTCTTTTTTTGCTGGAATTGATTGAATTTGCAAATTGTGTTTTCGTTGATGTTATTTGTTATATGTATAATATGAATCTCATACATACAGTCACACCACACGCTCTATATTGACCATGTATTTGTTTTAAACCTTCATTTTGATACGCCACTAACATAATTTACACTCAAATATCTACTTTGTGCATAAAAACACCATTTAAGGTGCTGCCACCTTGCGTATTACTCACGGAAACTTAGTAATCTCAGATTGAACAAAACCACGAGCATGTGGTGTGACTGCATACATCGGAGTTTTTTTTTGAATTTTCGGCACGGAGATCGAACGATACGTAAAACATTTGTAACAGACCCGTACAAAGACAAAGTGCATTGGCCGGAGGGCTGAAGCCAGCTAACTAATGTGAGTGGATTGTTATTTTTTTAGTTGTGTGAATAAGTCATTTGATACTAAAAAGATTCTTACAGTTAGTAAAACAAAGACAGTTTGAATTGGGGAAATATTTTCGGCGACGTTATGCAAAACTCCTTGGGGACGGATCTTATTCACCTGACAAAGTATTCACTGTATCTGCTGCTCTTGATCGAACTATAAACTCCGCTTCTTTAGTTTTGGCCGGCTTATTTCCTCCACAAAAAAATCTAGTTTGGAATCAAGAATTGCAAGATTATCTCTTCAAAGCAGATAGCGCATGTTCCCTTCATGAAATATTGCTCAAAGAATACGAAAATTCACCATAGGTGCAAGCTGTAATTGAAAAAAATCGTGAATTGTTTGTATATATAGAAACGTATGCTGGTCAACCAATTCGCAGTATAGAACAATTGAACCCGTGAGCATAAAAACAACGTATTGACTCTTCGCCGATG